CCAACGCCGTCAAAGACAAAGGTCGGATAGCCGATGCCATTTACTACTACAGAAAAGCAGTAAAGTCTAGTCCGGACTTTGCCGAAGCTGTATGTGGGCTTGCTAATGCCCTTAACTCTGTTTGCAACTGGGCTGGCAGAGGTGGTATTGCCGAACATGGCGGATCAAGAGATCGCTGGCATGTCAACGATAGTGGCATGCTTCTAGACGCCAATATACCTGGTGCGTCGAGCGCAGGTTGGATCCACAAAGTCGTGAAACTGGTCGAGAAACAGCTTGCCGATGGTGAGGACTGGGGTCGAGGCATGATGAATGAACAATTCATACAAGATGTCATCCGTCCCCTGGCTCTCACGGGGAGCGCGCAAAGTGTGAAAGAGAAGGAAAACAGCATGGTGTCAGTGTTGCAGCGATGGAAGGGTCAGAAGTGGGAGGGTGCTCGCATCGTACGACTTGTTGAGCGTGCTATACGATGGATAACTTGGCAATGGTACCAGGATCGCTACGTCACTGGAACACAGCGACCGCCGACCTCGTACAAGAGACCTCAATTGCCAGCAGCTTTGACGGTACCTGCGGCGCCCACTGTCCTACCATTCCATACATTCACCTGCCCCATGTCGGCTAAACAGATACGTCTTATCTCGCAACGCAATGGCCTCCGCATCTCGACCTCGACGTTAAGAGTCCCTTGGTTACCTGCGACTGTCTACCAGCCTCCTGCGCCACCGAAACCATACTTGAAGGTCGGCTACGTATCATCGGATTTTAACAACCACCCATTGGCGCATTTGATGCAGTCGGTCTTCGGGTTCCATAATCCAGGCAGAGTCAGGGCATACTGTTATGCCACCACAGCGAGTGACGGATCAGAGCACCGCAAGCAGATTGAGAGGGAATCACCCGTCTTTTTTGATGCTAGCAGCTGGTCAGCGGAACGGCTTGTTCACCAGATAATACAAGATGGCATCCATGTCCTTGTGAACTTGAACGGCTACACCAGAGGTGCGCGTAACGAAGTGTTCGCTGCCCGTCCCGCCCCTATCCAGATGGCTTTTATGGGTTTCGCCGGCACTCTTGGCGCCGAGTGGTGCGACTACCTTCTCGCCGACGACACTGCCGTTCCTCCAGATACACTCCGACAATGGCGTCGTAACATTGACCTGGAAGACGCTCTTGTAGACGACAACAGCGGTGGTTCGGACGAAGAATGGATCTACGGAGAGAATATTGTCTTCTGCCGGGACACTTTCTTCTGCTGTGACCACCGGCAAAGTGCTCCCGATTCGCAAGGACGACAGCCAAATTGGGAAGAAGAGCAACAGCGGAGGTGGGCCATGCGTAAAGAGATCTTTCCGAACCTCTCGGATAATGCGATCATCCTTGCAAACTTCAACCAGCTGTACAAAGTAAGTTCAATTGTGCCTCTTCCATGTGTTTGATCGTGTACTAACGCTATCATCAGATCGAACCCACGACGTTCCGTACCTGGTTACGTATCCTTGAAAAGGTCCCTAACGCCGTTCTCTGGCTATTACGCTTCCCCGATCTCGGCGAGACCAACCTCAAACAGACAGCTCTTGCCTGGGCAGGTGCAGATGTAGCAAGTCGCATCATGTTTACCGATGTTGCACAAAAGCATCAGCACATCTCTAGGGCTCGTGTTTGTGATCTATTCCTCGATACACCGGAGTGCAATGCACACACAACCGCCGCCGACGTTCTTTGGTCCGGAACACCACTACTGACGTTGCCTCGCTACAAGTACAAGATGTGCTCCCGTATGGCAGCTTCGATTCTCAAGGGCGCGTTACCCAAGACACCAGCAGGTGCCCAAGCCGCGAAAGAGCTCATTGCTGGCAACGACGATGAGTACGAAGCCATGGCCGTACGCCTCGCACGCAACTGCACATACAACAGTTACCGAGCGCAAGGCCGTTTGAGTGAGCTTCGTCGCATGCTTTACGAATCACGATGGTCAAGCCCGCTTTTCGACACCAGACGCTGGGTCAGAGACTTGGAAGATGCTTATGAGATAGCATGGAAGAAATGGGAGAAGGGAGAAGGTGGCGACATTTGGCTGAAATATGAACCACCTCCGCGCGCTTAGCGATCGACTTTTACCATTCATTTAGACCGCTGGCATAGCTTTGTTTGTTTGCGGCGAGCATTACACATATCTGGGTTAGACTCTGTGGGCATATGCCAAGGGACCCTTGGATTTAGCGAGCATGTACGTTCGTTGTTGTTGTTCTTCTTCTTTGTTCCTATACCCCATATTGATTTGGATTGGATGTTTATGGATTTTTAACTAGCTTATGTGGCAACCTTCATCATATGCGCGCGAAGTAGATAGCTTCTGTCGCTTTCTGGAACAGCATTTTCTTGGGCGTTGGATGACTTGCATGGCACCGTGACGGAGCCGAATACTATCCACCAGTTGTCTCTGTCCTCTCCACTCGCACTGAATCTGAACGTGTTCTGGTCTTATATTTTACCCAGCACCTTCTGTCTTACATCACAGGTGTTTCTTCCGCCTGGCAACGGAATCAGCACCACTATAAGTGCAATAGATTCCACTGTGTACATATACAAAACGGGTGCCATCTAGTTATCTAAGTTCCAAGCACACGACCTCGAGTGCAGGCTGACAATTCATGAATGTTTGTGATGTTCTGCTCAGGAGATGAAGCAGTAAGCTCGATCGTAGCACTAGCAAAGCTTAGCGCGATCGCATCTCCACAAATCCCTCCCCTTACACACTGCACACAACCCAGCGCATTCCAACCAGCAACATCATTCCGCCATTGGACCATCAAACCTCTGAACATTATCCGCACACATATTCAACGCGCCATGGCCCCGCGCAAAAAGGCTACCACAGCCGCCAAACCCAGTAGCAAACCCAGCAAATCCATCATCGCACCTCCCGCAACACCTCTAACGCCAGCACTACCACCTGCACGCGCACACGATGCGTCGTATCACTACCCGCTTCTTCTGAGTGATCGATCGGGTTGCGACGCGTTATTGCGTTGGTTCAATGGCGTTGCGGAGACGCGTAGTATGCCGTGGAGGAAAAAATGGGTTGATCCGGAAGAGTACGAAGATGAGGAGGAGCTAGGACGCGTTTTGTCGAAGAGGGCGTATGAGGTTTGGGTTTCGGAAGTTAGTAAGTATATCCTTTTCTTTGTGGTGGACATTTTGTGATGGGGCGCGAAAACGCGGTGTCACGTGCTGTGTTCGAAATCGCGTCATGTCCTGGAAGCTGGAGAAGACGATGGCTGACGATTGCACAGTGCTTCAACAGACTCGCGTGTCGACAGTAATACCCTACTTCAACAACTGGATCGAAAAGTGGCCCACGGTTCAAGACCTTGCCGAAGCCAACCATGACGATGTTCTTTCCGTGTGGAAGGGTTTGGGTTACTACTCACGTGCAACACGTCTTCACGAAGGTGCAAAAGCTATGATTGCCAAATCTGCTGGTGCTTCATGTGCCCTCCCCAGTGGTGCTATGGAACTACAGAAATTTCCGGGCATTGGAAGATATACTGCAGGCGCGGTGTCTAGTATCGCATTCGGTGAAGCAGAGCCCGTCCTCGACGGGAACGTGGCGCGCGTGCTCAGTCGACAGCTGGGTTTGTACATGGACGTTAAGGACAAGAAGGCCACAGATGTTCTTTGGGATATGGCTGATCGACTAATCAAACACGCTTCTAACTTTCCAGAAATACAGACAAGTGAGGTGCCCGGGCTGTGGAATCAAGCGCTTATGGAACTCGGATCCACTTTGTGTACGCCGCGACCCAGGTGTGACGAGTGTCCTATTCAGTCGACATGCAGGGCCTATGGTGAAGGAAAGGCGTTATCTGACAAGCGCCAGTCGGCGGTTGTAGTGCCTGATATTGAGGATGCATGCTCTCTCTGTGCGTCGTTGGATACCGAAGACTTGGTTGCAGTTTCCGAGGACGCAACGAACGATGAGCCGCCACGAGCGAACAAAAAGAGAAAAGCCGCTACAAAACAAACAAACACTATCTCGCAGTACTTTTCCGTTGGAACGCCCAAGTCAAACGTAGAAACGGAAGACGACGAGGAGGATCTTGATAGCCCACCTGTCGAGGACTCCAAGAAGCGGAAGCTCCCGGCGCCTACTGGAGAGTCGAAATCTATATCCACGTACTGCTCACTATTCCCGAAGAAAGTGGCCAAGAAGAAGGCAGCCGAAGAAGACTGTGTGGTATGCATGGTAGAGTTGCGCTCGAAAAACGGCAGCAGTAAATGGCTGATTGAACAAAGGCCTGCCAAAGGTAAGCTCTGCACTACGATGCTAAGACACCGCTGACGATTGCGTGAAGGTCTCCTCGCATCACTCTGGTACGTTATAAACGCATGCTATCATCGCGCCGCTACTAGATGGCGCTCGGGTACTGCCCAACGTGCATTGCCGTGCAGCATCATATCATGTCTCATGATAGGCCCATTGCTCGGCTCTTCTTATCTAGTACAGGGGCGTACGCTGACTGTGGCACAGGCAATTCCCGCAGAACACGCTGACTGCATCACAAAAGACGCCTCAGCAACGCAAAACGTCAGCGCAGCAATACATTTCTGATCTCGATGCCGGCGCCGCTGACATGAGCAAAGCGCGTTGTGTTGCCAGTTTTCCGCCATTGGTCCATGTCTTTAGCCATTTGAGGCTTACCATGCATACCTATCAGTACAGGATCGACGCCGATAAGACCGGAGATATCGAGCTTACATGCAAGGGCCCGCCCACCCGCAAGTGGGTAGACAGCAAAGCCATGGACAATGAGACCTTGTCTACGGGAATGCGCAAGTGCTGGGACCTTGTTGCCGAAAGCCTTTAACAATGTCGTCGTGAGGTTCTCGCGATGGGTGAGTTGTGATGGGTTCCACGTGCGTGGTACCCCACGTCCCGTTATCTTCCGCCAAGCGATACACATGGCTGGCTTCCGCTTTCCGCCTCCTTGGCCATCTCCACTCCTCCTTAGTGTCCTGGGGAAGTGGAACGATAAGGAACTTTGGGTGTCTCTCACTATACCGATCACGGACAATAATTCCTTCCCATGGCTATGGTTCTGCTAGCGGGTTCTTGGTTGGCTGGAAAGGACGCGTTGCATATCATGTTATCCTGGGAACGAGATGGTGCGCTCGTGCGACCGAGACGTGCGTAGGAAATAGATCGCTAGATATAAACGTGGTAGATCCCCGAGGATTCGGTACTGTGAATTGCTCCGAGTGTACGACTTTTGGTGCTTTACCGTACAACATATAGTCAACATGGCGGCTATTCCAGCCCCGACACCCATCACAGAATGGCCGGACTACGCTATCGATCCCAATGGAGGAGACGTCATGACGACTGATCTCAATGCGCTCTACGACAAAGGCGATCTGTGTTGGATGCTAGTCAGCACAGTACTATGTTGGTATGTATCAGTTTCATACATGTTGGAATCGAAATATACTGATGGTAAATAGGCAAATCACACCCGCCATCGGCTTCCTCTACGCAGGCATGCATCGCCGAAAAGCAGCACTCACCATGATCTTCCAATCTCTCTTCTGCGCCTGCGCAGTTGGCATCCAATTCTGGGTCTACGGTTACTCTCTCTACCAGTCGCATACAACCAACCCTTTCCTGGGAGATCTGTCAAAAGCGGGTCTACACAACACACTCGCTTCACCGTCGCTCGCGAACGCCGATATTCCTGATATACTCTATGCTGCATTCGGGTTCACTTTCGTTACCTGCACCGCGATGATCTTGGCAGGAGCAATGCTTGAGCGAGGACGCTTGTTTCCATCGATGCTCTTCCTGCTCTGCTGGACCACGTTTGTATACTACGTGCTAGCACATGCGGAGTGGAACCCTAGTGGCTGGCTCTACAAGCTTGGTGTTCTCGACTTCGCCGGCTCGGGTCCTGTGCACATCGCGTCTGGTTTCTCTGCTCTGGCTTGGGCTGTTATGCTCGGCCCACGCGTTGATCCGCATAAAGAGTCGCATCACCCTAGGATACCGCACTTCAAGCCTCACTCTCCGTTTCTTGTTGGACTCGGCACGATATTGATCTGGTTTGGATGGTTTGCGTTCAACGGTGGGTGAACGCTGTATGTCGAAGTGTTAAAGTAGTGTACTGACAGTGTGTAGGCGCTTCAACTGCCAACCTCTCCCTTCGCTCTATATACATCGTCTGCAACACCAACCTCGCAGGCTCTGGCGGCGGGATAGCCTGGGTCCTTCTGGAGTACATGTTCACTCGCAGGTTCTCTATCATCGGCTTCTGTTCTGGAATTATCTCCGGTCTCGTCGGCATCACACCAGCTTGTGGATTTGTGCCTGTGCAGACCGCAGCCCTGATCGGAGCACTCACCTCCTGTGCATCCTTCTTCACAGTCCGCTACAAATACCTCCTCCGCATCGATGAAGGCCTCGACATCTTTGCCATACACGGCGTTGGCGGTTACGTCGGAGACATCATGACCGGCTTCTTCGCAGCACCTTACGTACCTGCCATGGATGGCGTAAGCAACACCTACGAAGGCGGATGGTGGGCAAGGAATTGGAAGCAGATGGGTTACCAGCTGGCTGCTGCGACTACATGCGCGGCGTGGTCATTCGTCGTCTCGATCATCTTGCTTTTCATCATTGACAGGATTCCGGGTTGCCATATTCGCGCGACTGAGGATGATGAGCTGAGGGGATTGGACTACAAGTATTTCAGTGATGCAGATGGGGATATGGAGGTTCTGACTGGCTATGGTCCTGCGACTCCGGGTCGAGCGGCGTCGCAGGTTGCGAGCGGGTCTGAGAGTCATCAGGATGTGCCTGTTGTAACGGAGAAACGGGATTGAAGGGTGCGCGCCTGACAGAGCTGTTCTGGATCGCCCGGGTGGTTGATAGCGCGATGATGATTTCCCATGCTTCCATGGTCTGCCAATTGTACTTTCATGACCGAGAGCAGCTCTGTAAATTTGTTTTCTTTTCTTTGTGTATTATCCGTCTCTTGTTCGTCAGCTTTTTGCTTCATGTTCTGCAATCGAGATACCAACATTCATCCGCTTACCGTCTCACTCTTTTATACCCGTTCCAAACCCAATTCGGGTATCGTCATCTCGCTTCTTGTCTGTCTAACCCTCTGTTGGCAGACGTTTATTGTGTGGCTGCATCTATGCCGCGGCATAATACAACAAGCCCCAATACATCCAACGCGCTTTCCCCTCGTGTGCTGCTGCGTCCTTGACCCCATGAGCAATCTTTTGCCCAGCCCATGTTCAACGTTCAGCACGCATCCAAGATGAAGTCCATTGCTGCACTTGCCGCCTATTTCCTTGTCGCAGTGACCACTGCCGCACCCGATCCACTTATTACCCCACGCGCTGAGCTTGCACCCCGGCAAACATCATCCGAGAGTGATCCGGCGCTGGTTGGTTGGATCGACGCGACGGATGGACAATGTAAGCTTCGCCTTGCCCTCCAGCATGCCCACTACACCTCTCTATTCAGCAACCAAAACAACTGAACTTATGAGAACATAGTTTCCGATCTCCGCTCCTGCGACTACCCAGCTACCTTCTCCACCTCCGGTACTTTCGCACAATGCTGCGCACCCGATTCCGACTGCACCTTCTGGTCATCATGTAGCTCTGCAGCGCTGTTAGCTGGATCCACCAGTCTGTTCTGCGATCAGGGATATTGTAACACGGCGGTTGTGGTGCCAACTGTGGGTGCGAGTAAGGGTGTGGACTTCCTTGGATGCTGGGCGACGAGTTTGGGGACGGGGGCATTTACCGTGGTGAGAGATATTGGGGATGGTATGTTTCGTATGAGATGATGGTATGCGGGTCATATGCTGATGTGTTGTTAGCTGATGTTGCACCGGCTTCTTCGACTGAAACTGGTGATGAGGGTACTACAGGTAGTTCCCCTACTTCTACTGCCGCGGACGCATCTGCGTCTGAAACGTCGAGCAGTGCGACAGAGTCTTCTACTGACGCCGATGTGACGACGGGCTCAGCTGCTGCCGAGACTTTGGAGCCATTGACTGGCGTAGTCGGCTTGGTCGCGTTGTTGTTTGGCGTGTTGTGATGCGGACTGAAGATACAAGACTGTGGATGGCCGGTCATCGTCAAGGCTGTTGACATTAATTCACAGGATATGTACTCAGAAGACGGCAAAACATAGTTTTGGGAGGCAGCATGATTACGATTGACTACATCGCTATTTCATGATAAACTATGTTCGACATGGTAGATTGTTAAAAAGAGTGGACGAGAGCTTATGTTCTCCTGAGCAAAGATGAGACCTGATCCTTCCCCCCTTTCTTCCTTCCAACCACACTGTTGTAGTCAGTCAGCCTTTCTACAGCGCTTGTATCTCGGAAGCTTACTATCGCGCACATCAAGCCCACTAGCTAGAGTACGAAGCAATCGCATTGGCGCTAGCCCCATTGAAGTTGTAGCACCTTCCCTGAACGAAGTCATTCGTCGACGAGTCTACGTAGCCGACTCCGATGGCTCCGGGAAGGTAGCCGCAGTTGTCGGGCGCGAAGAAGTATGCGTATTGGTGACTACCTCCCCAGGTTGTAATCTTGAAGGATCCAAAGCCTTCTGGCCAGGTTGCACAGGTGTTGTCCCAGATGTTGACATTCTGCTGGACATTGCCGCCGCAATCACGACCAGAGAAGGTATCAATGACGAAGGCGGTTCCACTGGCAGCGAGACCGGCCATGATGGCGATGGTGGAGGTGGCAGAGAAACGCATTTTGGATGAGAGTTCAGATGTTCAAATTGAGAAGGTAGTTTTGGAGATAGCAGGTGGAGTTGATGGAACTTGTCAAGGTGATGAATGCAGCAACATTACCAGCAGAACGAGCGATTCAAATACTCAAGCCGCTGAGCCATTGTTCAGGCTCGCTTTAATGACTGCTTGTGATGCTGTCTCGCTGTTCTCGTGGTCTTCGCGGCCGGTGAGGCAGTATTGGCTCTGAATCAACGACGTGAGTTCGTTCAGGCTTCACCGGCTCTTTCTTCAGCTCAGCCAAAGTCATCTTCGTCCAAGTTCAAGTGGTTTACAAGCCAAGACATGGCCAATCACTCACCCTAAGTCGTTCTATGTACATCATCTGGGCAGGCTGTAGCGAGTTTGGCCCCTTCAGCTAGGTTCTTGTGCTTTTCTATGACCAATCTGTCCATGCTGTGTGACCACAAGTATCGACAAGAAAAGTGATCTTCAAGGCCATACGTCTACTTCGTTCGTCGAAGAAGTGAGCAGCAAAGAACACTCTAGAGACGAAATGGCCAATGGTGAAATGCAGGCGTACAGGGCCGCGTCACACACTCAAGCCACCATCAATGAGATCATTAGGCTACCTCTGAGAGCTGTGCGCTCTTACTCACAGGCGACGCTACTACCTAGGTAGGCAAATGTCAGCAGTGTTGTTGTTGTTGAGATGAGTGATTTCCTTGGACAGATGGTAGTCGCGGGCACCAAGACATTTCCAAGGTTCCCCTGGTGTCTAAGAACCTTGGAAGCTTGTGCTGTCGACGGCCACGTGACGTTGAGTAAGCCCCTCCAGCCTCCTCATTCACTGATAACAATGATGCCGCGATACGGGCGGCACATCGGCTAAGAAAAACGATTTTGCCCCGCAGAACCTCGCATCACTACTATCGCTAGCATCCCTGCCTCATTCCGTCATTGCAAGGCGTGTGATCGCTGGAAATAGCGGCCACTAGGCCTAACGCAAGTAGCGAGTTCCTCGATCCACGACTTTCGGGAGAATCTCGACCCACGGCGAAGGTGCACGCGTCCCAAAATACACCTGGTATACCTCCACCTCCGCCACCAATGCTCCAACCCACAGTAAACCATGACCAACAAGCCTCGTGGCCTCAGAGCTCGTGTTCTCAAGCCGATCCGTCGCCGAGCAAAAGCAAACGTCATCTTCAATCTTTAACCTTTGAAATCGCCGCCCAACCATAACAATTCAGACACACGCGCCCCTGTTTTGTTGGAAGGCCCGAGAGAAGTGTTGTCTTACACCTGTCAGCAATCAGAAGAGCCGGGGCTACCCAGTCTGGCGGTTCAGAACAGCATGTTGACATTGGAACGGTTTTCTGGTTCAGGAGCATGATAGCGCGCAACTGAGCAGAGGCCAGGGTCTCAGATCATCGTAGTGTCGCTTGAACCCTGTGATTCCCGCGCACTACCGACATTGATCTGACCACCACAAAAAGCTAACATGGCATAGTTTCTCAACATTGAGCTACGCAAATTTTCTCTCCGTAACCAAGACAATCCTGAGAGAGGGGCGCGTTGGACATGAGACCTTCAACGCCTGCATCCTCTCCACTCCGGATAACATCTGCAGCACACGAGGTGTCAATGATGGCAGCCTTATCCTATCTCTCACACCTGATACGAGATAATGCCGGTGGTTGTAATGCCGAACTATGCCACACGAGTCATAGCGAGCAGACTGTATTGCCTCTCTTGTGCTAGTGCCACCCTGCTAACCTGGAATGAACACGAGATCTGTGGATACACAATAGTCCCAGTTGCTAGGGCCGCAGACTGTTCGATTGAAGCCTCGAAAGCGCATGCGCTTGCAAGCATGCGCTCCTGCACGACTGCGGACGTTCGCCCCAAAGTCTTACACTGAGCATCGGATGGTGGTCCTAGATACGGGGGGCTCCACTGCCAGTTCGACATATCTTGTCGCATATTCCTGCTGATTGAGGCCTTTCCTTCACGCTCTCCATTACGCCCTACTGTTTGTGTAGTACTTGTCCGTTCGCTCGGCCATCCACACTCGCTCCACCCATCAGATCAAAGGGATATAGTCTATGCTATAATATCTTCTCTAATAATTAATACTCTATACTCTCACGACCTTCGCTACTAGATCTATCGATCTCTAATACCACTCGCCTATCAAAATCTCCGAGTCACAGCGAACAAGCAACGCCTTATTCACGAACTTCGATATGCCTTCCACGACCATCATGAAGCAGGGCCTCGCCACTGCTGTTCTTGCAGCTCTTCCATTGGCCGCCCGTGCCCAAGGCACCACACCTCCCAAGCTCACCGCGGCTTGTAACGATGTCGCTCTCTTTATGGCCCGCGGTAACGACGCGCCTTACAGCGATGGCCGTACCTCGGGTTTCAGAGATACCGTCTGCGCAAAATTCGAGGCCCAAGGCAACTCTTGCGACTACATGGATATCGTCTTCGATGCCACTCTCGGCGTGGAGTTCTGCCCTACCATCCAGGAAGGTGCCGTCAACGGCATCAGACAAATCACCGAGTACAACGCCCAGTGCCCGGATACCTTGATCGTTATTAACGGTTACTCGCAAGGTGCTATGGTCTCCGGAGCTGTTCTGAGTGGCGGAGGCGCCGACGCCTGCGACGTTGACTCCAAGACTACCGGTCTCGACGTTAACTCGCAAGCTGGTCAGGCTGTCAAGGCAGCCCTTCTCTGGGGCGATGTCAAGCACACTGCAAACCAAGTCTACAACGTCCTCGACGGAGCAGACAAGCAAGCTTCGGGCCGTACTGGCGCTAACCTTGAGCGTCTTAACACCTACTCCTCCGTCTTGAGGTCGTACTGTGCCGGCGGTGACCCAGTCTGTGCTGGTGGAAATGATGTAGCTCAGCATCTGAACTACTTCGAGCTCTATACCGAGGAGGCGTCAAACTGGATTGTGAGCAAGCTGACACCTCTTCTGGTCAAGCCCTCATCGGCTGCACCTGTCAGCTCGGCTACTCCTACCCCTACTCCTGAGGCCTCTTCAACTGTCGCACCAGTTGAGACCTCAAGCACAGTCGTGGCACCAGCCTCCTCTGAGGCCTTGACTGTCAGCAAGGAAGCTGTTACCACCACCATGATGAAGCCCTCTACTATGATCTCTTCATACATCCCTGCCACCACCGCATACCCCATCACCCTCCCTCACAAGCACCTCAACTCTACTGTCCCGTACGGCAACTCTACCATGCACTCTTCCAGCACTCTCATGACCTCGGAGAAGCCCTACGAGACTACCTACCTGCCTGTTGAGCCGTCTCACGCACCTGTGGAGGAGTCGCATGCTCCCGCTCCCGCTCCCGCTCCCGTTACCACCATGGCACCAGAGTACTCCGCTCCTGCTGCTGCTTGCCCACCAGCCACCGTCTACGAGACTGTCACCGAAGTCACGTACATGTACGTATGAAATTTTTCAGTCTAGGAGAAGTAGTTTGAGAGAAGGATTACAATAGACTTGTTAGATCGGATGTACATAATACCCTTCGTAATTCAAAAACATTCGTATAATCATGATAGATTTGTTCTATATGGCCCTTATTTTCTCGTGATGTTTCCTCCTTAGATACCCAATGCCTTTGCGATCGCCTCTCCGACTGCGGTGGCACTGGAAGGGTTCTGACCAGTGATCAAGCGGCCAGAGATGGCAACCTTCTCACCCCAAGGCTCAGCTGCCTTGACAAACTTGCCTCCACTCGCCTTGTTCAGCGCATCCTCGGGCAGGAAGGGTACGACCTTGGAAAGGCCAACTTGTTCCTCCTCAGCGTTTGTGAATGCGGTAACCTCCTTGCCAGCGACAAGCAGACTGCCGTCGCTCAGCTTAGCGTCGTAAAAGACAGCGGGCGCATGGCACACAGCCGAAACGATCTTGTCCGCCTCCCAGAACTCCCTGATAAGTTGTTGCGAGGTCGCGTCGTCGACAAGATCGAACATGGGTCCGTGACCGCCAACGTAAAAGATCGCGTCAAAGTCCTTCGCTTTGCCCTTGAAGTCGCTCAGCTTCTGGGTCGTCTTCCAGACCTGCTCGTTGTTCTTGTGGAAGTTGACGGATACATCGTCTTTCGCGGCTTCGACGGATGCGGGGTCGAGAGGTGATTCACCGCCCTTGGGCGATGCTACCGTGATGTTGGCTTTGCTGTGGAGGACGTGGTAGGGGTGGGCGAGCTCGGGCAGGTACCAGCCGGTGGGCTTGCCGGTGTCGCCGAGCTTGTTATGCGAGGTGAGGACGAAGAGAATGTTTGGCTTGGACATTTTGAAGATATGATGTGTTTGATATGGTGAATTGGTGTGTAGAATCGTTGTCTTTAAAGCTTTTATGAAAAGTTCGATAGCTTTCCACTTGAGAGTACCTCGTTAATGTGACGACATGCGGGGTAGCTACAACGGAAAAGGCCCGATTGTGCAGAGCACCGTCAATTAGCGTCAGGGACGTCATGTTGAAAATTCACCTCTCCTGTTCGCCGAGTACCAGGTACTTACAAATACTCCAGCATGTGATCGACCAGTTCTGGCAGCTGTTGTACGATACACTGCTCCATTCCCCACCCAAATCTCGGTGCAGCTTACGCTTCGAGCAGACCTCGGGAATCTGAAGGACGATGACGTTTTGTCAGATCCAGCCTTTCTCTTTTTGTCTAGGACATCTCATTCGGGAGCATGCGCTGGCGAACCTTCGGCGTCTCCGGGCAGCTTGAAGGCATGTAACATCTCAATCGACGGCAAGAATGTATTGCAGACTGTCATTCCATACGTTGGAGCGCAGATCTTCCTCCGGTACAAGCACCAGTCAGTATTAAGACATAACCCCTTCGCTTTGCGGCTTAATGCCGAACAATCTCCTGAGTGACGTCGCCGACCATCTCCACTGGATTCGCTCTCCTCGATCCCACTCTGTGTCTGTCAGGCTTTTCCATACGCATTTACTCCGCATTCTTCGAAGTCAGGTTCCATCCAATCATACATTTGAAGATCCTTGGGTATGCATTCGGCCACAAAAGGCATCGTTGGGCTCAAAATACCAAGAGAGCTTGCAGACATGATGTTTGACTAAGTGATATACTTTTCTTTTGGTCTCGGCATAAGCCTGGCGTTCAAATATGCTGTAGGCTGCTACCCACTGGGACTGTATACAGGACTTTTTGTCGAACCCGTAATTTCGAGGCTCGAATTCGTACTTATCATGAACAGGACAAGCAGGAATGTCTCTTACCTGTCCTCGGATCGTTCTACATCCCCGAGCAGCATCGACAAATGGGATCGGCTTGCAGTGGGATTCCCGGCGATAGCTGGGGTTTTCTCCGTCCCAGCCGTAAGATATCTCAAGCACAAAGCGGTCGAGGGCGGACTTAGCCCAACTGCCGAGATATATCTCGTCGCTATGTATCAACTCCAATTTCATGGTCATATACCACGTGATTGCCATGTTCAAGCCTCAGACAGCTTCATTGGCCAAATTCCCCATCATGTGAAGCAGTCTTGGCAGGAATGTTCGGTCGAACTATTGTTTCAGTGGTTTCTGATCTATTGTATGGTGCCGCCTGTCCCAGTAGAAATCCCAATCGCGAGCCAAACACAATTCGAGGAAATGCAATGTATTCTTGAACCTGTTGTCGACTATGAGGTAAAAGACTTCAGAACCGATGAAACGGTGCAGGTCTACAAGAGTCTTGAATTCCTTTTCCGGCATGTCTTGATTCGCTTGTCAGTGCGATACAGACATTGGGAGGTGTGTACGAATCGACCGAGAAGATGTCATACAACGTCCAAGCCTGAAAACGCCGTCCTTTGTCAACGTATGGACCTACAGGAAACTCGAAAGTGAAAGGATAGTTGTCGAGATTTCCCATCATTACTACGGACACTACAGGATATGTGAGTCGTGGAAGTGACGCGACTTCGAGCGCGCGGACGCGTCGCGACCTCGGGAAGCTTGGCGCGCGTAGCAGCCCGTGTCGGAGGGCATCCTCCCGGTTACAACTCCGCCGGCGCAGCAACACACGTACGTTCGGCATAGCATACTTCGAATTCGCTATTACCGCAGACTTCAACTACTCGAAACATTTCTACCTTCTTAAACCATGTGAATGCGGATGAGCCCTCGGACGCGCTCGCGGCTCCGACCCAAATCTGCCAGGCCGTCATCCACTGCCTCAAGCATACATATACTCATTTGGTATCTCGACCGTCGTCAGGTAACTGCAACAGGTTCAACGGTTAGAAAGGCCCCATAAGTCACGCCCCAAGCTCGGCGGTGTTACCTGCTTTCAGCGTTCGCAGACGGCTAAACTTCTGGTTGGCCAATTGTTCAGCTGGGTCGCGCAAATAGCCCGATTTGACATCGTGTGCATCTAAATTGCGGGACATATGCACAAGGACGAACTTCTGCAACGGTCTGTACGCATTCGCGAAATTCATAAAAGTAAGTCTAGGCATGTATAAAAGGCCAGTAGCTGTGAGTGTTATACACAGTCTTGAGATTACCTAGGCACTATTCATCGCAATGATATCTTGCGATAACAAAATCGTCATCATCACGGGTTGCAGCAGCGGCATTGGCCTCGCGACGACCCTCTTATTCCTATCACAGAACGCTCAAGTCTTCGGCATCGATATATCCCCGTTCAACCAAGAGCTTGATGTTGCCCAGAAAGCGTCTTTCACCTTCCACAAAACCGACCTTTGCAGGCCCGGCGCAGCAGAAGAGGCCATAGCTGCTTGCATCGCAAGATACGGCCCGAACATCGACGTGCTGGCCAACGTTGCAGGTGTCATGGATGGTTTTGGCAGCGCTGATACAGTCAAGGACTCGGAGTGGGAGCGCGTCCTTACCATTAACCTCACAGTGCCGGTCCGGATGATGGCAGCTGTATTGCCCAGTATGAAAGACCAAAAAAGCGGTGCCATCATCAACGTTGGTAGTTATGCAAGTCTTTCCGGTGCAGTGGCTGGCGTGGCATACACAGCCAGTAAGCATGGACTTGTCGGTGCGACCAAGAACGTCGCGTGGCGCTTTCGCAAAGACGGTATCAGATGCAACGCCGTACTTCCAGGTGGTGCGTATCGCTCCTAGTCCATAAGCTCAGAAGATGTTGTTCTAACAAAAGTTTCAGCCGTGCCGACCAACATCCGTTCATCGGTGGTGAAAGAGGATGTCGACCAAGCTGCGATGGAAATATACAAGCAAGTATCCACGATACGAGCCGCAGTACTACCACTGATAAGCTTGCAGCCCCGTGCAGATGTTATGTCAAGGTCTCAAAAGAGACGATCTTCCATACGGATCAGTGAGCCCGGACGATGTCGCCCAGGGCATCGCATTCCTTGCGTCCGATGCTGCAAAGACGATCAGCGGTATTATGATGCCGATAGACAACGCTTGGTCAACGATATAAGTCGCAGGGTCGATACCAGAGAAGCTGGGGGCTGATGGCGTAGCGAAGCGGTTCACCAGACGCCTAAATCAATGCAGGAAACATGGAGACTTTCCGATAAATTTGAAACTGACATGACAGCTTCTGGAAGGCCTCCAGAGCTGCATCGCATCCTACACAGCGAATGATTCCAATAAATTTTGCAAAGAGAGACATGCGCAGGCATTGCACAATACGACTCGCGTTCTTCAAATTATCAAACTTGAAATTGAGGTGAGGAGTCGCCGGGTCAGCACCCTCCCTTACCTTCTTTCGGCGACGCGTGCATCATCTGCGACGCGACGGCGCTTTAACATCCGGAGATCATACCGTAGTCTTGCTTACGAGTAACGATGGAACACCGGAGAGGTTGAACCTGAAGACAGCGCAGCGCCACAATATCGATATACTATGAAGATACGGTAGTCTCCTCTCACGAGAAATGAAAGGGCCATTGATCCTTTCGATCTGGCCATGTGGCTGGCATTTCTTTTTTCTGCTCTGCGGTCTCGACGTGTCGAATCTTCCTAACAACATTGGTCGCGCGCTCTACCTGAAGTGCAAGACCGAAGAACCCCCAGACAGACATCACGTGCTCAAAAGGCTGGACACTCAGCTCTTAGGTCGAGCTTCGCTGAGAACAATGCGACCACATGGTCGAACAACGCATCAAGAGCGAAATCTTCATTGCTTACTCGTCTATTAAATCTGTAAATCAATATCGTCGCGTTAATCGCCTACCATTCTGTTGCTACCCCGGATACCTCCTAGGGTCATCCATCAAATTCTTCAATCTCCACGACTTTGGATCATCGCTGAGGCTAGTGCCAGGAAGTATGAGCTCTGAAAGAATTGGGTGTGAGAACTCTAGGTTCGCTTCGTCCATTGGGTCGGCATCATTGTCCGTCTCCTCAATCGTAACATAACGACCGACGGCATTGCGAACGTCGGCGCTCAATCGTCTCTTCATAACCACGAGCATGACACCGGCGATGAAAGCGCTCTTGGATTGCTCGTACAAGCCATTGAAGCAAAAGACGAGTGTCGAGAGAAGAGATTCGCTCATCTCCTGGGAAGCGTTGCCTGGATCTTGTTCGAGCCGTCCAAGAGGTTCCAGGGTTAGGTTTGCGAGGTGAACCAAGAAGATCGTGAGCGTAGAGTCGTAGCCCTCGAAGCTATGGCGGAGGTAGTATATGCGCAAGATACTTTCGAGTTGAACGCTTGCCTGTGTGACCATGTGCTGTGCCGCATTACGTTGGTCCTGCGTCAACATCTGGACTCCAGCGTCTCCAGAGGAAATTTGCGTACGGAAAAGGGTTATCAGAACCGCATAGTACTCGCAACTGCAGATGCTTTAGCTTGCATGTTACGGTTCTCTGACATGAACACTTACTGTAGTATCAGCTGGGCAGGGTACACGATCCAGTAAGGCTGGAGCAGAACCGGCAAACCCCCATACCAGGCTTCCAATTTTGCCTGTATATGCAGAGCTGCACCCCATGGCATCGTCCTAGACCCCTTGGAGCGACTAAAGCACATCACTCCGATCTCATTTTGGATAACTCGCAACTCGCACAGCGCTTTCATACCGTGGCCGAATTCGGTCGGATAGCTGTGCTCGTCTGGTGGATAACGCAGTAGTATCTGAGTGTACCACTCTGGATTGCCGTCGACGTCAGGGAGCGGATCTGCGGGGATATCCAAAAGACACGGTGGCTTGAAGTAGTAGTAGCTTTGCAATCTGCCGGGAATTAGTCATGAACTAATACTAGTGAAGTCGACTTACGATAGCCATGCGGAAAGCGCCCAAGCAGTGAACGATTTAGCGTGCTCAAATTTATTGTCATCTGATCGAGGCGTAAAGAGACTCATGCGCTGTGCCATATTAAGCGCTTTAAACACATAAGAGAACCCGACCCTGTCGTGACCAAAGTCATTCATTGTAGCATTGATGAGGCAGCCAGCCTGAACCGTGGTAAGCTTTGGCTCCCCATCTTCCAATTCCCATAATCGTTTTGCTTCAGCTAAGAAACGGTACGGCAGGCTATCTGGATTCCAGAACTTGGTCTGGTTGACAAATAGTCCAGAGCTAGCCTATGATGCGTTAGTGAACCCCCATCCATGACAAAGATGTAAACTTACTCACACAGGATTTAGCCAAAAGTGCGTTGACAAGTAGAGGAGAGCAGAACTCAGCTCTTCTCGACACCATGTCTTCTAGAAAATAATTCTTGACGAAGAAGAACTGTCTTGGATATTGGTTGACAAAGTAACTCTCAAGGATGTTGCGAAGCAGTCGGTCATTGGAGCTAACACTAGTCCATTGCGACGGTTGTGCATCCTCGAGTAGAGGGTCAAACAACTTGGCTGAGGAAAATGACTTCCAGTAGTTGCTCTCTTGCTGAGCAAGATGAGTCTTGGAAGTATTCGTGTCCTTTTCAGATGCTTCGATCGCTTTGTAGACCCGTGATCGAAAGTAAATGCTGTCCCGAAGGCTTGGTGGTATCTCATCCAGGAACGGAAAGTGAAAGCGCGACGACGCTTGCGGAACATGAGAAGCCTCAGCGACCATGTTCCCTTCTTGAATATGCTTTACCACGGCCTCCGCATTTGCGCCGGCTCGAATGTGGCGAAAGATGCCGGCCGCATCCCTCTCTGGTAGGTTTTGTAACATGTCGAATAGTTCTTCCTGTGCAGTGCGTTTCTCTTTGAGCTGCTGATATCTACGCTTAAACTGCCGTGATTCAGTCTCGCCATGACGGCACTCAGTCTCTCGCGTCACGCATGCAGTGCATTTAGGCTTTAATCCGTCGCACTGTTTGTAGGTCAGCAAAAGTACCAAAAACGTAGCATGTATGTACTTGCTTTTGACTTACGAAGTCGGCAAGCCTCGCAAGCGTTGACACGTGTAGCCTTCTGCCTTTCTACAGATTCTCTACGAACTCTACCGGCAGGTGCAGGCAGGAGTGAACGCAGTGGTGGTGGACTTCGTGCAGCTCCTTGGTCCATTCCTTTGGGACCGTGACGTCAGCCGCGTTGTTACTGCAAGTTCAACTACAAGACTCCGGTCTATATATACCTCTGCATGGCTCTGTGAAAAACACGTATCAGAAAAGTGCCACAGGAAGAAGCGGAAGTAGTTGGTATCTGACGGGTGGAGGAAGGCTCGAAGAGGAATTTCGTATCGAGGATGCGTGGCGCCACTTCGGCGCTATAGCCGTTTAGCCAATCAGTCGCCGTGCCGGGATCTTCGATCCTCTGCAGCGCGAGCACGTGTCGGCGTGCTAGCGTGGTCTGCCATCGAAATCGTTTAAGAGATCGAACCTCCCGGCCTCTGAATACATCAGTAACGTGATTTCGGTGAGCCACTCCGTGTTCGAGCTACCTCCCTGCGCTCAGCACTCTCCAAAACGTTCCAGTCAACCAGGACACGCAGCAATGCATACGGTTCCGCAGTCTTCAACACTACATAGGAACTTCGGTCTCCAGCCATAGTGCCTATGCCAGCCTATGCTTAGACAGTGGCAATAGCGGGTGTCTTGCTTTAGTGGCGATTGCGCCCGTTGACAAGATATCTCACTAAGATGCCGCAGGTATGATCCGACGCGCAGTGGGGCCCTCATGCCGCATGGTAACACGGTCAGTCTTACCGGTCAAATCAGCTTTCTGGTTCGCATCGGAACACACACAGGTCTATTCGTACACGGATGTGAAAAGTCAGGAAGGGTCACCGTCGCATCGTTTTCGACATAGACCTCCGCATTGGATGTGTCATGCACTCATCAAGACTGCACGCTCAGCCCTGCCATTATCCGCTACGGCGAAGTCTAATATATCCAAAGAAAGAGAACCTTTGAGTTGCATACGCAAAACAGGGTGTGATCTGACTAATATACTCTGAAAAATTCTCCAAACAAGCGCAGGTACTACATCATACACACGCGAAGGAGTAGCCAAGCGTTGTTCTCGAATGCCTTTTGTTTACCCTTCGAAGCGACAGCGGTGGGAGGCGGGGCATTGGTACACTGTCCCTCATCTCTATTGTATGTCAGGTCTGGACCTACTGCAGTACTAAGGATAAACCTAGGCGCGACATGCTCAACGCTCAGCCACTTCGACACTGACGGCGTCGTTCGATAGCAATACCAATAGTCACCATTGTTCTTGTGAATCTTCGTCTTTGGTATCTCACCTGGATTGCTTTCAACGACTCGGTTCTCCATTCTAATTTATATATCCTCGCAGAAGTACATGCACAGTCGGCAAATACAAATTCCAGATTGGACAATGTGCCACCAAAAGAAGGGTTGAACATCGCCTCAACTTCAAACGGGCCTCATTGAAAGGACCTGGGTATGCTGGGTTTTGGGGACAATGTGACGATCCAGTTACCTCTGCAATTCTCGTTCCAGTGGCTTAGACTAATCGCTCCGCGGAGGTTCGCTTGGTCTGACATGGCCCATCATTTCCGCGACTCATGCGGAACTGTATTACGTCTGGTGGCGATTATTCCACGTAGGCTACGTTGTTGGAAGAAAACCCTTTGTTGTATCTACATGTTCATGTCTTGGTGCTTCTTGTTACAGTACTGGTACGAATGGCAAGACACCTGCGGGCAGTCGTACGGGTAGGCGGCACCTCTTCACGCAGAGCTTCGGGAGTCTGCCTTGTGGAACCTGCTACAGATGGTGGCCAGGTAGCACCGCACTATCCTTTTCTGCGCACTCTATCTGCGTTGCAATCTCATAATGGACATGATGCGGATGTTGAACTTACGAAATGCTATGACTGACGTATTGGCACTGTGGCACCGCCCTGAAGTACCTGTTCCAACCGACAACCACACCTGTTGTACACCATAATCGAGGCGCTCCGTTCCACCCCTACTCATGTGACTTTCTGGTCTTTGAAACTTAGTATGAACCATGCGAGGGTCCAAAATTGACACCAGACATGGTGTCTGTAAGCGCGACTACCCAAGGCAACCCAAGACTGTGATTTCTGGCTACAAGTTTACAAGTCTCTTGTGATGTGCAAGGCCAAAGGTCCTATTTCCATGATCTCTAGGACCCAAAGATGTGGCTGGTGCGGTACGTTGGGGAAGAGATGAGGGGACGCGCGCTCGCGACTCAGGTGGGATGACTCGGAAGATGCCGACATTACGACGCGGTACGCACGCGCCGTCGACGGGTACCTTGGACGCCTTTTCGTTGCAACCGCCGGCTTCCACGAGCTACACATCCACGACGGGCAGCTTCTTTGCCAACCAATTACTAGTACCTTCTATTGACCATCGGTCTCCCAGCATGCGCCTTGTCTCTTGTTCTGCGTTTGTGAATTTACGATCCGGGCCTTCCAAGCTAGCCATGAACCACATGCAGAAACGATGAGCAACGAAGTCGCGCTATGGCTATAACGCCGACACTGCCTCTCACGTCGCCGAACCAAGGCACCAACACAGCATGATTCGCGTCTGGATGCAGCCCCCGGCCTCTTGGGCACGGCGTATCGTGGCTATGGCACGACTGGAATGATGGGTGGCCTAACCTCTCCACAGCTAAGGAAATTCGCCGAAGGGCTCACCATTCTCTCATAATGCTGTAGACGATCACTTCCACGCCTACGGTCGTAGTCCACAAATCATTACCATACTCAACACGCACTCAATCGAACACGCGGGGAGATGTTGTCGACAGTCTGTTTGCTCCTCGCAACCACGCTGCCAGTGCGTGGCGCCTTCACCGAATTTTTCTTCGCCGGCAACGATGGAATTGGTGATGTGAGGGCGTGTCCCAAGTCTGCATTCGCGTGTGACGCGCCATCGGTCTGCGCCTTCGACGACCGGACGGAAAAGTATTATTGCTGCATACCAGGGAGTCCAGATGCTGTGTGCTGGGGACCTAGTTCAGACTGCGATGGAGGAGATAAGAAAACGCCCTCGGGCAGTCAACAGGCTTGCTCGACTGGCATCAATACCTTTTGCTGCTTAAAGTCAAGGTGAGAAAACCTCTGACCGCTGCAATACTCAACATTGCGCATGTAGCTGACAAGGCCTAGCGAGACGTGTACGGAAACAGCAGACCAGACGAACATCTGCTGGAGTAAACTAGACAACCCTCTCATCTCTCTCAACGCGACCGCCGTAAACGAAACAGCGCAGTCTCTCATATTGGCTCGCCCTTCGGCTCCTACGTACGCGATCAGCTTGTCTGCTCTACAAGCACTTGCGCCAACCACCGCAGCTGCGTCGTCAGCAAGTCCGAGCGCATCCGGACAACCCATTGCTACTACCTCGCCGTTTGGAGGAGCACAAACAACGGCTGCCTCGGCCCCTTCGCCGATCGCGACAAAGGACAAAGCGTCCGGTCTCTCAGGTGGCGCGATAGGCGGCCTGGTTGGTGGAATAGTCGGTGGACTTGCTATACTCGGTCTGGCTGGATTTCTCTTCTGGCGCAGAAACAAGAACGGCAAGCGGAATCCATATGAACCCGCCAATTCGCACACCGCGCCTACGTATCCAGCTGGCTCTCCTGGCGAAATGGACTCAAATCAGACGTATACGCAGGGACCGGCAACTGAGAAATACGGGTATGCGGTCAGTCCTGTATCGGAAGTGCCTGCCGATAGAGCACCGGTAGAGCTACCAGCTGGCACGACATATACTAGATAGCGACAAAATTTCAAACGAATGGGTGGGCGCAAAAGAGGAATAGCGCATATGATATTACGATGTTGTCTCGAATATATGATCCTACGCAGACCTGTATGATATATAACTGTCAGTCAACCAGTCTCGTTTTTGTTGCTCGTGCAGACAAGATCGCTCAGTCCATTACCAGATGTTACGGCGCCGAATCTCACAGGCCCGACACTATCGATGAACTTCGATTGCGGAATGTTAATATGCCTTACTACAGTAATTGGCACCACCTTCTAACTATCTCACGGTGTAGAGTGAAATGCTACTCCATCTCACATCCTGTCGAACTCCTTATAAATCTCATCAAACTCCTTCATCAGCGCCACTCCATCCACCACGCTCGGCCACTCTCTCCCTACGACCACCTTACCCATCCCACCTTCAACCCATTCTGCGTACCTCTCATACACCTCCGCCACGCTCCTCGCCCGAAGGCCCAACTCTTTCTGCCACTCTGGCCAATCCCAGCCCAGTTCCCGCACCTCGTCAGTCGCGTAATCATGATGCTCAACAGTAATAGGGCCGTCGTAAGAGTCACCAGACATGAGATAAGGGCCTGGCGCAGTAACGCGCAACTCACCCGTCTCACCAGCGATATACCACACGAACCCCGGCTCTCCCTTGAAAGGCTGACCAAGGCGAAAAGAAGCTGTAAGCGTAGCTCCGGGTACCGTGATGCCTTTATCAGTGCTGAGCCTCCCGTGTGCTGATATCAGATCTGGTACGTCACTCTTCACGATCCTGTCGACTCTTCCGTCAGCCCCTCGTAGCTTCAACTCTGGTCGTTGGATCTGCATTGTTGTATGAGACTCTTCCCATCCACCAAGTACCTCGTGCACGTAGTCGATCATGTGGCCATAATGGATGTTGATTGGATGTCCTCCCACCTTTCTCTCCGCAAAATACTCCAGAGACGCTGGAAGAGTGTCCCGCTGCACCAAGTTGCCGAATGCGCGGACTTGGCTACTGAGCACTTTCCCTATGGTATTCGTGGCTAGAATGTTTTTGAGTCGAAGGGTGATTGGGGCGACGCGTCCTTGGAGGCCGATGATACTATTCCGAGGTTTGTGCAGGAGTTCCGCGAGGTTCATCGTGCTGGCAAGATCTTGCGTCATCGGCCATTCGATGTACACTGCTTTCCCTGCTTTGAGGCTCGGTTCGGCGACAGAAGAATGTATGTCGACACGGGTGCATACGACGAGGAGGTCAATCTCTGGGTCTCCGGCGAGGATGGTTGGGTCGCCATATGCCTTTACATCTTCGGGAAGTGCGAAGGTTTTCTTGGCTGCTTCTGCGGCTTGAGTGGAGGAGTTGAGGAGAGCGACAAGCCGGTAGTGCTTCTTGCCACGAGGAGAGAGCAGATATGGGAGATGAGCGTCTGCGGCCCAGGTGACCTTTGCAGATGACGATAGACCAACGAGGGCAACGCGTATTGGTGACATATTGAGTGAAATCGAATGGGTTTGCTGGATTATTCGTAAATTACCTCGACGGGCTATATGCCTTTCGCATATAGCCGAATTCGACTTCGTGATCCATCGCGTATTGCCCATAAACCCTCAGTATGATGTTTATGGTGTTACTTCGTATAGCCGATGCACCACAACTTACCAATGCAACGAGCCTATTGCAATAGAGACATGCTCTCGGACATGACGAAAACTGACAACACTAAGTCTGGAATCGCGTGACTACTCTCGATACTTGCGTACTCTAGCACAAAGGAGTTGTCCATCCCATAGTTGGTGAAGAGCTGACCAAGCAAGTGATGATAAAGCGACACCGACCATTACGGTAAAGATCGCCATACGTCGTCATTGGCTGAAAGAAAGCACAACAATAGCGAGCCCTGCAGATCGAGAATTCGGGCATGAGAAAGAGATGAAAATGACAAGAAAAGGTATCCCATCAGCCTACCATCTTCCAACTCATTCCCAATACACTCCGACATGCCTCCCAACCCTCCTTTCACACTCACCACCTCCGCACACTGGTCGCGGAGCGGAAATGTGGAGTCGGACCGATCAGACCGCAGCGCACGCTATACCCAATCCAGCACATACACATAATCCTCATATTATGACCTCCTCTTTCATCGGGAACAAAGACTGAATCTCCCAAGACGTTTGAGATTGAAGTCCTGATACTCAAACTGTACGAATAGACTTTCCGGGGCGGCAGGCATTAAGGAGAGGAAAGTGACAGGGACAGCGGAAAATCGGCACGGGTAACACGGCAATGACAGGCTTGGCGATTCCACCGCGGCGCACTTGGCATGTTTCGGATTGGGCAGTGAACGACAGGGGAATGGACACTGACATCGGGGTCTGGGGAACTGGGTCTCTGGGTTTCGGAGCTGAGGTTCTCGTCGGGTTCTCATGGCATTGGTATCTTGAAGATTGTGGTGAGATAGCTTCGCAGAGTGCACTTGAGGGTTGGTGAACGTGGGCGTAGCTGTCAGACTGGCGTGCGGATGAATACGCGTAAATCGACGTCAGTCTATGTTGTACAGGTCTAAACGAGTGACAAAAAGCATAGTAAATGCAAATGATAGGGAGCAACCCTTATTGTTATCCAAGCCTAAAGCGAGCGATCCATCCAATACATCAATCCAACGGCCCCCCTCCCTTCTGTGCACATCCTCTGCTTGAACCTTGGCGCGTACCGAATTTTCTAATTGCCCCTTGACGGGCCTTCCACCAAAGATAGGGTTAGCCACTTGGGAGAGCGACATATCGAATGCCTCGGCTTACACCAATCTACCGGCCCAGGTTTGCTTTCTCATGAGCATAGTCTTCCTGGAAGCGGATGCTTTGCAGTTTCTGTGCGTAATCCACGGCTTCCACCTGGGAGTTTGACCTGAACGTAGCGTCGCTATCCCTGACTTGGTTGTTCCACCTGTACAGCTCTGGGCCAGGACCCATGGAAACTGGACGAGAGAAGCGGTTGTGCTGGTAGACCGAGCCGCGCTTGGAGTCCATCCTGGTGTTCTTGGGAAGGGCCTCGTGGATAGATCGTACGCGAATCTCCGCGGGCTCAGACTCTTCGATCGCTGGGATCTTCTTGTAACGGTAGAAAGCATCGAGTGCGGGGATGGAAAGGCCGTGGAAGACAATGGAGAAGATGACGAGAAAATAGACGACTGGGATCATGGCTGCGACAAGGTTCTCTTCTTCCTCAGTTTCGGCCTCGCCTGGCTTGGGGAAAAGGTGACGTGTGTGCTCGACGTAGAAGACAGCTCCGATACCTAACAAGCGTTAGTTTGTGTCATCTTCTGAAAGTATCTAGGCAACTTACCAATGGGTCCGAAATATCCCATGAACAGCGCCTCCTTCCAGTCCTTGACAACGTCGGGCATGACCTTGTACATCAGGAAAATGGCCGGAATACGACGGAAAGCGAGGATGAGGAAGCCGAGAATCATGAGCCTTCCGAAGGTGATACCAGTGACGTCTGGCAAGTGGAATTCGGCCCATGGGATGATGGTTCCGATGTACATGAAACCACCGAAGTTGAGGATGACATCGAAACAGCTGTTGACCTCGTCGTGGCGCTTCTCGGTTTCCTCAAGGTAGATTCCGTTCCAGTTCATGACGTTGCCGGCGACGAAGCAAGCGAGAAGATCGTCGGTACCGAGCGCACCGCAAACGCCAATGGTGAACAAGCCGACAGCCATGGGCCAGAGCAGGAGACTCTCGGAGTCGATCCACTTCTTGCGCAGGGAGAACTTAATGGCGAACATACTGGCGGCGCCGAGGAGGGCACCGATCACAACGGACATGAGGATGATGTATAGCCATCCCTCAACAATCCACTGTTCCATTGCCATAGGAACACCGCCACCGAGACGGCCAACTCCTTCTTCGCTACGCTTGGAGAGCATGTTGACTGCGCGTTCGGCGATTTCCTTGACGCCTTCGATGCCGCTCTTGAACTTGACACCTTCGAGGTCGGCATGGCGGATGAGGTACGTAGCCAAACTGTTCAACCTGTCAGAAAAGTTCCTTGTGGCTGAACTTTGTGCGACTTACAGCAGGAAAGGGAAACCGAAGCCATCGTTGGCACCAGCTTCCGACGAGATGATCTCTCGCAGCGCACGAGGGACGAACTTGTCGGCAAAAGGACCCTTGGCCACGGCTTGCGACAAGATAGGATCAGTGCAAGTGACACAAGATCCGATAACAAGCGCAGCCAAGAACGAAAGCTTGGGAACTGTGACGAGAATGCACAAGCTAGTGCAGATCCACATGATTGTCATCACAGGGAGAAGGCAGATCGCCATCTCCTTCCACCGGGTTTGTTGGTACTTGGCAGGGAGTTGGAATCCGGCGATGACCAGCTGGACACCAATGACGATTCGGCACATGCCCTATGTGATATTCAGCAGGGTTCAATATTGGCAGTTTGTGAATTTGTGCTTACCAGAGTGATGGCTTCTTGCTGCCCCTCAGCAGCAGAGCCCCATTTCTCCGCATCTAGGAATCTGGCAGCTATCGGTCCTAGTATGATACCGATAAGAACAGCAGGCACTGGAAAGGATGAGTTCACTGATTTCAAGACATGACGGCGCTGCATTGGGCAGTTGTGGACTTACAAGCTTCACCAAGATACCACACTTGCTTGATTTTGACGGAAATGAAGCCATATAGAACGATGAAAGCGCCTGCAGTCGTACATTAGTGTCTGCTCACTCGATTTCGATTTGTCGAATGTACCTAGGACGGCGATGACGATGTTGAGCTCGCTAACATCGAGGGAGGGCATGGTGAAGAGTCCCGTAGGCGAAGATCGGAAAAGACGGGAGGAAAATATTTCAAGGATTCATGCGCGGAAGGAACGACAATAAGGGTTGAAGAAAGGGGTGAGGAATGAAGACGACCAGCGAGAGCGAGTAACTGTAAATAGCAGACCAGCCGTATTTACAAGTCGATTAAAACCAATATAAGCAAGTACAAAAAGATGGAGAACGAGGGATTTCCGGGGCTGGTTCGGAGAGAATTGCGAGCACAGTGATAGGGAATGCCAGCCTCGATTTCCAAGTTCTTGGGTGCTGAGCCTTGTTACTTCATATCTTTACACGCGTCACGGACACTATGCACTTCTTTGACTTGAAACAGCAGCCGCCAGGACATTCTTGGCTTAGCAGCCACTCCCGCCATTAGGAGGCTTACGACCGGAGCCAAGCGGTCAATCGACTATGGCGGATGGTGCCAAGCTCACCTGTAGCGCTAGCTTCGAACGCGACGTGTGGGACTTTCCGCCTTAAGGCTCCCTTTGACCCTGTCATGTTACACCTTTGGACGTGGAGGAAACATTCAAGGTTGAGACACAGGAGCTGTTGAGACAGGTTGACCTTGTACGTGGTGATTGGCGCAAATGAGGAACACAGAACAGCGCAGGTTTTTTTGTTCGGCTGTGAGCATTGCGGCTCGGCAAGCGTCTCAACATGACATTGCCGATGGGCTTCTCGATTTGGCGGAGATTAGTGGCTCTGCACAGAGTTTCCCTGCCAAGTCCGCCAAGTCCGCTGTGCCAAATACAGAACAAACCCTGCTAGGCAATGAAGCGACACCCAGTAGTGATGTTGTGCATTGCGACAACGCAGCAGCAGAGCCTCCTTTGCAGATCTTTGTCCTGCAGCTGTGGCATTCAGATCGACACTTGGCTTGGGGACGCGTCCGCACGAGCATCATCAGTAATCGTCACCCATTGTAGGCGTGGGAGATTATGGGTATCGCCCAGCATTTTGATTTTCTCTGGACGCGCGATAGGCCCAGCTAGAAGAAGCACTCAACTTTGTTGGCAGAGCTGGGCGGTACTTGAGTCTCTCTGTTGCCGCGCTGCACATCATACGGGTAACGATCCCTTGACGCGAGCGGGATGAAGGCTCAGTGCGCCCGGCGATACAGCCAAGTACTCTAACATCATTGATTAATCTGTGAGACCACGATCGTTTGGTGTGTTTTAGTGATTGAGAATTGTGGTTCGTACTGCGAGAGGGCATCAGTTGCCGTATTGCCGAATCACTCAAACAGCGCAGCGTTAGAAGCGACCCGCTTCGAAGCCGCCTCGAAACTGCTGTCTGAGCCGTCGGCGGAAGATATCCCACTAACTTACTCACGATACCAGCTGGAGATCTTCTTCGCGTGGAGCAATGACGCCGGTCGAAGTCTGGAAGAGGCGGTGTCATGCAGCATAGTCGACAAGCTCCTTTCCTGCTACGAAGGATCTGAGGTTTGTTGAAACCGATGCGATACCTGCGAGCAGGTCAGTGTGCTATGCTGGTTGGTAGCCAGTTGAGAATGCTGGGGAGTGTAAGTCCTGTCCGCGGTGCATCCCGCGCTTGGGCTGCTTTGACCGCTCGTCTGCGCCATGGCTGATAGGCGCACCGAGATCCTCCCAACTCTTTCACAATCTGCCATACAGTACACTGGAAATTATTCTTGTCGTTGCGAGCGTGGAGATCCTGACATGCTGAGTGGGTTGTGGGTGTCGACGGAGTGGTGGCCGTGAGCTATGACGACATCTCGCTTAAGTGGGCCCACCTGCCACTGTACAGCTGCACTCCCGGCCTCTTTCCACCAGCTGTACTCACAGATAGGTTTTATCGACACCCAGATCAGCCTTCGAGATTCTGGGTCCTCAGCTGAGCCTTCATAAGATAGCCCATATACTTCTATCGGTATTGAGCATGTGCTGCGCTGTATTACCTCGCCATGTTCTGCTAAGCACTATTCCTTAATAGGAGATATCGATGCATGGTAAGGCGTCCAAAGCCAGAAGAGTGGCTAAGCAAGGCATACAGCCGCACGATGTTGACACTACGCAAACTCGAATACATATATCACGCACATCGAAATCACCTCTAGTGCGCGTTTTCAACTCCCTTTTCGAAAGTGCGCGTCTTCACCTTCGCCTCACCGTTTGACCAGCTCCGGGTGACCGCGCCTTGGCAACTTTCGATTCTATATAACGACCGTTGCGGCTTGTCTCCCACGTTCCGACATCGAAAGAAAAGGCATCTCCTAGCACAACATGATTACTCATACTGAACTACCTCCCAACACTTCTCTGCCGTCGAAACCGGCATCACAAGAGCCCGGTGAATCCGCTCAGTTCATGAGCCCTCTTTCCCCAGGCGGTCTCACGCTCCAAGTCGATTTTGCCTGGTCAAAGTTCCGCAACATAGTAGCTTCTAAAGGCGCTGATCAACAGCTCACGCCGCTCTACGTTCAGCATTTTCGCCCTGCAAAGCCTCAGTTGCGCTTCGAGCGCGCAACAGATCACACAATCATCGCAAAAGGCACCATCCGTAAGTCTACTTATATTACATGTAAGGCATTCTCTGACTCAGTACTCCGGCGTTTAGACAATTTCTCCATCAGTGGCGATTGCATAATCCATGGCCAAGAAGTCATTTTGAAGCCACTGAAACGGTGGAAGACCAAGTACAACTACCTCTCGCATGCGCTTAACGGCATCCCCATCACCTGGACAGCCAACTCTACCATGAAAGTTTGGGACTTCGTATGCATTAACTCCACGACCCAGGAATCTATCGCCAAGTTCAGTGTCAATTTATGGGCAATGAAGCAAGTCGGAAACTTCTACTTTGAGAAGACAGGAGAGGAGGTTACAGAGGCTCTGAGAGACGAAGTTGTTGTCACAGGACTTACTCTGCTCTATCTTATGATGACCAGGATGAATAACCCGATGCATCTGCTTGGTGCTGCCTTCGCGAAGCCAGGAAAGGTCGAGGGCGATGGGAAGGAAGGTGTGGTAGCACAGGAGGATGGAGCGTCAACTGGCAAGGCGAAGATTACATGAGATGAATTACACCATGATCGGCCGCAGGTTGATGGTAGGGTCGGAATCGCGAGTGTGAGACAGATCCAGTTCAAATTTATTATACCCAATAGCCATTCAATGCCAGTTCCGTAATTTTCTCAATGATATTGCATGTCTTGGAGCGGTCACAAAGTTTATCGCATGGACTAAGTACCCCGAGTTGTGCATGTATTCATGGTCTGGTAATGTTAGCTTTACTGTCGTAGCTGCCACTTGAGCTAGCGCGCTTCACGACAACCCCATACCCCGCTGTTTGCATCGACCACGCAGCACAGCTCTCAACATAACACTAACAGCCCGGCAACAAGACGTTGCAACAAACGTAAGCTTTTGTGGGAGGATATTGCAAGAAGTATTAAGTCAGCTTATGTGCCCTGTGCAACATTGCGGCACGACCGGCGCCAACGATCAAGGGTCGTGCTAAAATCTCACCACCATTCATACTTGGCTACATTCGCTTTGGTCGAGGTCTCGATATAACACACGCCCGAAGATAACGGATCTACACATACCCATAAGCTAGAAAAGCTAGTCGTGACGATGACGCGAACTTTCCGCCCGGCGCAAAAACAGCTAGACGCCAGCGAGCAGCGAGTTTCCCACAAATCCCGAAAGTCTATTGCATATCGTGCTTTCAACCTCAAGATATGGCAGCCTTTGAGGCAGTTACGTGTGACTGCCTCCCTCGATACCCCGACGCTCGAACAAGTGCTGCACTCTCCTTGTGATGACAGATCGAATGAAAATCCATTTGCCGTCGGTACATGTGATGCTTCTTTGCGCAACTGTTACTCTGCTTACTCTTTGCGCGCAAGCATAGATATTACACATGAAGATTTTCTAGCGCTACTTCAAACACATATACCATGGAACGCCAAAGCATGCGCTGGCTATCTCAAAGACAGGATGCGTACGGCGTTGCATCGTTCGCAAATTTACCCCCAGGACGAACGCTTGGAGGAATATCAGCATGTATTTAAAACCGTCTTCTTTCCGCGAATGCTGGCCATGATTGAACGCATTACTGTCGCCGAGGATGGTGAGCTACCAGCACTGGACCTTTGCGTCTATGCGAAACTTGACTGCCTGCATGGATCTTTTCCATTCTTCTACAATGAGGCTCATCAACACGCGAATCGTCAAATCGACCGCATCTTCAAGAAGACTCTACAGTCGATAAAACGACGTCGCAGAATTCACCGCAGAAACGAGGGTGACGCGCAAGCATGACAGCCCGATGCAGCCTATCTTTGTCAGTCTATTCGCCGTTTCTGCGATTAATACAACCTTTGCGACTACATTCCTACGTCCACACTAAGCGCTCGAAGAGAACGAGGATGTGTACGTGTTAATTCTGCGGTAGTACTCGATCTTCTGCAGAGACATGCGTACACTGAAACCAAGCTCAACGTATATCGAGTGGTGGGTAAGAAACTTCCGAAAGAGCTGGCTGATATGATCTTGAAACTTGTGCTGTCCAGTCAAGGTCAGCCACATGAGCCCGGGATATTTGATCGAGATGGTAAAGCAATGATCCAATGCGGGGAGGATGTAGAGCTTCGTCGGACCGAGCTTCTTTGATGCAGCTAGAACAGGCCTGGAAAGTTGCTACTGCATAGTGTCGAAATATTGCCTCAAACAAAGAGACATTGACACGAACAAACATGTGTCGAAGTTGCGTAGAGACATGCGAAGGACTGGTGATGTCATACCCCGTGTTCACGCGCACGCGTTACGCGACAACGCGACTACACACGATCTCGAGCAAAACCACCTGCAGAATTTGAGGGCCAACATTACCGTCGCATCGCCGTTCAGACGACTCATCGCAAAAGGTGGAGAAATGAAATGGAAACTTTCGCGGTCCACATCGGCAGTCGCGATTCATCATGACATCAAGAACAAAACTAGTGTGGGTACCTGCATGCGATGATGGCATATGGCATTTGCTACAAAACCTCCCCTCACCACGCTTTGCACCCCGCTTGAAACTTCATCTACCAACTCCAATCGAAACAATTATCAAGTTACGCAGTTTGTAACTCGAAAGCTTCAAACTTCTCCATACCTTTTACATCAATCCACACAAACTACACATCAAGATGCCTCGCATGGTCGCACCCCCGCCTTCTGGAGAGTTCCAGGTTGTCCTTAGCAAGCCTTTCTCCGGTAGGTTCGTTGATTTGGAAGGAACACAGCTTTCGTACTGACATGATACACAGGCGCACCCGCACACATGATCGAGGTCATCGGCGAGCCCAACCGCCCAGCCAGTATCCGCATGTCCAACTACAACGGCAACTCCAAGTCATCAGAGAAGAAGGGTGATGTACCACAGTACGTCCCTTACACTTCAATCCATTCCAAAGGCCTCTTACTAACCCTATGGCAGAGACGATGTCAAGGAGCTCATGTCTCTCATCTCCACACTCCGCGGCTTCCCTTCGCATCCCAGCAAGGACGTCTACGGCCTAGACACCAAGGTCGACTTCAACACAATGGAGATCCAGTGGGGCAACCAAGATGACGATGCCGCTATGGATGGCGGAGAGCTTGCTGGAGAGCAGAAGGATGAGTTCAAGAGGATTGTGGATAGCATTGAGGCGCTTGCGAGGCAGTTCGCTAAGCAGGACTCTCCTGTATAAAGGAGCAGGGTATGTTGGGATGTACAAAGAGATGATGATATGACCAATACATGAAATAAATATCGATGACACTCTGTTCGCTGTAGATTCAAACTCCCTTGTGTTCATCATGAAAGCTGTGTGCCAACTTGCGCTAACTCATACAGCGGTCGATCAGACGGCAACTCATTCCTTCGTTCTGATCCATCGACCTCGTGGCTCTCAACGCCTACATACGCTCTATGCTTGCCTCCACCAGAAGCTACATAGCCCGCATGTGCATGCCCGACCAGCAGCTCGCCTTGAGACATCTCCAACCTCGCCTCCAAAAGCCGCCGTTTCCTGTTCTCCCAAAACAGCAGACTAAGCGCGATAAGCAGAGGAACCCCAAGACCGACTCCGAGACCGATCTGCGACGCCGGGGGCTTATTCTCTTTCTCATTGCCATCACCGGTGCCGTTGACAGGCATGGTAGGACACTGCGACGCAACCGCCGTAGACGACGGAGTCACCGACTCAGCCACCGCATCCGCATTCCAAGGTCTCTGAACCGCAAACTCATTCGTTGCATTCCTATCCAACTTGAACCTCTCCCCCCTTGCAACACCCCTCACTCCCTTTCCCTAGCAAACCGCAACAAAACTCCCAGCCATTGTTCCAACTGCATAGTCCGATGTCGCTTCCATCGTTGGCACAGTATTTCGGACACGACCCTTTTCCGTTCGCGCCGTCCTTCCAGTCTTTGATCGTGCAGCTGCCGACATAGAGGGTGCCGAATTGGTTTAGGCAGAGGGTGTCTCCTAGGCAGGTGTCGGCGGTCGAGCAGCAGTGTGAGATGGATTGTGTTGTAGGTGAGATGCAACGGTGGTGGTTTGGTGCGATTGAGTTGGAGGCGTCGTAACCTGTGCGTGTGTCGAGTTCGGCGCGTGTGGTAGTGGATGTGAACAAGATGAAGATGGGGATGATGAGGCGCATGGTTGGTACATCCGCCGATTTGCGAAGTATCAGTTCTACAGCTGTCAGCCCACAAGGATGACGGTTAAGCCAGACTTTAGAGGACCGACATACAATCTCCTTTTGTGTTCAGGGTGCCTGGTGCTGGGATGCCTAATGCTATTTCGGCATCTCTCGTTCGGCATCTTTTTGCTAAAACCCTTTTCATTGACGTCGGCCGCCGAGCGTTCTAGTCCGCAAATGTGTCTTGCCTAACTGGTGGAAGATGTCGTGAAGAACATCCTCAAGGGTTTCGGTAAAGATTCGGACCTCAACACTTGATCGTGCTATTGTGGAAGCATACTTGGAGATTGCAGTAAAGAATCATTGAACAGCGCTTGTAAACCTGGGTCCTAACTAAACGCCACGGGGATTCTGACAGACAGCAAAATCGATAATCATCGCATCATATCCACATTCGATCATGTATCCAATCGTAAGCCAAGCTCTCTAAATCTTATACACGATACCTCCAGAGTACATGATCTTGTTCCTCTCGCTAAGAGCTTCAAGTGCCTTCTCAGCCTCGTCCTCGTTGAAGGCTTCACGCCCATTGCCACCGCCGAGTCTTGCATTCACAGCGGCGACAAGCGGCTCTACATCCGCAGCATCGTTTGCAAACAGCGGACCATCGATGAGCTGACCAAGTGCTGTTTGGAACACCTGCAGACGTGCTGGTGTAATACCTTGCGATTCCTGCGATTCGGTTTGTGTAGCGGGTAGTTGAGACTCAGGTTGTGAAGAGGCAGCGCTGACTTGTGACGATTGACCGGCGCGGGAGGACTGTGTTCGGTTGATCGTGCGTTGGGTCCTCGGCGTGACATTGTAGAGGTCCTCTTTGTCGTCTTCCTCCCCGCCTTCCTCCTCAGCCGCTGGAGTGCGCGTGGTCTCTGAATGCTGGCTGCGGGTTGATGGCCCACCGGTTCGGCGAGATTGTGTGGCTTCCTGCTCGTCGCCGTCCTCGTCATCGCCGCCGGATGACTCTCCATCTGTAGACATGGCGTCTGGATCGCGGACCGTCCGTCTTCGCTTGCGGCGGTCGTCCTCGACAACCTCTTTGAATAGCGCGAAACGGAGGATCTGTTCTGCAACATCTGCATCCTTCTGCTCTACCCGCTTCGACAGACGCGCCTTTGCGTGGGCAGTGGAAAGACGGATGAGTGTTTCGAGGGTACGTGCGGTGATGGGGGAAGTACGGCGGGTACCGGCATCTAGCTCGTCGTTTCGTAGTGCAGAGTATGTTGCTACAATATGATCTGCGGCACCTTTGGTGAGGATTGGCTTTTCGCGCTTCGCATATTGAATGTATTTCTTGATGAAGGGTATGCTGAGGACTTCAGTCCTTCGGTTCGCGCCACGTCCGACGGTTATTGTAACACCGGAGTGCAACATGGGGTTGAATTTCTCGTAGACTTCCGTTGGGCGATTGGCATCAGCGTCAGTCTCAAGACCAACACCTAGGAGCTGAGCTCCTTCCTCACGGACCGGTGCGCCCTCCTCAGTACCAGGCTGGCGGTAACGGTGCATGCGAAGGACATGCTCAGAAATTTGACGGTCGCGTGCATCTTCGATGTCGTCTGTTACAACGAACAGCAAATCGAAACGCGATAGCAGAGAGTCCGGAAGAGCAATGTTGCGATGCGGGTCCTTGTGGATATCGTACTGACCGAAGATGGGGTTGGCAGCTGCGATGACACTACAACGAGCATTGAGCGATGTGTGAATACCAGCTTTGGCGATGGTAACGGTCTGTTGCTCCATGACTTCGTGGATAGCTACACGGTCGACGTCGGACATCTTGTCGAATTCATCGATACAGACGACACCACGGTCAGCGAGAACCATGGCACCAGCCTCAAGACGCCGCTCGCCCGTCTCCTTGTCTGATGTGACAGCTGCCGTGAGACCGACACCAGACGAACCACGACCAGTTGTGGCAATGGCAAGCGGAGCGGTATTCAGAACGAAACGCAACAGTTGCGACTTGGCAGTTGAGGGATCACCGACCATGAGAATGTTGATATCTCCTCTCAAATGGGTGCCGTTCTCGAGGTTCTTTTCTTGTCCTCCCAGAAGGAGCAGCAGAATTGCCTTTTTGATATAGTCGTGCCCGTAGATAGATGGAGCCAGTGATTGCGATAGGAGTTCGAAAACACGCCTGTTCTTTGATATTTTGTTGATGTTGCGGATATCGGTATCGGTGATGGAAACCTGAGCAATGCCACCGCCGGACTTGGAGGAGAGGAGAATCACGTTGTTAGCTAGGATCAACGTGCGGAAAGTCGAGCTCCCGGCACCAGCGTTGCGATTACCGAGTGAGCGGTATATGCCGACCAGCTGTATGCGGTCTCCAGGCTTCACACGGTCGACCAAGTCATCGTCCAGGATGACATCGACGGAGCGCGGTAGCTGACCAGCAGGGGCACGCTCGGGCATTTCTTGGATGGAAATAGTCTGATGGTCGCGGTAGATGCAGTAGCCATACTCAGTGACGAGTGGGTTGCCCTCACCGTCGTCGGTCGGGTAGACGCTCGTACTCGCAGCGCCGGTAGTCATGGTCTGATCTCTGTACTCTCGCGAATGGAACTTTTGTTTGTTCTCGTTGTAGTGCACGCTCTTGACCACCTTGGGCCGCACAAGAGACGTCTTGGTGACGATTCCCTCGAGCGACACCATGTGGTTCAGCTGGTTTGAGCCCAGAGTGCGCGGGTTGCACGAGTACTCGCCGAAGCTGCCAATATACGCGCAATAGTATACCACATCGTCGCTTGTCTCGGACTTTGGTCGGTCGGTGAATGTGCGTACAACGTCTTTGAGGGCGCGGTCGAAGGCTTCTGTGAATTCGAAGGGCGAGTTGAGGAGGCCGTCGGCGAGTTCGCGGTTGTGTGAGCGGATTTCGTCTATGCTGACCTGAATACGATAAGTATGCGCATGGCTGCTCTGCGTGTTGCACTTACTGTGAGTCTTCGTAGTCCCCGATTGAGCATCACCAGAATGTCTGCTCGGTAGCTGGAGCGGTCAGTGGGCGCTCTATGGAGTAGACGATTGCTGCATACCTTCGCCTGGAGACATCGTCTGCACTATGATTAGTATTTGTATCATTTCAAGAGTCGGCCTGGCATACCTGGGTCGAGGAACTCTTGCGCAAGTCGCACGCGCCTGCGCACCTCCTCGTCTCTGATGACCTCGGCCATGCTGTATTATGTGACTCTCGGGGTAGGGAGTGACTAATCGCTGCAAAAAAAGAAGTTTAGTGCTGCGTAAGCGGGGGTGTTCGAAGTGGGTATATGAAGGGTGTATTGTTTGGGCTGTTGCTGCGGTGAGGGCTTCGAGGGGCACCAGTTTCGCGACATCAATTCGCGTCGAACGCTAGTCTCTTTCCGTCACGCGTTCCTCCCCATTATCCATCCTCTTTCAGCCTGACGGCAATCGTCTTCTCCAACCTTCATGCGCAAATGCTTGCAGCCCCCCACGTCGTGTTTATACTGTATAGTTATTGTCCATCTCACCTATATGCCTGTTTGAATTGGACACGCTCTGCCATCCTCTGCAACCAGCGTTGCAAATCCCCTGCAATAAGAAGGTGCGGGCGTGCCGACAACAGCTTCACAACAGCTTCGCAGCTATACTTCCGTGAGTTCTCTTCAGCGCTCAAGGCTGTGGATGTCTCTCCCCAGAAACGTGATCTCGGAGCATTGTGAATGCAGCGTGTGGAGCAGATGCAGAACGGTCTTAACCGGAGATATCATTACCATGTCGGCCGACGTCACCCACCATGTTCCCGAACGAGCTACCGTCGCCGGTCTGCAGACGTTGCCAACATGGTATAAGGCAGATCTAAGGCGACTCGCCCATACGTAGTCGCCGCCGGTTCAACTCCGCTAACACCATACGCTTACCTTTGATGGAATCTGACGTAATGACACTGGCCGCACTTGACGTCTTCCATTCCCAAGGTATATGAGGAGCCACTGCAACGATTGAGAGGTTTATCGCAACATCTGCATATCATTTTAGATCCCCACTACCCGAAGTCTCATAATACCATTATCACCATGGCACCCCGTGTTTTCCTCATCACCGGCTGCTCCACTGGCTTTGGCGAAGAATTCGTCAAGGTTGTTCTGCAAAAGGGAGACTACGTCGTCGCTACCGCACGCAACTCGTCCAAGCTATCTTTCGAGGGTGCAAATGATTCGAACAGTTTGCTTGTGGATCTCGACGTGACCAAGAAAGAATCCATCGACAATGCGTTCGATGCGGCTATCAAGAAGTTCAAGAAGATCGATGTGGTTTGCAACAATGCGGGATACGGCCTAAACGGGCCTTTCGAGACCCTATCGGAGAAACAAATCAGACAGCAAATGGAGATCAACTTTTTTGGTTTGATCGATGTAACAAGAAAGGCTATGGAGACTATGAGAGACTTGAAGTCTGGAGGTGTCATCCAGCAAGTGACCTCAATCGGCGGTCAGATTGGTAGGTCATCATTTGGACCATGCTTGTATTCACCGCTAATGGTCCCTAGGTGTTCCTAACTTCTCCATCTACTGTGCCAGCAAATGGGCAGTTGAAGGATTCACAGAAGCCATTTCGAAAGAAGTGAAGCCCGAGTGGGGAATCAAGTTTACCTGCATTGAGCCCGGTGGTTTCCGAACCGACTGGTCAGGTCGCAGTATGGACTTCGGCGAGATATCGAACCCGGCCTACGCGGACGTCGATCCCAAGAAGCAGGCTGAAGGGCGCCATGGCTCCCAAGCAGGAGGTACGTCATGTTCAATGTGCTACATACGGGACGGCCGCTGACCAGTTTCTCATAGACCCGGCTAAGGCTGCCAAGGTGTTCTACGACTTAGCAGTCATGGACGACCCGCCTATGCGATGCGTAGTTGGAACCGACGCGTACAGCCTCCTCAACAAGAAGTTGGATACGTACACTGAAAGTGTCAAGAAGTTCGAGAAATGGAGTAACAGCACCGACGTTGAAGGCTACAAGGCGCCCAACTAGGTACCGGTAAGCAACAGGCAAGATACGAACGCAAAACCGAAAGAGGCAGGTGGATGAATGTGCGGTTCTCGTGCAGAGTCTTTGTGCGGCCATCTTCGAATAATAAAATTCGTTCCGAAACTACAATGCGCTTGCAAATCTTCATGTCGACCTTGTCTCACTGATACTGCAGTAAGGACGGCTGCTCTCCACCGATACTGACGCCCTGCGCACTACGATGTGTAAAAACAGGGACTATGCATCCATATGTTTACATCGGGGAGTAAGATCGAGGGGATTGGTTGAAAAAGGATGTATTGTCACACGGCTACGGTGTTGTGGCTGTTGCCACGTTGCGCCCGACCAGAAGGTTTGGCTCAAATCCGGTACGTGTCAATACCACCACATAGCATACTAATGATGATCAGTGGTGTCATTGTCGAGAACTAAGAACTCCCATGTGGCATGACCAGCATTGCGGAGCAAATGAGACGTTTGGCGTTCATTTGGCTGCAATGGCGGCCACTGGATCTGGTGGAGCAACGTTCCACTGAAGTTCCGGTACCATATAAGGCAACAAATCGAAACTAGTCCATGAAGAGCGCATATCCAGCGCACAAGACCCAGAAAAGGATCGGCCGCTGACATCACTGGTACTACTCAAGTGATACATCCGCCAACGGTATTGCAGAGATCGTTAAAGCATCGGCACTTCACGCATCCGACCACGTACACGACCTTCAGATATCGCGTACTTACAGGCGATAGGACCACGGTACTCAAATGGCAGAACCCTCGACGATGTCAAACGACTGTCTTCATGCGCTGCATATCGGACGGGGTACTGTTACCAGCCTAGGCCTTACTTGCCACCACTCCCCTCACCGCTGTATATACGAGGCCGAAGCTCAGGGGCGTGAAGAGAACATCTGACTCTTCTAGTTCCAGAAACGATGTCCCATGATGGAATTATGCGCTCTTCACACAATGAAAGGTGGTCGTGGGGGCTCGCACGAGAGTTCCGCCGACCAATCCCCGCCCACGTTGTACAACTCTTACTGCTACCCCGGTCACGAGAAGTACACTTTTCAAAGCCTATCCCACCGCTGTTTACATCGTGGGTGTCAGCAATAGGCAGCGGCGTCAGCCCTCTGTTATGGTTGCAAACGAAGCTGCCTTCAACTCCAAGTGATAGTTCGTGACCCCTGACGTATTTCGCATCCCTTGTATAAAATCTGCGCTCGAGTTTCTATTTCTTCTGCACCCTTAGAATTGAATACTTGTCACTACTACGCACTTCCGATCATGAGGCACTTTGGAAGCACCATCCGAGACTCGGGTCCAGTAAGGATTACTACTGCACTCCTTACTGCACTCGTAATCACCAGCGCGACCTTCATTCCATTCTTCACACAGGGCACAGCCGCAAACCCAGTCCCAGTTCCCCGCCCACAGCCAATCCCAAGTTCTAATCCTCAGGACCCCCAAGCTGGCAGTCCGACAACCGATGGTTTTTATCCAGACCCAGAGCCATGTCGCGGAAATTGCTCTTGGATTCACGACCCTAGTGTCATATATGAGAACAATAAGTACTGGCGTTTCTCCACTAGTGGAAACATCGCCATCGCGAGCGCACCATCTCTGGGAGGTCCATGGCACTATGAAGGCGCGTTGTTACACAACGGTACCAGCATTAAGGTTCATCCGGATCAAGACATCTGGGTAAGTTCACTCCGTCCATATACCGAATCTCGACCTGTCAAGCATCATTTTGACCAACATGTACAGGCACCTTCAGTGATGAAGCGAGGCGATACCTTTTACTGCCACTACTCAGTCTCCAGGATCGGTCTCCAAAACTCCTCCATCGGCGTAGCGACATCGCAGTCCCTCGAGCCCGGTAGCTGGCAAGACCACGGCGACATCGGCCTCCCCCTATCCGACAAGTACAACCTCATCGACCCATTCGTCTTCCAAGAGACGCCCAAAAACCCCATCTACTTCACCTTCGGCTCCTTCTGGGACGACATCTTCCAAGTCGAGCTTTTCTCGCACGACGACCTCATGGCTTTTGGCGGGTGGGCCGAGCAGAACAACCGTATCAACAACATGGTGCGCAATAGTACTTATGGAGCTACCGTCGCCGAGGGTGCTATCATGTGGAAAGAAAAGGACTTTTACTACATGTTTTACAGCGTGGGCATGTGTTGCAACACGCCTGACACGCCCGGGGGTCTTGCTCCTGAAGGCCAGGTATACCATGTTGTCGTCTGCCGCTCGGAAGTTCCTACTGGGCCTTTCTATGATCAGGACGGTAAGAGTTGTCTCGAAGAGAACGGTGGTACGACTATCCTCGCTAGCCATGGCGATGTCTATGCGCCTGGTGGACAGGGTGTTATGGTTAGTCTTGAGGATGGGAGGACCGTGATGTACTATCACTACGGTAAGTGGAAGATGGAATGCAATACACGTGGATCGAGCTAATGTTGATGCAGTTCGTCCGAGTGTCGGCTATGAAGCTGATCAGTTCTTCTTTGGATACAACTATCTTGATTGGCAAGATGGCTGGCCGATCGTTGTTGCTGCTTGATCGGCTGCTATGCTGTTTCCATCTTCTACGTTCGATATGGTACCTGTGCAGCACTTGTATCTCTTCTGGATGTCGAGAGCTTGTGTTCTTTTCCCTTGTTTGTTTATAACGGGTCTTAAGCGCGGCGTCTTGGTACCAACTCTCGGGGTGGCTGCTCAAGGATTCACGATCTACGACTTACGGTCTCACGGCTTTGACTGTACTGGGCGCAATGCTGGATAAATTTTGATGTATGATGCGGTTTGTCGGAGGCTTTCAGCGAACTGACAGGGGTACTGCTGGATCGTGGCTATCGGTATAGTCAAAGCTATTTACTGTAGATTCTTCTCTGTAGTAGAATAAAGCCTCTAGGTTTCGGATAATATTGCTGTACCCTTCATAGACCCTTGAAGCAAACGAATATGCTATGGATAGTTCGTAAGACCAATTCTCTGATGCCTCTAATGTAGACTCCACACATTCAAATGCCCCGACTAGAGCAGCCATCGACAATACTGTAGAGGCGGTTCAACCCACTAGATTCTTTGTCAAAGCCTGCAGGCCAACAGATTTTGCTCTCAGCTGATGCACTGCATACTAGCCTTTCGTGCCCACAGTGCCGCGCGTATGCGCTTAGTTTCGGAAGTGGTGGGATGAAGCAGCCGGAGGGCCGATTACGCGGGGTAAAAATAACCTCCACGGTCATGATGTTGCGCATGCTAGATCTGAGCAATTGCTTTTACCGAGGAGATAAGCTTCTTGTGGTGCCCTAGTAGTGGTATCAGGGATTCGGTGCTGAATCGCTTTCGGGTTGTTATTCCCAGCCCCCGGCAGATTGTAGCCTCAGCTGCGATGGACGGTTGGGGGAGGTGCATGATCGCTATTGCTCGGAAAGGTTAGCCGCCAATGACGTCACCAATCGCTTCCTCTGGCGGCTGAGATCGCGCCATGCCTATTTACCTGCCAAGTGCAGCACAGTGAATACAGGTTATTCCATTGCGGTGGGTCACTACAAGACCAGTGCACGCGACTGATCGCCTCTCCGTCGCCTACGCCTCACTCCTCAGCCTCCATCTCCAGCCTCACTTGCGCACCATCTCAACCATCGTTACCCCGCGCGATTGCTGATCGCTGCGCACGGTCGTCAACATGCCCTCCCAAGAGAAGGGCCTTAAGAAGCTCTTTCATCCTTTTAACCACCGCGCTTCTGAGAAGATTGAGGAGATTGAGCAAAAGCTCGAGCACACCAAACTGCGAGGCGCACATGTTAAGGCTGTGCACATCAAGCATAAGATCGGCAAGTTCACCAACCTCTTCAATGCCAACCATCGCCACGACGAGGAGCATGAGAAGGAGACGGATGCGAAGAGGAGCAAGATCGCGGAGAACCACCGCTTCCATAGCTTTGCGCCGGAGCGCGACAACAACTTGGTGAAGTGGTACGTCGATGGGAGGGATTACTTCTGGGCCGTTGCAGAGGCATTGGAGCAAGCCAAAGAGACCATCTACATTGCAGATTGGTGGCTCAGCCCTGAACTCTTCCTGAAGCGACCGCCTTACTACAACCAGCAATTTCGGCTGGATCAAGTACTCAAGCGCCGCGCAGCGGCTGGTGTGCAAATTTATGTTTCCGTGTACAAGGAGGTGAGGTCATCAATCTGCGTCAAATCAACAGCAGCTTATACTTACTCAGGTTTCTGCGGCTCTCACATGCAACAGTCAGCATACCAAGAAAGCACTCATGGGCCTGTTTGAAGAAGGCGAGCCTGGGTACGGGAACATCAAGGTGATGAGACATCCTGACCACAATGTCTTCGAGAATGCTTCGGATATGACGTTCTACTGGGCGCATCACGAGAAGTTCATCGTCATCGACTATGCCATGGCCTTCATCGGTGGACTGGACTTGTGTTACGGCCGATGGGACGACAAGCAGCACCCGCTTGCCGATGCCCATCCGTCTGGTGTTCAAAATCAAATCTTCCCTGGTCAGGACTACAACAATAACCGTATCATGGACTTTGAGAGCGTTGATGACTGGAAATCGAACAAGCTGAACAAGCTAGAGTTTGGCCGCATGCCATGGCACGATGTCGCAATGGGTGTCATTGGACCAGCGGTGTACGACATCGCTGAGCATTTCGTCCTGCGATGGAACTTCGTGAAGCGAGAAAAGTACAAGCGTGACGAGAGATACGATTGGCTCACCATGGAAGGACGTGAAGGCGCCGACGAAGATCTGATCGGGGTGCAACGGCCCAAGTTCCCTGTTGGCCAATATGTACACCATCCCATCACGCAGCTGAACAGCAAGAACCTCGACAACCGTGGAACTGTACACGCGCAATTGGTCAGAAGTAGCGGCGACTGGAGTATGGGCATTGACCCTCATGAGCAGAGTATCCAGAACGCATACTGCGAGATTATCCGCAACGCGCAACACTACGTCTACATCGAAAATCAATTCTTCATCACGGCAACGGACAAGAACGACCAGAACCCTGTTCACAACCAGATCGGAGCTGCAATGGTCGACGCTATCGTGTCAGCGGCTAAAGAGCAGCGTAACTTCAAGATTGTCATTGTCATTCCCGCGATTCCAGGATTTGCAGGAGATCTGCGCGATCAGGCCGCCGCTGGGACACGAGCTATCATGGACTATCAATTCAAGAGCATCTGCAGAGGCGACGAAAGCATCTACGGAAAGATCAAAGCGGCCGGTATCGACCCGGAAAAGTACATCTTCTTCTTCAACCTTCGTTCATACGACCGTATCAATGTCACACCCACGCTTAAGGAGCGCGAGAAGAAGTCCGGTAAGTCGTACATGGATCTGGAAGCGGCTGAGATCGACGAGCTGGAAGCGCCACCGGAAGAGGGAGGAGACGAGGCACGACGCAGAGCCGCTGAGATGAGGAAGGCGTACATGGACGAGGAGGAAGATGTTGGCAAGGGTGACCAGGGTGGTGTTATCGACCCAGACTCGATTGCCGACGACGCGATGCTTACGGAAAAGAAGCCCAGCGAGGAAGCGTGGGAAGGCGAAGAGGAAGAGGAGAAAGAGCACTTCTTTCAAGAGGAGCTCTACATCCACGCGAAGATTTGCATCGTTGACGACAAAACCGTAATCTGTGGTTCATCCAACATCAACGACCGCTCACAATTGGGTTTCCACGACTCCGAACTCTCCATCGTCCTGCAAGATACAGCAGAAGTCGACACTGAAATGGACGGCAAGCCCTACAAGGCTGCAAAACTCGCCCATGAACTCCGTAGCAGCTTATGGCGCGAACATCTCGGCCTCCTCCCACCACAAGCCCTCAACGCCGCTGATGACCCCAACGCGCAGCCCCCCGGCGAAAACTCACCAAACGACCCCATGCCCGGCCCTGAAGCAGATTTCGTCTCTGACCCTCTCTCACCCAAACTCTGGGACGAATGGACCGAGCGAGCGACTACCAATACCGAGGTGTTTAGATCGCTGTTCCATGCTGATCCTGACGACAATATTCTCACGTTTGAGGATTATGACAAGTTTACGCCCAATCCGTCTGGTGACAAGGAACATAAGCAGGGTCATCTTTATGATATGGTTCGGCCTGTTAAGGAGATTAGGGCAGAGTTAGATCGTGTCAAGGGACATTTGGTGTGGATGCAGTTGAAGTTTTTGGAGAATGCGGATATGGCTGAGCGGGGGCTGCAGGTCAACTCTTTTACTGAGAGTGTGTATACTTGAGGGGGGTGTATCGCGGTAGAAGCAGGTGGCTATCAGAGGTGGCTGGTTGTTTTCGCTGGGGCGATTGGACGAGTCGCATCGGTGTATCCTTCTCGCCGATTGTCTTTTCTTTATGATTCCCTATTACGTTTTCTCGATGTCATTATGACCTGAATGAATGCATCTTCTTCGTATGAAAAGAGCGACATGTTCCTTGTATTGTGCAGCTTATGCTGTTCCACGGCGACAAAGTACAACGGTGATGAAGAATACATGGGTACTAACAAGCTTGTAGTAGCCGACTCACATTACCGCGGAGGTAGTCAACTCAGTGCACAAAGACGCATGAGTACATGAGAAGGTGATGAAGTCCCCGAATCTCAGTACGATATGTAAAATATGCGAATAAACTTCTAGTGTATTCCTCAACTCATCTCTCCCTACATTTAGTAAAACGTTCTAGCCGATCTGTCGTCTTCCGGCATTTACATCGCCCTTTCGTTCATCCTCCATCTCCTCACCGTCATCATCAGTATCATGCTCCTTCTCCCACTCCAAGGTCTCCGCAAATCTCCACGTCTCACTTACGTCCGACACAAACAGACCACCTGTACTCGCCCAAGGTGGTATAGCCGAGGAAGGTGCAACAGAACTCTGCTCATCCTCGTCGAGACGCACTTGTTCCTGTTCATCCTCATCTCGTTTCATCTCGGACTGCTCCCCACCATCATCCTCCCACGCCAATGCCGCCTCAAAATTTCCCGTCTCATTCTCATCCCGCACGAACAGGCCGCCTGATCCGGGTGACGTAGGCGCAACAGACATCTGCTCATCTTCGACCCGGTCATCTGGTGGTTGTTCAAACTCTGAGCCTGGGTAGAGTGCTGAGTGAAGGGTAAGGTCTTCTTCCTCATCATCTGTTTGCCCTTCATATTGTTGTTGCGGTGAAGACCGGACGACAGGGTACTGCAGGTTCTCATATTCGTCGAACGTTGGTGGGGGAAGGGGTGTGTTTTGCGCGTCAGAGGCGGAGGACGACGAGGGGCATGCATTGTAGTCGGAGTCGAAACGTGGGTCGGCGTAGAGGTCCATGTTATCGTCCCCATCCTGCGGCGGCGGTGGCGGTAGGGGTGTGGTGGGCTGATGGGAGCCCGGATGTTGATCGGAGTCTACATCCATACTGGAGTCACCACTTGACGACGACGATGCTGATGAGATCTCGATTGGCTGATGGCTTGTGCTTCCTGTAGTCGGCTGACGCGCTGGAGATCTACCAGCCGGTTGGCGAACAGCTGGTCGAGGAGGCAACATTGGAGCAACAGGAGCACGTAGGGTAACTGCCGGAGCTGATGTCGCAGCCGCGGGTCTAGATACCGGTACGTCTGAACTTGGAAGAGGGGTCTTGTACTGTTGAGCATGTGTTCGTGGTCGCGGTGGAGCAGGCTGTAAGGGGATGAAGGTGAAAGGTGAGGAGAAATACCTTGAGTTTGGGTATCGGACAGCCGGTATTGGTGGACCAATGGTGTATATGTTGGTCGAGTTGTTGTTTTGACGCTGAGACGTCCGTCGACGGACGGCTGGAATGGGTTGAGCTGGTGGTGGTACTGGCCTGGGTATAGGTTGTCGAGTTGGTTGTTGCGCGCGCCCAGGTCCTCGTCCACGTCCACGTCGAGGTCCACCTACAGGACGTGTCGCTGGACGTCGTGTAGGTGTAGGACCAGATACAGCTGATATATCGTACGTTGGAGGGGAAAACGGCTGAAGAACCCCCTGCTCGTTGAAAGTTCCCAGTGGCGGCTGCGTCCAAGGCGACCTCGGCTCAGGGGAAGGGGAAGGGCTGTCTGGTGCTGGTGTGGGTGATGGCTCCCTCCTCTTACAGTAGCCCCGAGGCTCACCTCGAGTCCTCGTGACGAAATGAGCAAAGAACCGCCTATTGGCGCCGGTGAAGTATACACCGTCATTCCATTCCTCCTTCGTCAACAGTTCGTCCTCCACACACTGCGTTTCTCGAGAAAAATGGAGGTGCATTTTAAAATAGCGTTCGTCGCGGTTGAACGCGTTGAATGTGAATTCGACGAGGTCGTCCCAGTCGGCCAGCTCGGATGAGCGTCGGCGGAATAAGTCTGGACTGGATCCATAGTCTCGGACTTCGATCAGCGTAGCGCTAGGAGTTGACATCTCGAATCGCGGTGGTGGGTACTAGGGTGGGAAATTGAAGGTGCGAGAGTGTATATAAGAAGTTGAATGGCGAAGGAGAGATATCGCAGGCAGTTGGAGCTTCTTTGCGGGATATTTATTGTGCGGGTATGGTGATTGCTAGTGGAAGTCACACGGACGCAAAGGAAGCGACAAACGGGAAAGAGAGTGGTGTGATGACATCAGAATCCTGTGACTTGATTGTGTACCTAGCAATGAAAGACCTGCTTTTGTATATACCAAACGCCCATACAGGCTCAAGCTGATCTCGCTCAGTGTTGAGCACCGCCTTCAGGAACGTCTGTAGAATCCGAAAGAGATCCCTCCTCGTCCTCGTCTTCCACATACTCAAGGGATTTCACGGTCTGCTTTGCTCTCCTCTTTTTCACTTTGCCTCCTGTATGACCAGCTGACCCATACACCGCAGGCTTCTCGTTTGTCTCCCTCTTCGTCCTGATCATTGCTCTGATCGCGTCAGAGATCTTCCACGGCGGCAACGCTACGAGCGGCTCAGAGAAGTTCACATCCTTCAATGGGATCTGTATTTCACCATGCCCTCTCGTATGTTTGGTATGTCGGGCGGGAACGTACGCAATGATAACGTTCTTCTTGCTCAGCATTGCACGAACAGCAGGACGTTTGTGCGGTATAAGACACCAGTGTTCCTTAGCATGCCCAATAACGACGCCTTCTTTTCGCAGGCCTTGGTGCTTCGTGTCATCCATAATGACGATCGGTACCTCGGGTGTGATAGCTTCAGAGACATTTGGTAGTGATGGACTGACAGTAGAGAGGCGGGGACCCTGAGGGGTGTTCGTGTTTCTAGGTACATTACGCTCCTCGATCATGGTTTTTATGGCTTGCGTTCTTTCTTCGCCGAAGGGATACTTTGCGAGCTCGGGTGTGTATTCCACATGTGTCGTCGCGATCTGTATATCTCCTTTGATTGTGCTCCGTTTTGAGTATTTCCCAGGGATGTAAGCTACTACAGCGCCAACTTTGCTAATCATGGCGCGGACGACTGGGCGAACATTAGGATCAAGACAGCTCTCTGGGAGGGCACGTCCAATCACGACGCCATTCTCTAGATGACTGCTGCTGCTCGAGTCGTCTACGGTAACGACCTCATTAGCAGCAACCGGCAGGACGAGTGCACTCTTGAGAATGTAGGTTGACTTTAGGGTTGGTTCAGTAACGAAAGGGTTGTGTGGCAATCCTCTTGAAAAGGGCGTAGACGAATCTTGCTTCGATTCTCCGAGGTAATCTTCGATGTCTTCCGTGAACTTTCTCTATATCGTGTCAGTCGAGGTTTCCAACAAGCGTCAAACGACATTACCTTTTTTCGAAGACCCTGATCGCCAAATGTTCCCTGATACCATAATTTATCCTCTTCTTCCGTCTCAAAACGTCCGCGTGTGTCCGTGGTAAATCCAGGTGGTGGTTCCACCTGTTCGAAGTGTGCATATAACACCAGTCTGCCGTCCACTACGAATTCGGGATCGAAGTACCCTCCAGCATCCCATTCGCTCGGGCTCATCCGGTCGTCGCAAGCGTGACCGTCGAAATGAAGATGTGCGTTGTAGCGATCCCACGGCTTGGCGAAGATGTTGTGTACATTCGCGAGAAGTTCCTGTAAGGCTTAGCATGTGCTTGGCGTGTTGGCTATTCTCAAGTGAGGAATTCGAAGGTATACGTGGAGGTGAGACACGACGCAGGCTAGGTCAGTAGTTGGGACGACATACCCAGTAGTTGCGAGCTCGACGGGCCGCGACACGGTAGCTAGTCTCTCGGCCGTCGAATTCGCGGACGAGTATTATAGGGAAAGACTTCATCTTACCCCGGTGGGAATGGGAGTCTTGGAAGTGGACGGACAGAAGTTTGGCAGTGCAAGCCTCCATGTAGCCGAGTGTGATCTGGTGGCGACATCGCAGTGAGAGAGACGTGACATGGAAGTGTGGCACGTGCCAACTTGAAGCGGAAAGAAGATGAGGTGAGATGCAATGGTTTCGTTGCTAGAAACTTGATAATGGGTATCTTGTGAAATATTCAACGCGCTTTAAAAAAAACGTACTGCCACCCAGGACTAGGCGTGCCTAGATATCAGCCATGCCGGTATTGCCATTGAGCTTCCGGTTGTTCTCTTTCCCTCTGCCTTTAGTCTTCTTGTTGTTGCCATCGGTGACAGCAGTGCTGCTGATGGCTCTCTTCCTGCGCCCCGCTTTAGCACTTGCGATGGAGGACGGCGTCTCTTCTCTCGATGCGCTGGTCATATCTTCCGGCAGAAACTTCCCGCTGCCAGCAGCCTCTCGAACTAAAGATGTATAGAGCTCTTGTACAGCGAGTTCGCTTGCACTTGCGTCTTGTGATGCGCCACCTTCATCGGAGAAGGACGTGTCGGCTAGCGGGTCGGGTGCGACGAGTTTGAGGCGTTCGGTGCCGAGGTGGAAGCTGTTACAAGCTATTCGAGATATCTGGACTTTGGGGTGCGAAATGTCGAGGGCGAGGTGCTGCTGAAGATACGCAGTCAGGGCAGCTGTAAAGGGCTTATCTTGTGTATCTTTGAGCAGTCTGCCCCTGTCGACGAAACCCGAGATGTCGCCGCCTGCGACTGTGATCTCTACGTGTTTGAGGATAGTTGTGGTGTTGGGGAATGCCAATTGAATATGCAGTTGTCTTATGATGTCTTGTATGGATTGGGTGGAGTACCTCGCTGCGAGGTGCTTGAAGTAGGTCTCGAGACTTGAGGTGATGAAGGGCGAGGGCAGCTTCAAGGGCGCAACGTGGGCATCGAAGGTCGTCCGGAGGTAGTTGAGGAAGATGTCACGTATTGGGCCTGGCATCTTCACGAGTAGTAGGGGTAGTGACGTGAAGCCCGTTTGCGAGGAAGTGACGCCTGGGTCCCGCAGCAGGAGCGCATTATACGACTGCTTCTCATACTCGAGGCTGACTTCTAGTCCACGCGCCCGCTCTGGAGTGAGCTGGGAGACGGACGATAGCTGTGACGCATCGGGGTCTATCGACTGGCGATGTCGGTCAATCCAGGCGTCCTCGTCGCCAATCAGCTCCCAGCTGCACTCGTCCAACGGCCCGAGTTTCGCGGTGTCGTCGGCACCGGCAAAGTCGACCTGCACGCCGCGCACGTTGTCGCCTTTGAGCTGTTCCTTCAGCCGCTTGGCATGGGTGCGGAGTGAGGCGTCGACTAAGAGGGGGTTGTCGTGGCAGTGGAGCGGGGACAGGCGGTACAGGTTGTACGTGCGGTTGTAGAGTGGGTACGGGGGAATTTGGGCCATGCTGATGTCAGCTATCTTATCGCAGTGAGGGTCGACGCGTGCGGATGCTCAGAGGCGGGCGTGTAGGCGTCCATGGGGGTTGGAAGACGCTGGCGGCATCGAGACGCGTCGGCGGAGACTGCGGGAGCGAGTGCGTGCGGATATGACGCAGCGTGTTGTTGGACGATTTGCGTGGTCCGTGCCTTCCGCAACACTTTCTTTAGTGACCCCGCTAAAACAGGGCCTGTCGAGAAGGTTCTCTTTTCTTCGACGTATTGCCAGCAAGTCATCACGCAGCGGCCTATTGAAATTTGCGAACCCGTGTCTGTCTATCTTTTGCACGCTCCTCCAAACACGACTTTCACCGCACACACTCCCTCCACGTTTGCCCACACATACCCCGCCATCAGAGATAAACATGTCTGTAGTAGGTGTTGATTTGGGAACGCTCAACAGCGTCATTGCTGTTGCGCGGAATCGCGGTGTCGATGTGGTGAGTAGGCCCCGGGTCGCATACCGTATACGAAATTACTGACGCTGGTAGATTGCAAATGAGGTTTCCAACCGCGCGACACCGTAAGTAAACCCCCAGCGCACACGACGCAGCAGTCGACTGACAATTTCCCAGATCGCTAGTCGGATTCGGCCCCAAGAGCAGATACGTCGGCGAGACGGCCAAGAACCAGGAAATCTCCAACCTCAAGAACACCGTCTCCTCCTTCGTCCGCCTCGCCGGCCGCAGCCTCACAGACCCCGATGTCCAAGTCGAGCAAGACTTCGTATCCGCACCGCTCATCGACATGGGCGGCCAGGTCGGCGCTGAGGTGACATATCTGGGCAAGAAGGAGCAGTTCACTGCCACCCAGATCACCGCCATGTTCCTCACCAAGATGCGCGCCACAGCATCTGCCGAACTCAAACTCCCCGTCAACGACGTTGTCCTTAGTTGCCCCGTCTGGTACACCGACGCCCAGCGCCGCGCCATCCTCGACGCGGCCGACATCGCTGGCCTCAAGTGCCTGAGGCTCATCAACGACAACACCGCAGTCGCCCTCGGCTGGGGTATCACAAAACTCGACCTCCCAGCGCCTGAGGAGAAGCCACGGAGAGTTGTCTTCGTCAACATTGGCCACAGCAACTACACCGCTACCGTCGTTGAGTTCAAGAAGGGTGAGCTCGCCGTCAAGTCGAGCGCCTGGGACCGTCACTACGGAGGACGCTACATCGACAAGGCCCTTGTCGAGCACTTCGCCAAGGAGTTCAAGGAGAAGTACAAGATCGACGTCATGGAGAACGGCAAGGCTCGCCTCCGTCTGTCGGCCGGTGTCGAGAAGCTCAAGAAGGTCCTTTCCGCAAACAACCAGGCCCCCATCAACGTCGAGTCCATCATGAACGACGTCGATGTCCGCGGTATGCTCAAGCGCGAGGAGCTTGAGGAGCTGATCAAGCCCCTCATCGACCGTGCTACCGCCCCTATCGAGCAGGCTCTCGCCGAGGCCAAGCTCACCACTGCCGACATCGACGCCATCGAGATGGTTGGTGGCTGCACACGTGTGCCCGTCCTCAAGGCCAAGATCCAGGACTACTTCGGCAAGCCGCTCTCCTTCACTCTCAACCAGGACGAGGCTGTCGCTCGTGGATGCGCTTTCTGCTGCGCCATCCTCTCGCCAGTATTCCGTGTCCGTGACTTCTCCGTTCACGACATGGTCAACTACCCCGTCGAATTCACCTGGGAGAAGTCAGAGGACATCCCGGATGAGGACACCAACCTCACCGTCTTCAACAAGGGCAACGTCATGCCATCCACCAAGATCCTCACATTCTACCGGAAACACCCATTCGACCTCGAGGCCAGGTACGCCAAGCCCGAGCAACTGCCAGGCAAGATGAACCCCTGGATCGGCCGTTTCTCCGTCAAGGGTGTCAAGGAGGACCCCAAGGGCGACTTCATGATCTGCAAGCTCAAGGCACGTCTCAACGTGCACGGTGTGCTCAACGTCGAGTCTGGATACTACGTCGAGGAAACCGAAGTTGAGGAGCCAATTCCCGAGTCTCCGTCAGCAGAGAAGAAAGAGGGTGATGTACGTTCCGAATTTCCTTCTGATCCTAGTAACGGTCGGCAAAGCCCGCCCGAGCCTGCCGCGAAACGACACAAGCCTGACGCTGATCCTGTACTTGCGCGTCCTGCTTCTGCGCACGTAACAAATGAGCTAACAAATTATGCGCAGGCAATGGACGTTGACAAGGACGCCGCCAAGGAGCCACCGAAGATGCGCAAGGTCAAGAAGCAGCAGCGCAAGGGTGACCTGCCACTTTCAGCCGGAACTGCTTCGCTTGACGAAGAGAGCAAGCAGATCCTGGCCGAGAAGGAGAACTCCATGATCATGGAGGACAAGCTTGTTCAAGACACCGAGAACGAGAAGAACAACCTCGAGAGCTTCATCTACGAGCTCAAGGACAAGATTCTCGACGTTTACGCCGAATTCGCCAGCGACGAAGAGAAGGCTAAGCTCAACACCAAGCTCGAGACTATTGAGGTGAGTCCCATTAGCAGTACGATGTATGAACTGCGCTGACACCTATACAGGAATGGTTATACGACGAGGGTGACGATGCGTCGAAGGCACAGTACGTCTCCAAGAAGGAGGACATCCGCTCCATCGCCGGCCCCATCATCCAGCGCTACAACGACAAGATCGAGGGCGAGCGACAAGCGGCTATGGAGAAGCACCAAAAAGAGCACGCCGCCAAGCAAGCCGAGCTTGAGCGCGCAAAGCGGGAAGCCGAGGCCAAGAAGCAGGCTGAGGCGCCGCCGGCGGAAGAGCCAAAAGACGCGGAGATGACAGATGCCGAGGCACAAAAGCCAGACGGCGTTGAGGAGGCTTCTTAAGTGAGAGGCATCTGTGAAGGCGTAACGGCAAAGTGAAAAGCATTTGGTCGGCGTGGTAAACTAAAGGGCTACGTTTAGCGCCGAGGGGAAAGTTTTCTCTGTTCAACTTTTCTTCCTTTTTTTCTGTGATGATGATCATGGTAATGCGATGCTTATGATAGACTAGTCAATAGACGAACGAACACGATATCCAGTTCTGAAACTACAATGTTATGTTCCATTGCTTCCATGATTCTGGTCTGCGTGGTTATTCTTTCTTTCTATGACTGAACTCCGCCATTAAAGTGGGGGGGCGGAACCCATCGCCAGCTGCCTCTTTGCGCAATCTTCTGAATACCTTCTTACTCCCTAACCTAGCTACCTATATAACCGAAGGAACACATAGAGTGCGCTTGATCATACCACCTCGCCTCTATCCTGAGAGAAACTCCTTCCCATAACACTGCGATTGAGAACTGCCCACACGGATATTGATGCAGCTTCGACAACAAATGACACAAACGCAGATTCCCTGCGACTCAGCGCGATACCAAGGAAGATTCCATTCACAGTCAATGTCGCGAGCAAGCAGAACCAAATGACTATCCTGAAAGGATATGGCATGCACTCGAAGACAGCGTTCATCATGTTGGCGATAGCAGACACCAGGCTTTCGACCATGTTGAGTAGGGCCCCTGGAAGCCAGCGGAGAAATCGAGCAGGCGTTCGAATGCAGCCATTATCGTGCTGCCACATTGGAGTCCGGCTGTTCAGGTTCCGACCGACGAGCGGTTTGAGTTCGTTGCCCTCCACATTTTCGGGGCGGGCCGCTGAGACGTCGTGGGAGGATAGATCGGATGACGAGCGCTGAGATGCAGTCTCTTCCTCAAACATCCGGAGAGGTTTTGCTCTGCTTTTCATCAGCTCATCATATCCATAAGCCGCACAACAGTTGGCCAACCTGTTGTTCTCAGCCTGTGAACGCCCAGTATCCATCGGTGCGTCGTGGAGCTCCGAAGTTATTCAGGTTTACTGGACAGTTGTAGTACATTAATACAGCTACAGCCTCGTAGCCCAGCCAAAAGACTTTTCAGACGGTCCTCCTGATGATGGCCGGAGTGCCAGTGATCCGCACTTTGAGAGCCTTCCTGGCAGAAGATTTTGCGACTGCCGTTACGTCCGTATTGTCAAGAATACCGAGAGTCCTCTCGACTCAGTCCGGATAGCTGAGGATAAAGATGCGTCTACGCGTCCGCAAGGTGTTGTTCCAGCCCCCAAATACTCCGCCTCGGTAAGCGCTCAGCCATGGTGTCCCCTTCTTTCTATCCAATAGGATGACAGCGACTGCAAGCCCCGTGGGGCTATGTCGTTCAGCTGCTTAGCAGCATATCTCTTCATCAGCTCGCATCCGCAGGAATTTCACGCTCGCTTTAGATTCGAAAATGGCCGAGGCACTCGCTATAATCGGGCTGGTATCTAATATCCTATCTTTTATCGACTTTGGTATCAAATTCGCTTCTGGGACTCGGGATGTGCGCGATTCCCTTCACGGTACAACTGCGGAAGTGCGAGAGCTGGAGATCATCGTGGAAGACGTCGAAAGATATCATGCGCAAGTAGACAAGTTGCGATCCAATGGTCAAGAGCTTTCTGCGCACGAAAAAAGTATCATGGGCATGGTAAAATACTGCCGTAACATAGCCGAAGATTTGCACAAGATTATCGAACGACTACATGTGCGCGAAGGTCGCTCGAAGACCCTCGAAAGTAGTCGCGTTCTTTTTCAAGGTCTCTGGAAACAACGCGACATCGATACTCTACGAGAAAGACTTGAGGCGCTAGATAAGAGGATTCGGGTGAATGTCGAACATATTATTCGGAGGTATGTCAACGGAGATGGTAACAGCGTTCTGAGCTGCATACGCCTAGTTCAATCCTGGGGAAAACCAAACACCCTAGAGCCTACATCAGCTCCAGATCTTTTAATCTGCTTGTTTCATCCTCTGCAGTCTGCGGACCTATTCAGAGGCTTCTTGATATAAGGTGTACCAACTATTAGCCAGCACGCATGCTGACTTCTTGGCTTTTAGTGATCATCACTCTTCACTATCAGCCAAACTAGACGTCTTGAAGAAGGCTCAAGATGCCTTAGCGATCAACTATGACACTAAGTTGGATCGGATTCGTGACGAAATACTCACACTCGTAGCACAAAATCGCACGAGCGAAGGCGCTACGCAGGCCGCGCAATTAACTAGTCTGAAGACGAAGTTTGATGCACTTGGAAAAGAGCACATGGCATGCATCAAGCAAACCGCCACTATCAGAAGCCTCTACTTTCCAGTGCTTCGCAGGCGCTGGAGCCAGATTCCCAAAGCTGATAGAGCGTCGAACACGTGGATCTTTGAGAGGTCATTGACATCCTTCACAGTCTGGTTAGAGAGCACTGACGAACATGATGGACTTTTCTGCATAACAGGCCGGGTAAAAAGGATCTCTTCAGTGTCGTAACTTCCACTGACATGGCCGATATAGGCAGGCAGCGGCAAGTCCACTCTTATGAAGTTCGTATCTGAAAATCCTCGCACTTTCGAATGCCTTGAAGGCTGGGCCGGCACGACCAAACTCTGCACTGCAAGCTACTACTTCTGGAATCAAGGCTACGAAATGCAAAAGAGCCAAGTAGGGCTCTTCCAGTCACTCCTGTACCAGATACTCAAATCCATACCGAGACTCATCGAGATAGTGTGCCCGAACCGTCTTGAGCACGAAGAATGGGACGTGGAGGAACTGAAAGCTACCTTCGCGCGCATAGCTACCCAAAAAGATTTGGAAGTCAAGTTCTGCTTCTTCATCGACGGTCTAGACGAGTACAATGGGGCTGAGGAGGACGTCGTCAGCGCTCTGAAGTTCCTCTCTGTATCGAAAGACATCAAGATATGTGCTTCGACCCGGCCTCGCTCGGTATTTGAAAAGTTTTTCAATAACAGGTCTCGCACATTCGACATCAAGGGCTTCACCAAAGAAGATATGGGACGCCATGTTCAGCGCAAACTCGGGAAGAATGAGAATTTCCAACGTCTGGAGGATGCCGATTTCACCTGCGAATCGATAATGACGGTGATTGCAGACCTCGCGCAGGGTGTATGGTTATGGGTCTTCCTCATCACTCGTGACCTTGTACACGCTGTCAACCGAGACGAGGGTGTGGAGATGCTGTGGAAGATCGTCAATCTATTTCCAGCAGATTTGGAAGCTTACTTTGAGCGAATGCTCAAGGCTGTCAAGCCACAATACCTTGAAGAGATGTCGCAGATCTTCCTGATCACGGTCGATGAACTGCAACCGCTCCCGCTATACGCATTCTGGCTACTGGAGAGTGAACGCAAGAATCCCGCCCACACCATCAACGTCCCCATACGACCCCTCCGAGACTGTGACTTGAAAGACGAGTACCCAAAGTGGAGGTCGCTTATCCAGAACAGATGTAGCGACCTTCTTGTTGTCAACGATCAAGAGTAAGTCAAGCTCTTGCCTATCTACTAATGCGCTAGAATATCCTACAGTAATACTTAGGATGTGGGTATATCTAGTCATTGTACAACAGAACTGCGAGCGCTGCGAGACTTTTCTCCACCAAGTAAACGTCTGTTTGATACTTGCTAACCGCATACTCACCACAGACACCCCCTCCTCCCGTGGAGTCACACGGTCGACTTCCTCCACCGGACGGTCGGCGACTTCTTGCAGGACAATTACTACTCCCAACTACAAGCCAATCTGAACGGCGAGTTTAGCTCTACGTCTACCCTATGTAAGATGTGCCTTGTAATGCTCAAATCACTTCCGGATGTCGACTTCAATGCACGACTTTCAATCAACATAGTCATCGGGCTAACGGACGAGCTACTTTATTACGCTTACGAAACCGAGAGAACCGACCCAAGCCCTACGTCATCCCTAGTAGAGGTTCTTGATGAGGTGGATCGCGTCAATACCCACCACGCACGTGGTACAAGAAACCACTGGACGCATGCCCGTGATGCAGTCGTCGACCGTGGGTATGATATGTATCGTGAGGGGGACAATTACAACTTTCTTGCACTGACTGTGCAAGCACGCCTCGTCAAATACGTTCGTGCGAAGTTAGACGCCAATCCAAACAATGCGCGAAAAGGCGGGCGACCACTACTGGACTATGCGCTCCGCCCACGTCGAATTACACCCATCAATATGAAATACCACTCCAAGCGCGATGATCCGAGTGTGAATGTGGATAGTAAGTTACAGCTCTACAAATGCACGTGAAACGTACACTAACTTCGGATCATCACCTTTGTAGTGGTACGGCTACTCCTCGAACGCGGGGCAGATCCGAACCAGCCTGTTCACCTCAACGACAGCAAGTCAGTCTGGCACCTTTTTTTACTCTCAATGGACGAGACCGTGTCACGTGTTCAAGTGGGTGGTACCAAGCCTTCCGCAGGTCTCACGAGCGCTTGGTACAAGTGCTGCGAACTACTCATTCAACACGGTGCCCGGAAAGACTCCTACGAAAATGAGAGCGGATTGGAAACAACGGATTATGGCATCTTCAAGTATCTCTTTGGGTCTGCGAGAGCAAAGGATCTAGTGGCGCTTATGGACGAGAAGGAGCGAGAGGAGCAACAGGGGAAGGGCTCGTGTATGGTTATGTAGTACCCCACAGGCTATATCGGTATCAAAACAAAAGTTGGTAAGGTATCGACTCAAAGTCGACTTCTGGGTAACTTACTTCTATCATCCTCTCCAGGTACGCCGGTGTCCAATTTTCCCCCCTGGTTAAGGTGCTAGTCTGATTGAGAGCAGAAAACGACCATTCCCGTGCTTGAGGCTTGGTCTCCTTAGCGGCATGCCGGATTGCTTCGACTTGAGGACCACACCTTCAGGCGCAGGACCCTGGACCCGAGCTTTGCGCTTCCATAGTCTTGGCACCACTACCAACGTCACCAGGTGTAGACACAAATTGTGTCGCATTTTTTTTTCTAGGTAGAACTATACATTATCTTACAAAGTATTGACCTGTTCAGATCTAATAGTGTGTATGCAGCAAATCGCGGCGCTCTTAGTTCACACAAGGTTGAGCAATCAAACTTCAGCCGTACCGAGCGAGCCAATGAGAGAGGGATATTGTATGCAGGGGTCCGGCGTACCTTCCCCAAATTTAGCGAGCCTAGGGCTGACAGAGTGGCCGCTCGCCCCTCAAACTGTCTCGCAACATCTCCTGCGTCCTTTTCGAGACATGCATTTCAAGCCGCTAACGATCTTCGCAAAACTTATTGGAGCGACGTCTTCATGTCTGTCGCCCTAGCTAGACGTCGCTCTCGCTATGCAGCCAGAACTCGATACACAGGATCAACACATGACTGCCAAAGCTGCCTACCAACCTGGAAGAAGTGTTATACGGAGGAAGTCTAAATCAGGGTGCGGGACCTGCAAGTGAGTGGATTCCCTTTTCCAATGATACGGTACTCAACCGATTGGCTGTTTGTTCTGCAGCGATCTGGGGTACTTGATATCTATCCCTGTGAACACTTACCAACATCGACTAGAGCGCGAAGAGTCAAGTGCGACGAAACCAAGCCTGTATGCTCTCGTTGTCGCTCCACCGGCCGGACATGCGAGGGCTACGGACTGTGGGGTGGCGGAGGGAACACCTACGTTGAAAGATACGGCCGAGTGTCAACATCGATCCAGAAGCCTCCAACCAAAGTCCTAGATGTCGAGGAACTCAGGTATTTACAGTTGTACAAGATCCGGATTGTCCATACAACTTCCGGTTGGTTCGCATCGAAGTTCTGGAACTCGATTGTGCTACCAGCAGCGTCGTCAGAACCGGCTGTCCTTCATGCTGCTGTTGCGTTGAGCGCTGCGCACAGATGCAGTTTCGATTCGGCGCAAGCTCCAGATACACGGGAGAAGTTCATGCTTCAACAGTATGGCAAAGCGATCCAGTCGCTACAGCCGCTGTTGCGGCGTGGGGACAAAGCCTCGGTCACTGTCATATTAGTGACCTGTCAGTTATTCACCTTGCTTGAATACCTCCGCGGGCAATACCAACTGGCCGAAACACACTTACGGAACGGCCTAAAGCTCATGATAGACATAACCGCCGAGAAAGATCGCTCGCATGATGGCGTCCTCGTAATTAAGCCGGCTTCATATGAGAATAGCATCGATCAAGGGATCGTACGCAGCTTTGCGACCCTACACATGCAAAGCAATCTTTTCGGTTCCAGTCTAGAAGATCTCGATGTGTTCTTGCAGCCGATAGCAAACACCATACCATACCCTGCTTTTACGACGATCGAGGAGGCGAAGGATGCCCTTGACGTGCTATTGCACGGCATTGTTCTCATTACACAACGATATCGTAAACTAGGGCCAGGTACTAAAGACGAAGTTGCTGCGGTTACAGCAGGACAAGAAGAGCTCACGACCTATCTTGCGATGTGGTACGAAACGTATCTGGGTACACTTCCATCAATCGACAAAATAGCCCTAGCTGCCGGAAAGAAATCAAATGAACCGTTGGCGTTCGGTGACAAGACGCCGCCAACAGAGCTCCCGACAGGCCGCGAACCATCAGTCCTCAAATTGCTACTCATGTATCATGCCATGGCGGGTATAATGTGCGGCTGTTTGCAAGTACACTCGGAGCAGCACTACGAAGCATATACGCAAGCGTTCCTCACGATACTTGTACATGCCATCCACATCTTTGAAGAGTATTCTTTGGCAAAATCCATACCCGACAACGTCAATCTCCATGATTCGATCGGCGAATACGGCTTCATAGCGCCTTTGTATTACACGGCTATCAAGTGTCGACACCATCGCATTCGTCTTCATGCTATTCGACTGCTGCGGGTGGTTCCACTTAAGGAAGGAACGTGGGATTCCTTCACGGCAGCTAATATTGCGGAAACAGTGATGGAGGTCGAAGAGGAGGGAGATTTCTATGGGCTCAACCGTAAAGACGACTTCCCTCTATCAGAGATACCCAGTTTGGAAGACTCGTATAGCTGGCCTTTGATGCCAGAGCACAACATGTTCCACGACGTGGAAGTAACAACACGGGAAGGCCTCGCGAACGAAGTCGTCGTTACATGCAAAAGACGGCGACTCGACGGTAGCCCGGAAACCATGACCTTCCACGCCAATCCCAGACCCAGACGCAATACCGACGACAAACGACATTCTTATACATGAAGAGGACTGATACAGCTAAAGAACATCTCATGCATGATCAAAATCAACCAATTCAGCGCATCCACTTGCTCCCTCCTAGAGCCCCCACTCTTCCATCTCCCGCTGAGTCCAGGCCCACAACCTCTCTCCCAACTCCCTATCTCTAGATATCTCACTCCCCATACCCAACACTCCCACAGGTTCATAGTACCGTCCACTCAGTACCCCCTCCGCCGTCGCCGCCCAGACCCCGTTTTTGATCCCTTCTTCTAGCGACCCACACCTATTCGGCGCCACTTCCCTTGCCAGATACTTGATCTGCTCATCACCTCCCTCAGCGCCTTTATTGAAGATTTCCGTCAAAACGTCACCGGGATGGATCGCTACACAGAGGATCTGTGGGTAGTGTAACGCGAACTGGCGCGCGTAGACCACATTGGCGAGTTTGGATTGCGTGTACTTGTTCACGCCTGACAGATTAGGTTGTGAGGTTTTCAATGTGTCGAAGGCGATGCCGCCGTCTGGTAAGGTGGCGGTGTGAGCGTGACCTCGCGAGCTGACGGAGATGACGCGGGGTTTTGATCCAGTTTCCCCCGCAGTTGAGAGCAGTAGCGGAGTGAGTAATTTGAGGAGGAGGGCGTGGCCAATGTGGTTTGTGCCGAATTGCAGTTCGTGGCCCTGGGATGTGGTCCCGGGGTGGCCGCCCATCTATTGTGGTAGAAGGAGAAGATCAGTCAACAACAAGACGCCTCAACGAGATACGAAACGCCGCAAATGAAAGAATGGATTAGGCCAAAGAGAAAGAAAATAAGACATACAATTCCAGCATTCAACAGTAAAACATCCAATTGCCCTCCACACCCGTCCACCACTTCTCTCGCCGCTTTCGCTACCGAGTCAAAACTCGCTAAATCGCATTCCACAAATCGAACATCGACGGTTGGTGCGGCAGCTTTTATCTCAGCTACCGTAGCTTGGCCGCCTGCTACGTTGCGTGCAGCGACCCAGAGTTGTGCTGGGGTTTGCAATGCGAGGGCGAGGGCGGTGGCTTTCCCTATGCCGCTGTTTGCGCCAGTTATCAGGATGACTTTGGAGGAGAGGGAAGGGGCAGAGATGGATGGGATGGAAGACATGTTATCTCAATGATAACAGATGACGAGATTTACCAAGACAAAGAGTAGTCGAGTAGTAAAACGTGAGGTCAAAAGATCGAAGCGTGGACGATGGACATTAGGTACGTGGTGTGGTGTAGTCTTATATCATGACTTTCAACTTTTTGCCATCCGAATCATACTCGCAGCCCAAGTGAAATCCATGTGCAACGTAACAATGCGTATACTTCATTGTCGTTTTCCCGGAGTGTCCTAAGTAAGGCGCCCCAGATGTAGGAGCCGTATGCTAGGCTGCGGAGGCGCAAAGGCACCGAGCCTCCGACGTACCGGTATGGTGTTCTCCGAGGCGCGACAAGAAACCAGCATAATTGATATTATACTCGTTAGTAAATGTCTTATATCTTCCTTGCACAGTTGAATATCTCGCAGTCCTGTCCATCGTTACTTGAGATAGTGGGGTTTAAGAATATGTTATCGTAGAGCTCCACCTTCTCACCATCAACCCACCCTGCACAATCTCCCATCCTGCGTCACAATCCCCTCCCTCTTCCCCCCGCCCAAATCCCTAATCTCCCACTCATCACTTCCCACGCCTCCAATCGCCCAAAACACACCTTCAGAATCCCATTCCCTCTTCACCCTAGCCAGCCTCTCATAATTACTCCCGAAGAACGCTTTCTTCCACTCCCAATCCTGCGCATCCCCTTCATTGATATAACTCCCACTCCCGGGCGTAACATCCCTCCAACCCTGCATATACCCCTGCAATCTCTGATGTTTTTCCGTCAGCGCCTCATGCGACAAGGTGGGTGCCTTGCCGTCCCAGTGCGCGTTAGACTCGTAGGCTTGTGCGTGGAGGACTGTGGTGCGGAACGCGGGGTTTACGCTGTTGTTTGGGTTGCCGGAGACGGAGAGTGTGGGAGCGTAGTTCATGCCGTGGAAGGTTAGGGAGCCGTCTTCGACGACGTGGCGGATGGCGAGGTGCGAGGTTTCTAGTGTGGATGGGGTGGAGAAGGTGGTGCGGGGGAAGAAGCGGGATGCTATTAGGGTGTGGCCTGTTGTTTCGCCTATTTCTCTTTTTGAGAAAGAGGATGCTTCGTTTTTGAAGTTCTCTTCGTATGAGAAGGATGGCGTGAGAGAGCGTCTAAGTGCCGGAATAGGTTGCTGGATACCCAGGTCATTGAGCTTCTGAAGCAATGGGCGGATGAATTGCCGATATTCGGTGGTAGTTTTGTTGGGTACCGAAACACTGATAGTAAAGGTGAGGCCGGTGCTACTACTGCTCGGATAGATAAAGCTGTAGCCCAGGCCGCCTGCGTCGCATATGGCGATCGAAAATTCCCAGTACGCTCGCATGCCAGCCCAAAAGGTATTTGTGGAGATTGGAGGCGCAGTAGATCCGCGGTCTGGTGTGGTCGAGAAACGTACACTACTTGAGGTAATGGGCGTTGCTTGAAATGCTTTTACGACAACGGATGTGATGATGCCGAACGTGCCTGGTTTTCGGTCAGTGACAGTCGTTTTCTCTTCTTGCTGGGAACAAGTACCTCCGCCTCCACCTCTGAAAGCCCAGAACAGGTCTGCGTTTTCCCCCTCATGTGCTTCAACTACCCTTCCATCAGCCGTAATAGCAGTAATGGCGAGCACTTGGTCTGCCGCCAGGCCGTAGTAGCTAGTGTAACCGCTGTGTCCACCACCCTGGAGGAAACCGCCTGCGATACCTACGGTCGACCCGCCTGCAACAATCATGACCATATTGTTCTTCCGCATTAGTGTAGACCCCTCAGAAGCCTGAGTACCGGCGGCATAAGCAACAGCTTTTCCGCTGTAAGCGCCAGTGGGTGAGGTGTAGTTCGGATCATACGTCATGCCTTTGAGGTTGTGTGTCCACACACCAAGGGAGTAGCCACCAATGGACTTTCCGTTGAAGTCGTGACCTGAGTTTTTTATCACCAGACGGATGTTCTGGTTTCTAGCAAAGTTGACTGCGAGTTGGACATGTCTCACCGTAGTAGCTCTTACGACGTACTCCGGCCAACCGCCTTGAGTGCAGTTTGACTTTGGCTGCGAGGTTGGTGTGCAGGTGTTGCCGGATGCCCATTGGGACATGATACTGGTGGGATCATCGGTACTGTCGTAGTTAGAATGACACAAAAAGGGTATCGTTTCGTTACGAGTGAGCTCACTGTAGGTTCATGCCTGCCCAATTGCTCTTATACTGTTCACACTTCGCCGCATTGTAGCTTACCCCAGCATAGCAGACGCTGGCAAGCGGTTTGGGCTTTAGTAACACACCACCGAGCGTATCGTTGAAAGAGTCCCAGACATCCTCGCTCGGCCACTCAGCGTCACCCGGAATGATCTTGCAATTAGCAGGCGCCGCGACTTGTGATGCACTACCAAAGCGGAATGCGTTACTGCGGGCTGCATCCTCGTCAGTGAGCTGTTCGCGCTCCCAATCAAAGTTGAGAGCAAAAGTTGTTGCTGAAAAGAGGAAAGAGAAGAGAATAGTATAGAGCATTTTGGTGAAGTTGTCTGTGTTTGGCTGTATCGAGGTACAGAATATAGAGTAGTAACAGGCAGGCGCGAGGGGAGTCCATATAGGAAAGCACCTACATCACGACGACATACAGATAACGTTATCGCTCGCACTCACTGTAGAGCCTGTTTGTTCCCCACACACCCTTTCAACGCCTCGTCTGTGGGGCTATACGAGCATGTGGTATGACTGAGCTGCGGTGTTCACCTACTGTCCTGCATATACGTGCCGGCTATATAGCTTACCACCGTCCCGGTTCGCAGAGAGAATTGCAAGCGCGAATGCCGGTGTAGATTTACCGTCAGCCTGGACGCGCAGGGTGATCAACTACGCAACGAAAGAGGCAAAATCGATTCGAAGAAGGGAGATATCTTTTCATACAAGGGGTTATCATGCAATACGACAGTTGGACAAATGATCATGGGGGATAGAAAAAGCGCCATCCGCTGTACATAAGATCGTCTGTCCCTGAGATCCAATCTCATCTAGCCCAATAGTAAAGTTACACAGTCGTCCCAAATGCACCGAAAATAGAATCAGATTATAGCAGAAGCTCGAGAGGGTTCTCAACGGCCTTCTTCAGCTCGCGCATGAACTCGCCACCGACGGCACCGTCGACAACCTTGTGGTCGAAGCTGCCGGTGATGACAATCTGGTCGTCCCACTCAACGCTCGCTGTGCCATCCTCAGCCTCGCCTGGTACTGCGACCTTCCTTGTTGTGCCGATTGCGACGATGCAAGCTTGTGGGGGGTTGATGACGGCGGTGAATCGCTCAACAGCGGGGTTCATTCCCATGTTGGAGATGGTGATGGTTCCGCCCTGGTATTCTTCGGGCTTGAGCTTGCCGTCGCGTGCGCGCTTGCCAAGGTCCTTGATCTGGGATGAGATGGATTGGAGGCCGAGTCCGTTGACGTTCTTGACGATGGGGGTCATGAGACCGACAGGGGTAGAGACAGCGACGGAAACATCGACGGTGTTGTGCTGGCGGATAATGACCTTACCGCCATCCTCGCGCCAGGATGAGTTGGCAGCGGGGACCTTGCGGGCGGCAACAGCAAGAGCCTTGACAAGCAAGTCGTTGACTGAGAGCTTGTACTTGCCGTCAGCTGAGGCATTGAGGGCTTCGCGGAGCTTGAGGAGCTTGGAAACGGAGATGTTGGAGGCGACGAAGTAGTGGGGGTTCTGCTGCATGCTCTCGCGGAGACGGGTAGCGATAACCTTGCGCATGCTGGTAGCCTCGACGTCCTCGTAGGCGGCAGCGGAGGCGCCAGCAGCGGGGGCAGCACCGGCAGCAGGCTTGTACTTCTCAATGTCTTCCTTGGTGACCTGGCCGCCCTTTCCAGTGCCTTTGATGGAACCGATGGGGACGCCCTTCTCGAGCGCGAGCTTCTTCGCGGCGGGGGAGACGGCGGGCTGGCGCTGAAGAGCGGTCTCTAGGCGGTCGCCGGTAGATTCAGACTCCATGGAGGCGGGCGCAGACTCCTCCTTGGCGGGAGGAGCGGTCTTGGAGCCAGTGTTCGGGGGCTCGCTGGCTTCGGCGGCGTTGCCCTCCTTGGAGGGAGTATCAGCCTTCTTGTCACCACCGGCGTCCTCGATGGAGAAACTCTCGAAGGCGGAAACGTCCTCGCCCTCCTCAACCATAACGGCGATGGGCTGCGAAAGTCAGCATGGCATCCTCGAAAGCTTGTAAAACTCCACTTACGCTTCCAACAGCGACGTCCTTCTCGCCAGCGTCGCGGAGGATCTTGGCGATAGTGCCTTCCTCTTGGAACTCGAAGTCCATCTGTGCCTTGTCCGTCTCGATCTCGACGAGGACGTCACCGGGCGCTATTGAGTCGCCAACCTTCTTCTGCCATGCGCCAATGTTTCCGGCGGTCATGGTTGGGGAGAGGGCGGGCATGCTGATAACGCTGTGCGAGGGGTAGGCTGCGGGATGCGTTAGCAATGCGGTCGCCAGCGGAGTATCTAGTCGCGTGGGAGACGGTGGGAGTGCTCACACTTAGAGGCATAGTAGCGTGCGAGCGCGGACAGGGCTGGTGTGCGTCTGTATACGTGCATGTCAGCTATGCTCGTCGGAGGATTCTGGGCAATGCCACCCAGGAGTGAAGCCAACGTACGCGGAGCATCTCGAGGTGGGCAGGGCGCCGCGCAGGGCAATTGACCCCCTCGAGCTCAATTGGCTTCCCGCCCTGGACAGCAGAGTTGTGGTTGCGGGCATTGTGTTGGGATGCCGGGCGCTGAGATTTTACTCCAAGCGACGTGAAATGAGGGTAGACGGAGCTTGTCGGGCGAGGGCGACAGGCAGACAATGTCGAGCGAGCTGGAGGCTCAGGCGCTTAGCGGTCAGGGCTGGAGGAGATGGAAGACTGTTCAACGAAAAGTTTAGTGCAGTTGGTTGGAGACCCGGCGACTAGCGTTCTCTCCCGATGAGGGTCTATGCTGGATGCGACATTTCCCGGCAGGACGCAAAGTGTGGCGCCTGGGTGTGGCTGAGGCAGGCGCAAGTGTGGCTCCTTCCGTAGCCTACCGCGCGGCTGGTCCCAGGTACGTAACTAGCCAGGAGGAAAGACACAAAGTGTCATCTCAGAGCACGACTCGCTCAACGCCTGCACAGACTCGCCTGCTGTCCTTTGCACTGCACTGCACTGCGCCAGTCCGAGTCACCACTGCCGCGCCCTCACCTTTTTCTATCGCTCCTTCTCCGCCATGGTTGCTGAGGAAGTGACATCCCTACAAAGATCCCGGACGTGAACAACTATGGCCGACACCGATTCCCCGCCAGCGCCCCGAGAGGACATGGAGAAGCCTGACATGGAGGAGCAAGATCCACCTGCCTCAGACACAAGAGAAGAAGAAGAGGACGAGAGCGACTCATCAGACGCCGAGTCGGAGCACGCATCAGAGCACGCATCAGAGCACGCCGAGGATACGTCGTCCCCAGCGCCCGAAGCTCCACGGGAAGAGGCGGAAACATCGACACCTGCGCCCGGAACACCCGTCCTCAACGTACCCAATGGAGGAGACGCGCCGCGATCATCCGAGCAGATCTTCGACCATCGCCTGCCTATCGAGAACCGGCCGCGAACCGACTCGCAGTCCACTGCAGCCACTACGGCCACGCGACCATCCACAAAAAGCTCCCTAGTCTTCGTCGTCACCGCGCTCGAGACAATCGCAGCTTCCAAAGATGCTAGGAAGAACAAGAAACTCGGCGACAGCACCAATGCCGCCTTGTCGGCAATCAAGAATGAGGGCGACCCGGCGCGCATCAACCCCGAGGTCCTCTTTGAACCGCTTCAACTTGCCTCCGAGGCTCCCAACGTCCCCGTATCCATTACCGCGCTCGACTGCATTGGCAAGCTCATCAGCTACTCCTACTTCTCCGTGCCGGCCGAGCCGCGAGCCGACAACAGCGAGGTCCCTCCTCTGATCGAACGAGCCATAGACACGATATGCGATTGCTTCCAAGGCGAGGCCACTGCGCCCGAAGTGCAACTCCAAATCGTCAAGTCGCTGCTGGCAGCCATCTTGAACGACAAGATTGTTGTACACGGAGCAGGATTGTTGAAGGCTGTGCGACTCACGTACAACATCTTCCTCCTTTCCAAGTCAAGCGCGAACCAACAAGTAGCACAGGGTGCACTGACACAAATGGTTGGCACAGTCTTCGAAAGGGTCAAGACGAGACTTTCTATCAAGGAAGCTCGGATGAACCTGTCGCGGTCATCTTTGAATGATAAGGGGCAATCAAGCGAGAGTGTACAGCCCGAGGGCAGCGCAGAAGACATCACCGGATCCGAGGCCAACGGCGAAGATGCAGAAGACGAGCACGATGCTGAAATCGCCGAACCGAGCGACAAAGCAGTCGACCGGCACACTGGCCCCAAGATCACGCTGCAAAGCTTCGAAAACAACATGAGCTTCAACGATGACCGTATACACGATAATGCGCCAACGCTGGTGACCCGTATCAAAGGCAAAGCTGGGTCACGACATGTATCCGGCCAGGAGGGTTCGCCTCATGTCAACACCGAAGAAGAGGAGGAAGATGAGATATTCGTCAAAGACGCGTACCTCGTCTTCAGAGCCATGTGCCGTCTGAGCACAAAAGGTCTGTCTGTCGATCATGCCCACGATGTGAAATCCCAAGGCATGCGCTCAAAGCTTCTCTCCCTGCACATGATTCACACTATACTTTTCAATAATATTGCTGTATTCGTGTCGCCATATGCCACGATCCGCAGTGGCAGCGATGAGCCAACGAGTTTCATACAAGCAGTCAAACAGTATCTTTGTTTGAGCCTGAGCCGGAACGGTGCAAGTTCCGTGAAGCAAGTCTTCGAAGTTGCCTGCGAGATTTTCTGGCAGATGCTTAAATACCTGCGCATATCACTCAAGAAGGAAGTCGAGGTGTTCCTAAAGGAGATCTACCTTGCAACTCTAGACAAGCGGGGTGCTCCTGCATTTCAGAAGCAATACATTTTGACAATATTCGGAAGGCTGGCTGCAGACCCCCGAGCACTGGTAGAGATCTATCTCAACTATGATTGCGATCGCACCGCCCTTGACAACATGTTTCAACGCGTCGTTGAACATCTGTCCAAGATCTCCAGCAACCCCGTCACCATCACACCTGTGCAGCAGCAAGCGTATCAGGACCAAAGAGAGAAGCAATCAAGACAGATGGATTGGCAGAGCCGAGGCACTTTACCACCATCACTTACGACCGTCTCCATGAACTCATCACACGACACGGAACATGGCTACCCTCAAGAATATGCAATGAAGCAGGAGTCTCTCGAGGCCTTGGTCGAAATTCTACGATCTCTCGTCAATTGGGCTCAGCAAGCCCTGCCTGACAACCCCAAACAAAACCACCCTGACTTGCGACCGTCACTCGACGATCTTCGCGTATCAACAGACACGAGACTTGCTTCAGAGTCACCAATGGTGGGAGCAGACTCTGGCACTGTCACGCCGCTTGCCGAGGATGATTACAGTCAGCTCGAGAAGGCAAAGCAGAGGAAAACGGCCCTCACGAATGCGTTAAGACAGTTCAACTACAAACCGAAGCGTGGACTCAAGACCTTGATCGCAGAAGGCTTCATCCCCTCAAACAAGCCTGAGGACATTGCGCGCTTCTTTCTCGACAACGACCAGATCGACAAGACGGCACTGGGAGAGTTCCTTGGTGAGGGTGATCCCGAAAACATTGCCATTATGCATGCTTTCGTGGATTTGATGGACTTTACCAAAACACGCTTTACGGATGCCCTGCGGCGCTTCCTCCAGAGCTTTCGATTGCCTGGTGAGGCACAGAAAATTGATCGTTTCATGCTCAAGTTTGCTGAACGATACATCACCGGCAATCCCAACGCATATGCCAATGCTGACACTGCATACGTTCTGTCATATTCGGTCATCATGTTGAATGTCGATCAACATAGCAAGAAAATGAAGGGCCCGCGTATGACGCCAGCAGACTTCATCAAGAACAACCGCGGCATCAACGACAACGCCGATCTGCCGGATGAGTACCTACAAGGAATATACGATGAGATCTCACAGAATGAGATCGTGTTGAACACAGAGCAAGAAGCCGCTGCAGACAAGGGTCTGCTCAATCAACAACCTGCAGGAGGGCTGTCTAGTATAGGACAGGTTCTCACGGGAGGTGCTCGCGATTTACAGCGAGAAGCAATTGTACAAGCCTCGGAGGCAATGGCTAACAAGACCGAACAACTGTACAAACAGCTCCTCCGAGCTCAACGGAGAACGGCAACAGCCCTGCCGGTCTCTAAGTTCATCCCCGCATCCTCATCCAAGCATGTCGGACCCATGTTCGAAGTCAGCTGGATGCCAATTCTGACTGCTCTCTCCGGCCAGGCCCAAGATCACAACATTGAGATCGTCCGCCTCTGTATCGAGGGCATCAAACTAGCAATTCGGATCTCGTGCTTGTTCGATCTAGACAGCTCGCGACAGGCTTTCGTTGCTTTCCTCTCGCGCTTCACAAACCTCTACAATGTGAGCGAGATGAAGGCTCGGAACATGGAGGCGTTGAAAGCATTGATCGAGATTGCACAGATGGAAGGCAATCTTCTACGTGAATCCTGGCGCGAGGTCCTCACATGTGTTTCCCAGTTGGACCGTTTCCAACTAATCTCAGCCGGTATTGACGAACGTGCTGTGCCGGATGTGCTCAAGTCGAGTTCCGGCACTGCGCAGTCGCGTAAGAACCTCAATGTTCCAGCCAACCGTCGAAGGCCAACATCACAATCGAGCACTATGAGCTTCCAATCTGAAGTAGCTGAAGAGAGCCGATCCACTGATATCGTCCGAGGAGTTGACCGCATCTTCACTAACAGTGCCAACTTGTCTGGTGAAGCCATCGTAGACTTTGTCAAAGCCCTTGTTCAGGTCAGCTGGCAGGAGATCCAGTCGTCTGGGCAGAGCGAGTCTCCGCGTACCTACAGTCTGCAGAAGCTCGTGGAGATCAGTGGCTACAACATGACGCGTGTGCGCTTCGAGTGGACCAACATCTGGCAGGTGCTTGGCGCTCACTTCAACGAGGTTGGATGCCATACCAACACTAACGTCGTATACTTTGCTCTCAACTCATTACGGCAACTCTCTATGAAGTTCATGGAGATTGAGGAACTGCCCGGATTCAAGTTCCAGAAGGACTTCCTCAAACCCTTCGAGCACATTATCAACAACACCAATGTTGTCTCGGTCAAGGACATGGTGCTACGCTGTTTGATTCAGATGATTCAAGCGCGCGGTGAGAATATTCGGTCTGGCTGGAAAACCATGTTTGGTGTTTTCACCGTGGCCGCCAGAGAACCCTACGGTATGTCTTTCCTGAAGTTCACCTGTGCAATTACTAATAAGCAGCAGAGGGCATCGTGAACCTTGCGTTTGAGAACGTCACCCAAGTGTACAACACCCGTTTTGGTGTAGTCATTTCCCAAGGCGCATTTGCAGATCTCATTGTCTGTCTGACTGAGTTCTCGAAGAACTTCAAGTTCCAAAAGAAGTCACTACAAGCAATAGAACTGCTTAAGTCATCTGTACCAAAGATGTTACGGACGCCCGAGTGTTCTCTATCCGCCCGTGCTGGATACCTGAAGGATTCCGAAAAGGGCTCTTCTATACCCAAGCAGCCCAGCCGACAAACACAGGAAGAGCAATTCTGGTTCCCAGTTCTCTTCGCCTTCCACGACGTCCTCATGACGGGGGAGGATCTGGAGGTTCGGTCAAGAGCCTTGAGCTATCTCTTTGATACCCTGATCAGCTATGGAGGCGACTTCCCAAGGGATTTCTGGGACATGCTTTGGCGACAGCTTCTATATCCTATCTTCATGGTTCTCAAGTCAAAGTCGGAGATGACGAAGGTTTTGAACCACGAAGAGCTTTCCGTTTGGCTATCGACAACGATGATCCAGGCTCTGCGCAATATGATCAAACTCTTCACCCACTTCTTCGATTCGCTAGAGTACATGCTGGACCGGTTCTTGGATCTCCTCGCCCTCTGCATATGTCAAGAGAACGACACCCTAGCACGCATTGGCAGTAACTGTCTACAGCAGTTGATTCTGCAAAACGTCCAGAAGTTCCAGGCCGATCACTGGAGTCAGATCGTCAAGGCATTCGTCGATCTCTTCCAGAGGACCGAAGCAACAGCACTATTCTCTGCTGCGACCAGCGGCTCGTCGGCACAAAGCACTCCGGTGAACGGTACAGGTAACACATCGGACTTGACGACACCGACAGGAGAAGGGCCTCCTGGTGAATTGTCGCTTCAAACACCTGCTGAAGAACCAAAGATGGACAATGCGCTCGGTATCAACGGTCTTTCAGGCGCAAGGCGACCGTCTTTGGTGACCTCGGACTCTGCTAGCATCAGTGGCGGGGTTGAGCAGCGTATGCCGTCCCCGCTACCCAAACGTCAAACACAAGAGCTAGAAGACTACCGCCCCGAAAACCAGGATCTCCAGCAACCACCTGTTGTCGTAACTGCTGCTCGCCGTCGTTTCTTCAATCAGATTATCACCAAATGTGTCCTACAACTCCTCATGATCGAAACGGTTCAAGAGCTCTTCACAAACGAAGCCGTCTATGAGAAGATCCCTTCTGGCGAACTGCTCCGCCTCATGGCTGTGCTCAAGAAGTCATACCATTTCGCCAAGCGCTTCAATGCCAACCGTGACTTGAGGTCACGTCTATTCAGGGAAGGCTTCATGAAGCAACCACCAAACTTGTTGAAGCAGGAAAGCGGATCTGCGTCGGTATACGTCAGCATCCTATTCCGAATGTACCACGACACCTCCAACGACCGCGCCGCATCACGCGCCGATACGGAAGCTGCCCTGATCCCACTGTGTGAAGACATTATTGCCTCATACGTCGATCTCGACGAAGAGACCCAACAACGCAACATTGTAACTTGGCGTCCTGTTGTCGTGACCGTATTGGACGGATACACCGGCCTGCCCACCACAGATTTCGAAAAGAACGTGGACCTCTTTGCGCCGCTTGTTGTCGGGCTTCTCGGCACGGAGATGGCACCCGATGTGCAGAGAAGCGTACAGGCGCTTGTTGGGCGCATCTTCGAAACGAAGCTGGGTATGGAGAAGGTGCCACTCATGCCGGCCATCAGTCGGAGTCCACGAGGTAGCTTTGTGGGTAGTCCATCCCAAAGGAGGGTCAGCAAAGGTGGACGGTAGAGTGACTTTCCGTCCCACGTCTGCATTCGAGGTTTCCTTGCTCAACACCTGCTGATTTGTGTTTTGTTCTTTAGGTCTGATTCGGCAAGCTATGTCAACTTGTCAGCTCAGCACCTTTCTGTACTTCTTTTGGATCTAAAGCATTGCCACTGAGGTCTGGTTATCTCCAGAAGGCGTTTCTGGGCGCGAAGCTTGGCTATTTTGTACAGTAGTACGATGTCAAAACCTGCATCACTTTATCGATACTTTCTACGACTTCCCTTTCGAGCAAGATGGTTAGAGAAGAATACATAGATTACGAGCCGTTTGCTATCTCTTGGTTCTGGTGATCGTAGTCCGCGTGATCAACGCGATCGACAGAGCCGCTTCATGCAGGTACCACCAGGGAAGCTTAAACCCGAAAATGCTCAACGTCATGGAAGCTAACTGCCGTTACTGGTAGCATGTACCACACAGCATGCCGTAAGGAACGTGTAAGGGTATGACGTTTGTTGACGACTGACATCACGATGCAGAAGCGGGAGGAAGCTGCAGTGCTTCTTAAGGACAATTTAGGCCCACTCAACGAAACGACGATACAGGTCATCCTCGGAACGTTAGAATCAAAATGCGGTCCTCAGTTCTATCAACCATTGCGCTGACTGCAAGCGCCGCAGCGCAAATCACCTTCCAGAACAGCAGCACCACAATCCTTCAAACAGATCCCGGAACCTACGGACCGGAAATAGAAGAATACCACTACTACTACACGCAATGGCCTATCGGGCTCGCCATCTCCTCGACAGGCCGTTTCTTCGCCACCTACACCCGCGGCTCCTACGCCTACACCCTCGGGGAGGTCGTCAACAAAACAGCCGAAGTCCCCTACCCATCCGCATCTCTCAACCTGCCCGTCTCCCAACTAAACACAAGCTGGAACGGAATTCCGTTCGGCAGCAACAACAGCACAGGTCTAATCAGTGTTCAAGCCCTCTACATCACACCTGAAAACGCCCGTAGACCCGAAACGCTTTGGGTTGTAGATACCGGCCGTCCTACCATCACAGATGGCAGCGGCGCACCTAGTATGCCTTACGCCCAACCTGGTGGACCTAAGATCCTCGGTATCAGTCTGGATAACGATACTGTCTATGCAACCTACACGTTCCCACCCTCTGTCCATTTCCCAGATTCCTACATGAACGACATCCGCTTCGACCTGCGTGCCAACACGACAGCCTCTGGTTCCGGCGTCGCATACATCGTCGACAGCAGCGATGAAGGACGGCCCGGATTCATCGTCTTGGACCTAGGTACCGGCGAGAGTTGGCGTCGACTAACCCAACATCCCTCCACTTTACGTGTAGACCGCGACGTACCCTCCTACCAAGGCGTTCCATTCTACCAACGCACAATCGGTCAGCCGATTCAGACGCTACGGGAGGGTCTGGATGGGATACAGATTAGTCCAGATGGGGAGACGATATATTACAGTCCCCTCACTTCAGACTACCTCTACTCGATCCCCACTGCTAATCTCCTCACGCCGCCATCCGACGCCCTCGCCGAACTCACAGCTGCGAACAACGTGACCAACCTCGGTCAGCGCGGCGGGAATGCGAACGGGTTCGAGGGAGATAGCAATGGCCTTGTGTACCAGTGTATGCCGGAGCACAATGCGATTTACGTGTACGATCCCCAGACGAAGATGACGGAGCCTTTTGTGCGGGATCCAAGGATAATCTGGCCGGATGGAGCGAGTATCGGTGAAGATGGGTATTTGTATATGAATATTAATCAGTTGCCACGGCAGCCGAATTGGAATGAGGGATTTGATGGGAGAGTTTTTCCGGGGGCGGTGTTGAGAGTTAAGCTGCCGGGGGGTGGGAGAAAGATTATGAGTTTGAGTTGAAGGGCTAATGTGAAGATGGGATGACAGGGGATCGGAGATCGAATTGGATGATGTGTATTAAGCTATTATGTTGTTAGTTCAATCACAACTGTAGTAACGAGTAGGCATCAAGTAAGAAACTTGTTTCAGTGATAGTATATCTATTCATCGTTCATGCTACCAAACTCATGCGTCGTGGAGCTACATGTATGCACAGTGAAGACACTGTATGCAGGAATACCATATACAGGTGGATGCATCCATCCATCCATGAAGTAAGAAAGAAACTTTTGCCCGCAAACCCAATAAAGCCCGGAACATAAATAGGTATCTTAGCGATGACCGTAGAAATGTAGTAATCCTTCAACGCCGTAATATGCAATAACATTCCGTAAGGTGGTTGGTCATATGGCTTCAAGTCAACTAAGGTGAGTGACGAAGATGTCCTGAAAGTATAAGATACGAGAGGACAGGTCCCTACTCATCCTGCTTGATCTCAAGCTTGTTCTTCTTAGGGCTGTCGTTGCGCTCGCCGTCGTCGGCCTTGCGCTTGTTGGAGGCGGTGTCGTTGCTAGAGTCCTGGATGACGGGAACACCGTGAGCGTCGCGCTCAATCTCCTTCTTCTCCTCCTTGCGGCTGGAGCGGTCATCCTTGCCATCCCTGAAGCGATCGCGACGCTTGTTCCAGTCGTTGCTGTCGACGGAGCCGCTGCGGTCGCGACGTCCACGGGGAGAACGAGAACGGTTACGGTTGCCGTCACGGCGATTGTCGCGACGGTCGTTACCACGTCCACCGCGGCCCTGACCACGACCTCCACGGCCTCGGCCACGGCCGCCGTCTCCGTTGGTGCCGCGGAGCCTCTTGCGCTGCTCGTACTTCTCCTGATCGGTCAACTCCCAGTCGGGCTTAATACCCTTCTCCTTGCACTTCATCTCAATGTACTCCTTCTTGCCCATAATGGTGAGCTCGTTGCCGTTGTACTTGGGAGCGGGGTCAAGTTCGAGGAACTGCTTGCGAGAGTCCTCGGAATCGAATTCGACAAAGACGCTGCCCTTCCAGGCACCGTCGTCCTCGCGACGCTTGCGGATCATAACTGCGCCGTAGGGACGGAAGAACTTCTCCAAGGCGATTTGGCCGGCATCCTCCTCATTACCGAAGCCCTTGACGTAGGCGCTCCTGTCCATGTTGTTGGATGAGTTGTGCTTCAGGCGATAGAAGAGCTCCTCTGTGGTAGGCGGGTTCTTGTCGTCACCCTCCTTGGTGGGAACGGAAATGGGCTCCTTGCGCTTGACAGCTTCGCTGCCAGCCTTGCTGTATTCGCCATCATCGACGACCTCGAGATCCTTGCTCTCGCGAAGTGCTGCTACAACGGCACTGTATGGCTTGAAGCGACGCATACGCTTGAAGGTGCAAACGTGGTGAATAGAAACGGGGGTGTTCTTGGGGCCGTCGAGAGACTTGAACATGTGCTCATCGGTGGCCAAATTTTGGGTAGAGAAGTAGAACTCGACCTTGAGGCTGTTAGTAGTGTGGATCATGGTTCTGAAATTGGGAGTCATACCTGTTGGCGGATCTCATTTGGGTCGTCAGAGTCTGGTAGATTCTCGAATGTGTCAAGGTTGTTCGTCCTGCGCAAAATCAGTACTAAGAAAGATCAACTCCAGAATCTGAGCTCACTTCTTGTTGTGCTTGTCGTGGAATCCGCCTCGACCACCTCCGCGGCCACCACGACCACCTCGACCTCCGCGACCGCCATCGCGACGGTCATTGCGACGGTCACCGCGGTCTTCGCGATCGTTGCGACGATCGCTCTTGCTATCGGACTTGCCGTTGATCTCCCACTTCTCCTCGCCGTCGGCCTTGGCAGCCTTGTCCTCTGACTTGGAGGAGGTGGTCTCAGTCTTTGACTCAGTCATGTTGGCGTCGACGGTGTTCTGAGTCTTGGAGACTTCAGCGGGGTTCGCGGCAGGCGCAGCGGTAGTCTGTGAGTCTGCCATGGTTAATATGTGTGCAGCTTGAGTCGCGTAAATGTGTAGAAGCTGCAAAAGGCGGTTTTGGGGCTGCGACAAAGAGGTTGGCGGTCGTTGAAGAGAAAAGGCTCAAAGGTGAGAGATAGCTATGGTTCTTAGTGGGGAATTTTCGATGCAGGCGGGCACGGACCGCTATCCAGATTTACGTTCGCCGCGTGGGCCGCTATTGTAACAATATCACCAATTCTGATCCGCCTTCACCATGCCGAGGAAGAAGCCGAGGTTCCATTCGCTGAAGAAGCTGGTATGCTTGCTATTGTGAGGATTGGGTGACAATGGCCATAGGCTGACACGCTGCAGAATGTCCGCCAGAATTGGTCGCGGTGGTCGTTATACGCCCTATCCCAGCTAAAGGCACCCAACGTCACCACTCGAACATACTTCCAGCAGAAATGGACAGCCAAGGCATCTACACGAGCATATCATGGCGAACACATACGGGAGAAGAAGTGGAAGCACATGTTCCGGCGGAACCTGCCAGCCGTAGTGGCCATGGACCATAGATATCTCGCCCAACACGACGGTTCAGAGCAGGCAGCTGGTCGAGGAATGGGTGCAGATTCACAGGACAAAGTCCGGACACCGCCCATGACACCGTACATGCAGATGGCATACTACCCTCTGGAGAGGAGATTAGACACAGCCATCTTCCGGGCATTATTCGCGAGTAGTGTCCGACAGGCGAGGCAATTCGTTGTCCACGGCCTGGTGAAGGTCAATGGCAAGAAGGTTCGTAAATTTTCGCATACTGCACATGATCACCACTGACTTGAAACAGATGGTCTACCCCGGCTACGCACTCAACCCAGGCGACATGTTCCAAGTCGACCCCTCATCCGTCATGTTCGCAACTGGCGCACCAAAAGAACGCTCATCAACCGCTCGTCGCATTGCTAAAGAAAAGGCAGCTGCTCGTGCGGCAGAGCGGGAGCAAAACGGCGGACAAACACCCAAGCAACCCAAGCAAGAGGACTTCGTAATCACCCCATCCACACGCGAAGAGCCCACACCCACCGAGCTAAAGAAACAACTCCAAGACCTCATGGAGCAAGTCGACGGTGTCCTAGCCGAAGATGTCAAAGCGAAAGACAAGCAAAAGTTCCGCGCCTTCCGCCAATCCGTCAAGAAAGCCATCAGCCTCTGGCGCACCGCAAACCCAGAGACCATCTCGACCCTTGACACGCAATTCGACTTCCTCAAGACGCAAATCGCCGAGCGCGCCGTTGCCACCACCCCCTCTTCCTCCAAAGACGCTTCCGCCGCCGAACCCCTCATCTCCGAAGAAGACCAAGCGCGTCTGCGGTCAGCGTTCGAGAAACTACGATTAGAAACAGAACACACATCCGCGTGGAACAAGCGCGATGCTCAGGCGCCGTATGCGACGCCCTGGCGGCCGAGGGACTATATGAGTGCGTTTGCGTTTATACCGCGGTATCTCGAGGTTAATCAGAATATCTGCGCGGCTGTCTATTTGAGGCACCCCGTTGCGAGACAAGGGTTGGCAGAGGTGCCTACACCGTTCCATATTGAGACGGGGCAGTTGGCGTTCAACTGGTACCTGCGGAATCGTTAGGGTAGGTGATGGGAAAGGTGATGTGTTTGTACATTATGTAGATGGATTGCTCAACGCGGAGAATTGCAATTGTATAACATGATTTACGTTTTTGCAGGCATGATGACTTGATCTGTTTGATGGACTAGTATTATGGGCTTGCTAGTAATGCAAGTCTCGGACCATAACTCCGAACTACAAGAGACGCGTCTCGCGCTTGTGTATGCTTTCTCACTGTGCTTATTATTATACATGAGGACGTAGAGGTATTAGCGGGTGGCGTCCTCTGACCACCCGTTGATCAGGACATTGCCATGTATCAACGTCGCTAGAAATGAAGCTGGTATAAACAACCCAGTGTAGCTCCTTACTCCAAACGAACAGAAAACCTGCATGCGTGGAAGGATAACGGGCGAAGAATACGTTTACAAGTCGCAGAAAATCCGATGATGAAAGCATAAAAGGTGTAGAAGCCTGGGGCGACTGTGCTGGGTATGCTCGCGCCTGACGTGCTGCAGGCGTGGCAGATGTGATCTCCAATGTGCGCAGACGGAGAAGATATGTAGGTGTAAAGGATCGAAACCTCTACGTGGTGAACACCGGGTATGAGTAGCCAAAGACGGAATGATATGCCTTTTCAGACAAAAAGACGCAGGCCCTCAGTCTGCGTCCGACTCCTCGTCAAGTGTCAATATACTGACAGGGTATCTCAGCGTCTCTGCGCTCGGCCTAGGGCTGACATCGACAACACTGCTATCTGGTGTCCAATGCGAACTCCGTTCAGATGTAGTAGATGCAGTCGTGTATTGCCTGAAGCCATTCGCTACGAGCTCCGACGCCTCGACATCCGATTCGTAGCTTGGAGGCTCGGTGGGCTCTGAACGGTAACTTGGTAGGCTGTCTGTTCGGGAGAGCGGCCTTGAGGGGATCTCCGGGAGGGAGGTTGGGGGGTAGGTCGATGCTGTAGAAAGGGGCGAGTATGGTGCTCGGGACCGTTGACGCTGGCAATCGCATGGAGTGTGGTTAATTGCTCTGCCTTCCTCGGCATCGCGGACAAGGTCACTGACGACGTCATGGGCATCTCTTAGCTGCCTGATCTCTTCTTGCATCGCGTCTTCGAGCACGCCTTCCTGCTCTGAGATTAGCGCCCGCTTCTCTTCGTAATCGGCGATGCGTTGGTTGTCGCGTCGCGCCCAATTACCGCGCCACCAGCTGCGCCATGCGTGTTGGCGGGCTGCTCGGCGGTAGGCGCGGGCGTTGAGACGTTCTTCTCGGGCTGCGGCTCGCTCGGTCCTTGTTCGCAGGCTGCTGCACTTGTGGCGGATGACGGCGACTAGGCAGCTGCAGCAGAGAACTCCTAATGTGATCTCGAGGGCGAGAAGGTAGGGAGATGGCTTGGGTGGACGAGGTGGAAGCTCGTTCTATTTAGGGTCAGCATCAGAGTCTTTGCTTCAATTGGTGGAGTGTTAAACGGAGGTACATACTGCTTGAGCCTCGTATACCTGGGGTGTTGAAGTCACGGCTTTCAGGTGACTTCCAGACATTTGTGCCACCTGTGCAGTATGACCATGTGCCTGGGCGAACACCTGCTTGGGGCTATTCATCTCTTTCGATCGTTGGTCAGGTTTGAAATGGAAGGATACGATTTCCCAAGCACACTTTGCTTCATGGGCGATGGTCTGTACGATGCACGAAACGCCGTCACATTTACCCAATTCCTGCGACAGGCTCTTTGCTTCTTGTCTTAGGACTGAATGAATCTTCTTCTTCTTATTGGCGATAAGAGATTCGAGCTCTTTCAGCTCACTCTGAAGAGTTTTCAACTCGCGGATGTCGTCCTTAAGAGACGGGATTCTGCCCTTCGCTTTTGAAGTTTCGGTGACGTTGTGGAAGGCCAGACGCAATAACCGAGGAGGTTTGCGCCAGGATTCAGCTACGTCCCTGTTACTCGCAGAGGGGTTGGGCGTAGACTCAAGCCTGAGCAGAGAAGGGGGTGATGTTTGCGGTTTAAACGAGATCGTAAAACCGGCAGGTTTGGTGACTTGCTTGCCGTCAATGGCCTTGATGTTGACCGTTACTACTTGGGCTGCTTCTTCCGTTTCCAAGTTATCACGAAGACAGGCTGTCTGCCATTCGAGATCCAAGTCGTGCTGCAGAAACCATTCATTCTGTGTGAGGTCGGTAACGCCTTGGTAGGAACCGGAGCCAGATGCGAAGTCGCCGTTCCACTCTTGGGGAAGATGAAGTCCGTTTAGGGTAATGTTGGAAGAACCACAAGCTTGATCCTGGGCATGACTGGTGAAGCTCAAGGTCTAAGGATGGTGAGCAGGTGGCATGGTATTTAGGTGCCTGAGGGTGGGCCTTACCAAAGACTCGTCATCCTGGCCCGTGTGATCGCGGCCAAGACAGCCAGTGCAGGGGACGCTGAAGGTAGCTTGCGCGTAATTCTGTTGAAGGTCTAGCAATGTTTAGCAGCTGCCTGCAGAAGGCGAATGTGGAATGGTATAAGAGGGGCGCGTACCTAGCTGCAAAAGACTTCCGTCGGCGCGAGCAGCTTGACGCTCGTGTTGAGGTATGACGCCGGCGAGTACAGGTGCCGCCCAGGCGCAGGCTGACAGCACTTTGGACTTGAAGGAACGCATATTGAAAGCAAAAAAGAACACGGCTTAAACAGCAGAGCAAATGTGCGAACAGCGCACACGAACATCGACCCACAAAGAGAGCGAGGTTTGGCGGGTTATGGGACAGATGTTCCCAAAGGTTCGATCAGGCACCAGTCGAAAGGGCGTTTCGGTGTATAAAGGCGCAGAGCTGCTAGTGGCTGCCGTCAGCGTGAGCGTGGCTTAGACGTTGGCTCACGATTCAGCTGGCAGCACTATGCATAATGCAGTGTGATGAAACACTGGGATACGTGAGGATGCGAAAGTGTGTACTTTTGTAAATGTAAATGCGGTTGCGATGAAATCCATGATCGCTGAGGCCATGTGGCAGCATCATTGGTGCGGTTCTCGTCCATGCGACTGAGAACCCGGTGACTTGCGCCCATGACGTTCTCTCTCCTTACGAATTTGCTCCACCAGTAAATTACATGTATCTCGTGTTATGATAAACGAAGCAGTTGAAAGAATATGTATAGCCTACACAGCTGCCGCGCATGCATGCGCAGGTTAGAAGTCTTGGTGACTAGATAGTGCTGCAAGCAAGACCGCGCTTACATATCAATTCGAACTGGTCATTCTATGTCGGGGGTCTCGGAAGTAAGTCGACTACATTGTTCGTGTCATCCATGGGTGGACATGGATTGATGGTGTTTGGCGCGCATTTCGTAGGGCTGTCTCGCCAAGATACCGTGGTCCGAGCTCTCGCGGCCTGCGATGCAATGAGGGAGATCATCACTAACCCGACTACGTATCCCGCCCTCGTTTCCACCCATTACTAGGAATATCTTCAACTGCGTCGCGACATTCTCGCTGAACCTACGATATCCGATACGTAAGACCCGATCCATCTGCGAGTCACCACTGGTCGCCAATATGGTACGTCACCTCACTCACCAACAGCTCCCACCTTTTTACTGACTCTCGACTTAGCTGCCATTGGGCCTTCTGACGGCCGCGACGGGTCACCCCATGCTCGTAGAACTGAAGAGCGGCGAAACCCTAAACGGACTGCTCGTCAACTGCGACACATGGATGAACCTTACACTGAAAGAGGTTGTGCAAACGAGCGCCGACGGTGACAAATTCATGAGATTACCAGAGATCTACGTTCGCGGAAGCACAGTAAGGGCTCACGTTGTTCTTTCCAACAGGCTTTACTGACTAGTATCCAGATAAAGTACCTTCGAGTGCCTGACGAGATCGTCGACGTTGTAAAGGAACAGCAAGCCAAGGACCAAGCGAACCGGGGCGGCCGAGGAGGAGGCATGCATGGACGAGGAGACCACCGGGGCGATCGTGGTGGAGGCAGAGGCATGAGGGGCCGAGGACGCGGTCGCGGAAGAGGAGGAGGAGGTGGTGGTGGTGGTGCTTGAGAGGCGGACATATACCCAAATGCAACGGCAGTCAGCGCGCGCGTCGCTTGTAGAAATCATGGCGGGTTCATATGCGGTCGTTGACTATGAAGCAAGAATACAGAGGAGCGAAAGAGCACTACTGCGGATTGTTAAGTTGGGCAGGCTTCCTTGAAGACTGCATTGGAGCATAACCTACCCAAGTGTCGACCTTCGCGAGAGCAGCGCAACCCTCCTGGTCCGGCCGTACGTTCATACTCAGCATTTGAGGCTCCTCTGCGAGGTGAGCACAACGGAATGTCCGCTGTTTGGGGCACATTTCCAAAGTTGGCAGCCTGACACGAATAGGCGCCAGCAAATTAGCCAAAAGGAACCCTTGTCACAATGGGCACATAACTGTTGGTGTTATCTCTGTGCCTCCAGTGACACGAGTTACCTAGGTACCGAACACCTTGGTGATTAGCGTAGTCGTACGTTGATGCGGGGTCTGCCGTGGTTCCCGAGCTACAATGCGGCGCAGGCGTCTGCTTTGGCGACTCTCCATCTGCGCTAATTATAGTACGTGCGCCCCTGCCTGATATGCCTCCCCAGGCCCCGGGTTCCTCGAGACGTTGTTCTATTCATTCCGACGTTTTTCAGGACGTTGCCTGTTTACCTGTATCCAAGTCCCCCTTCCTAATCCAACTACTTTGACATCTCCTCCTGAACATACTCTCCTACCAACGCAATGACGAGCTTCACTATCTCAGATGGCCAACTCGATGGATTGAAAGACCAGGTAGCTGTCATCACTGGTAGGATACCATGGCCGGTTATCCTTTTCCACCCACTTATGTGCATCAGGAGCATCATCAGGCATAGGACTTGCGACGCTCCGAAGGATCATTAAGCACGGGGGCAAGGTCTTTGCTAGCGACCTTACCCCCCTTCCTGAGCCCGAAGCATCATCTGTCCCTTTCTTGAAAGCCGACGTCACGTCCTGGAAAGAACAACTCGACGTCTTCAAAGCAGCAGAGCAGAAGTACGGAAAGATCGACCATGCCTTTGCGAATGCAGGAATAGGAAAATCAACAAGCTTCTTGGAAGAAGACGTGGATGAGAATGGCGACCTGCTCCCGCCGAAGATGAACACCATCAACGTCAACTTGGTTGGCGTGATGTACACGGTGAAACTGGCCATACACTATCTCAAGAAGAACCCGAATGGTGGCAGCATCGTCATGACAGCGTCGGGTTCGAGCTTCGCGCGGCTCCCTGCTGAAGATTACAGTACGTCTCATCAACCCATATCAAGATTGAGTACTGACACATCCCAAAGCCACGGCTAAACACGGTGTCCTCGGCCTCCTACGAGCTCTACAGCCCCAACTCCATCCTAGACTCCCCATCCGCATCAACGCCGTCGCCCCGTCCTGGACCGACACAGCGATCGTGCCGCGCGCCATGATCGCTGCACTAGGCGATAGCAACGTGCAGTCGGCAGATGTTGTTGCCCGTTCTGTCGGTGTGTTGATGGCAGAGAAGGAGCGTCACGGAGAGCTGGTGTATAGCGCGTTGGGCAAATTCGTGGAGATGGAATATGGAGAGGCGGGTTTCCATGCGCTTACGAAGCCGATGATGGAACTTGCTGAGGGTGGTGAGAAGAAGGAGGTTCTGGCTGCTGAGAAGAGGGTCGATGAGGTGCTTGAGGAGATGGCCGTGGAGAATCACGGGATTTCGGTTGTTACTGAGTAGGATCTGTGGCTGTGTTATCTCGAGAACAGTAGCCGTCAATGTTTGATAATGCGAAATGGGAATCGTTTCATCATCCTCTTCTTGCTGCGCCTAGTCTGACATCAAATACAGCATTCTTGCCCAGGTGTGATCAGATTCAACAGCCTCGCAATCCGCCGTCATCGAATAGGCATTCTGAAAGTATCCAACTCTCTTCAAGATGGTAAAGTAGAATTGAAGACGAAAATCACAAAGAAACGAGGTTTGCGATCGGCACAATACTTGTGTCTCGTACGCTCCTCCCCAGTCGAGATGAAACATGCACGCTAGCGTGGCTTAGCTCCAAATGCTACGCAACCCTTAGGCAACCACATCTACTCTTCGACGCGCTCAAACACCCAACAAAATATCACACAGCACTCTAGAAACCATAATGTCGCTCAACAGCCATAGAGACCGGCAAACCCACGCGTCCGACGCCGATGCGATGTGGTCTACCCTGCGCGAGACCCATGCAAAGCTGGTAGGCACGCAAACATGCACACGCTGGAACGTGCAGTCGCTAAATCTACATGCTTTTGATGTAGAAAACTCGTTCAGAGGACTTGCAGAAGCTCAATCGAGAGATGAAAGAGCTGAAGAAAAAAGAAGACGCCATCAAGCGAGAAGTAGAGGGCTTAGAGAGGTACGATGAGGTCGTTCCCACTCCCGGGAGCCTTGAGCAAGGCTACTCCCGGAACTGTTAGTGACATCATTAGGGAAATGGACGCTACCTCAGCATATATCATCAAAAGAGAAGCGCCGGCACTCACGGAGCCTTTTCTCACTCGGCTACCTCGAGAGATCCGTGACCTTGTCTACGAATATGTCTGCGTCTTTCCCGACACCATACAAATCGCGCTATCCGGACAGCAAGGGGCTCCAGTAGACCCTGTGGTCATTTGGTCGGATGCCCAACTAATGGACGCGTCCTATCTTGCCAATTCAGAGGTCGTGCCTACCGAGCTATCCGAGACATATTGGTCGAAGAACCGTTTCGAGGTCACAGTCGGTTTGGATACTGGTATGCGAGCTGGCGGTCTGGATACCTTTCTGTTGCATGGGACAGTGCCTAGCGACAAATTATTCTGGAGGGTATTCGTGCGCCCGTGGGAGAAGATCCGTCATCTGAAGGTACATGTCGCCTGTGAACAGTGGGAGTCCGATCCACGCTACGGTGATACTAAGATGAAGGACTACTATACGACGGCATACGGTCTCATTGATGATCTCACATTCGCGCAGGCTGCCATGTACAAATTGGAGGCTCAGCTCACTCCTCTCACCCGAATGAGAGGCCGAGAAGAACTCCACATTGAGATCGAGATCGACACCAGGTTTGCCCAGGAGGGCCCTGATGTCCAATTCTCCGAGCGTCACTTTGTTAATATCATGGAGAGCCTTCGGAGAACAGTGTGCGAATTGTTGGACTCTGGCGTACATGTCACGGTCACATTGGCCAATATCGATTATAATGAAGCGCATCTAGAGCCGCAAACATGGGACATCACCTCTCGCTTCGTAGTAGACGCACAGGAACGGCTCAGTGTATGTATGCTCTCGATAGTAATCACGATCACAGCTGATTTGTTGAAGGAACAAACTCAAATCGATACGTATAATAGAGAGACAGGCTACTTCGTGCAGCCGCAAGCTGCATTGTATCATTGCGTTTCTAGAGCAGCTCTCGCTGATATGGAAGGTTTTCGTCAGCTGCTTTTGCGCCGATGGAAGGTGCGGTATGCTCTGCCATGGATTGTAGACGAATGAGAGATCTGATAGGGGCGGGACAATCATATTGAACGAAAGGTCTGAGAAATGCTAGTAGTCTGTTGCATGTTGCGACAGGGTAGCGTTGTGATGTCTCCAGTGCGCTCACCTCATAGAAGGAAAACTTAAACTGGTTTGCAACCTACATCAAGATGAAGATACGCAAACCAGATGTTCTGACGTTAACGTAGGCTCTAGGTTATTCAGTTTCTTTTCTTGAGTAACGTGCGCTAGCAGCGGTTGTGACTTTGATACATGAGCGTGTTGACTGTCAAAGTTAAAACCCTCGAGTATACACCGCTTACTCTAGAAGCCGCTATATGTATGCGATCTATCAGGATCGGCAACATATATGGCATATGCGTCCAATTACGAGCAATCATTTCCACCACATGGTACCCTGGTACGCTACCGCTCCGAAAATCGAGATTAGGCGATAGGCTCTACATCACGTCAAGACTCTATAAGCACTTGTAGACTAGTGAGAAGGTCGAAAACTTTGGTCATCGACTTCTACAAGGTGCATAGCATCTGTTACTATCAGAAGCATGATACAAGTTGAACGTACCAATGAAGTGGATGAACCCTCTTCCACAAGCGTTCCAAAGCTTAGTAAGGGCCGTGCAGGTGCAATTCGCTGACTCGTTTTACGTTTGCGCAAAACCCACAAGTCCCTCACTCTCCTGTCGATATCGGACATGCAATGGCCCGTGAGCCTATCAGCCGCTTGACACATGGTAATATTCGATCGGTCCCAAGAGTCGTGGCGTAGCGGGGTACCCGGGAAGAGATCTTTGCTATGACGATGCAAGCAAGTGAGCCCTACGCCCTATTTGCAACCAAAAAACGGCTATATACCGAGTCTGACACCCGACGGCACATGAAAGGACTGCGACGGCTGTTCGCTCTCAGATAGATGGGTCGGCGATCATCGTGGAGTCCGGGGAAGAGCCGTCTCCACGCCGAAAGGCTCCGCTGGCGACCGTGCGACAGGCGCTTCACCAATTCGAGAGCTAGTAATGACAGCCATCTACCTTGGCACGCGCGCGCTCCGTCGAAAACGGCGCTGACAAGGACACCGGCCAGACCCAGCTGCGATCCGGCGTGAAGGGGAATCTTCCGGGGGGTGTGGAGTACAAATAAAGCAGAGGTGCGGCCGCGACGTTACGACTTGCCGTTGTTAAGAAAAAGGCCGTTCCTCCCTTCTTTCGCTCTGAGAACGCGTTCCAGAGAACGCCGCTTCACCATGGCCCAAGCCCAGACGGATTACGCGGCTGAAAAAGACACGCCGAGCAGCCAACATGAAGACCTCAAGCAGGAGGACGCGCGCCACATTGCGGGACACGGCCATACTGCTACAGACATGCGAGTTTAGCCACTCTCTTCGATCTTCTTTGCTGACAATGTCGACAGCTACGGCCATGCTTTGATGCAATTTGATAAAAAGGCAGAGTCACGTCTCCGCCTGAAGATCGATTTGTACATCATCCCGACCGTGGCCCTTCTCTATCTGTTCTGCTTCATCGACCGTGCCAATATCGGAAACGCTCGTCTAGCGGGCCTCGAAAAGGACCTTGGACTCAGTGGTTACGACTACAATACCGTTCTCTCCGTGTTCTACGTCAGCTACATCATTTTCGAGATTCCGTCCAATATCTGCTGTAAATGGATCGGCCCGGGATGGTTCATCCCTATCATCTCCCTATGCTTTGGTATCGTATCGATTGGCACGGCTTTTGTTCACAACATTAGTGCAATCTGTGGCGTACGCTTCCTGCTAGGTATCTTTGAAGCTGGTATGCTACCAGGCATCGCGTACTACATGTCCCGGTGGTATAGACGATCTGAGCTTGCGTTCAGACTGTCGCTGTACATTGTCATGGCTCCTCTAGCTGGCGCTTTCGGGGGCTTGTTGGCTTCAGCGATTCTCACCCTCGATTCCTTCGGCTCGCTCACACGCTGGAGAATGATCTTCGCTATCGAGGGCATTGTCACATGCTGCTTGGCCCTCATCTCCTTCATTACGCTTACGGATCGTCCGGAGACTGCGCGCTGGTTGACGCCAGAAGAGAAGGACTTGGCTATTGCTCGTGTCAAGGTATGTCACCATATATTCTGGAGGATACATAGCACAGTAAAGCGTGGATCCGGCTAGATAACCCGGTATGTGTAGTATAAGTGCTGATTTTTTCACACAGTCTGAACGAGTCGGCCAAAACGAGGTTTTGGATAAGCTAGACAGGAAGAAGACGCTTCGTGGTATCTTCAATCCTGTAGTACTGGCGACGTCCTTCATCTTCCTCCTCGACAACATCACGGTGCAGGGTCTGGCTTTCTTCGCGCCCACGATTGTCAAGACGATATACCCGAAGGATTCGGTTGTTTCGCAGCAACTTCACACCGTGCCACCATACATTGTCGGCGCTTTCTTTACGGTTCTCTTCCCCTTCCTGAGCTGGAGATTCGACAGGCGCATGATCTTCTTCATCCTGGGAGCACCGCTCATGATGATCGGATATATCATGTTCTTAGCCAGTACTGATGGACAAGTACGATATGGCGCTACCTTCCTTATCGCATCGGGAGCATTCTCATTTGGCGCCCTTTGCAACGCGCAGGGCTCGGCCAACGTCGTATCCGACACGGCGCGTGCATCAGCTATCGGTAAGTAGTATACTTCGCGAACAGTGATCAAAGCAAAGGCTGACTGATCGTTTAGGTACTGTTGTCATGTTCGGCAACGTAGGCGGTCTAATCTCGACCTGGAGCTTCCTACCAACGGATGCGCCCAATTACCCTATTGGCAATGGGCTCAACCTGGCGACTAGCAGTACGATCCTGATATCGAGTATCGTTTTGCTGCTCTGGATGAACAGGAGCAACAAGCAGCGTGAGACCATTGATGTTGACCAGGAGTTGGCTGGCAAGTCGCAGGGAGAAATTGAGGATCTGGACTGGCGGCATCCGTCATTCAGGTGGAGACCGTAGAGGAAGACTTGCATCACTAATGTATTATACTGAACGAATGCCAACCATCACTCTTGGATAAAGATGAATCAAATGCAGTACGGCATGCTCCTGATGAATCCCAATGTCTGCTGTATCGCAAAGACCGCGTAATCCCCGTCATCCGGATTCCCCGCATCGATCGATAAGCATACCCACCGCCCCGAACGCGACCTCGGTCCAGCGACTCTTTCGTCATGCATCCGAGCACGACAACCATGGTGAGCTATTCGGGTCATCACTCCGCGCATCTGAGCTGCACATATCTAATCAAGCATCCTCCCTAGCCTGCTCGCACCATATTGGATCTCAACGCAACGCGTCACCCATAACGTACCTCAATCGACGCCCACAACCATGCCTTCAGCCATTGTGATCAGACAAGTCGAAGGCAAGCCAGGCCAAGTCTACTACCCGCTCGAGAAGATAACCGTCCCCGAGCCCAAGCCCAAAGAAAATGAGGTAAGCTCCCTCTGTCACAACCTGCCACCAGCGCACGTTCTAACCATTACCACCAGGCCCTCATAACCCTCACCGCCGCCGCGCTAAACCACCGCGACCTCTTCATCCGCCAACACTTGTACCCAGGCACAACCTTCGGCGTTCCCCTCCTCGCGGATGGCGTCGGCATCGTCACCTCTGCCGGCGCATCCCCCTCCGCACAATCATGGCTCAACAAGCGCGTTTTGCTGAACCCCGGTACGGGCTGGAAGGACAGCATGGACGGTCCCGAACACCCGAAGGGGTATGCGATAATGGGCGGCACGAAGAGCAATCCCGCAGGCACACTACAAGATGTCTGCGCGCTCGACGCAGGCGAACTGGAAGAATGTCCCGACCATCTCAACGACGAGGAGGCTGCTGCGCTGCCCCTTACCGGGCTGACAGCGTGGCGCGCATTCTGGGTTAAGAGCGGGAATGCGATGCCAGGACGGAATATCCTCGTTACGGGCATTGGGGGTGGTGTTGCGCTTATGGTGTTACTGTTCGCTGTCGCACAAGGTTGCAATGTCTACGTAACGAGCGGGAACCAGGAGAAGATTGACAAGGCGGTCAAGTTGGGTGCGAAAGGAGGTGTTATCTACAAAGAGAAGGATTGGGATAAGAAACTGCAGGCGATGTTGCCGAAGGAGAGGAAGTACCTCGATGCTATCGTCGATGGGGCTGGCGGCGATGTTGTGAAAGTGGGGAGTAAGATACTCAAGGTGCGTTCTCTCCTCCCTCTCTCTCCCTTTCCTGCTACAACCATCTAATCTGTTGATGTAGGCCGGCGGCGTCATCTCCATATACGGCATGACCGTCTCTCCCAAGATGGACTTCCTCATGTCCGCCGTATTGCGCAACATCGAAGTCCGCGGCTCCACCATGGGCTCGAGGAAGGAGTTTGCTGATATGGTGCGTTTTGTCAAGGAAAAGAAGATGAAGCCTGTGGTCAGTCGCAGTGTACATGGTTTGGATGTGGAGAAGATTGATACCCTGTTTGAGGACATGAAGAGTGCGAGTCAGTTTGGTAAGCTGGTCGTTACGCTGGGGCAGGGTAAGGGGAGTAAGCTGTGAGCTGTAGAGGAGTAATGAAGGATAGATATGCTTGTGTCATCTAGCCGGTGATTGCCTTGAGTATGATCTTTTGCTGTTTGGGTGATGGTTGCAATGAAGTGCATTCGTCCCAAAGACACGTATTCTTCTTAGCTTTGCGCTCGAGCCTGAAGTGTTTTCATGCGTACGGCTATCGATATCTTCGACGCGTTTCTCTCGAGACATCTGAGTGTTTGTTCGGGAATGCCACACTTCACAACTCAGAAGAGTAACCATGAGGATTATCCTGGCGTCTCACAAGCGCGTACAGACCACCCGTCTTGCTTTGTCCGAGGCCTGTATGAAACAAACGGAGTGAGCGGAGTGAGTGAGAGGAGGGTCGGGAATGCACTCCGGAAATAGTATCGGAGTTAGAGGTTGGCTTACACAGATATGAATGGCTACAAGGCATCGCCTTTGAGTTCCCAGAAAGCTTCTTCTCTAATCATCTACATTCACTGCCCGTCTACATTGGTTGCTTCAACATTGAGGAAGGACATCACGACCATGTCTACACGAGATGCGGATAAGGACCAACCGTACATACCCCATAACAGTCTAAAGCAGGATGGCTATTCCAAAGACGGCGAGGCGACAGCTACATGCTACTGCGGAGCCATACAATTAGCATTCGTAAGTTCGCGCTCCAGTAGCGCCGTGATCTTCCTATACCACAAGGATCTAATGCTTGATGCAGCCGACCACCGCTCCAGGCCTCGTAGACACCTTCGTCTGTCACTGCACCGATTGCCGTAAGATCACAGCGTCAGCTTTTACGTCAGCCTTCATTGTCGCGGCTTCAGCTGTCAAGTACATTCGCGGCCAGGACAACTTGAAGAAGTTCTCACAGTCCCAGACGACTGCTTCTGGCCAGGCAATGACGAACTATTTCTGTGATACATGTGGGACGCTCATGTACCGGCTGAGTGAGCGGCATCCCGAGTTCAGCATAATGAGGCTTGGTATGTAATGTTCTCCAGTCAGGCGAAGTGTGTACTAAAATGCAGCAGGCACTGTAGACGATCTGAATTTGATGGAAGGATTGCTAAAACCCAGACGGGAGGTTTACGTCAAGGATAGGGTAAGCTGGGTCCATGAAGTGGAAGGAGCAAGGCAGAGTGAGATCTCCAAGTAGCTGTTGAAAATCAAAGTTGGGAAAATGAACAATTACCATAGCTGTAACATGGGGAAAGTTCACTTTACGGTGTTGTCTTAGATACAAGGTTCATTGGTATCCTAGCTTAATGTAGCACCTGCTCAACAAAACAAGGGTGAACAGTAAAGCTTATGCAGTTCCCATGAACACGACCCAACGGACATGCTTACCAAATCACCGAAATCCTCCAAATCGCATGCAACCGATCCCTGCATATCGTCAGGAACCACCAATCGGCCACTAAGACCGTAGATCAGCCTTCAAGCATGATGCCGTCCCAACGGAAAGCACGCGACGCGCGCCATAATTGTTTTTCTGGCTGGGAAGACCAAAACAAGTCCGTAGCAACGAACCTCCCTTTCATCGTTGTTTCGATCCATTCGATCCAGAACCGGGGGTAGTTGTTCTTTAATCCTAACCTTGTGGGGCTGGAAGTGTAGGAATGCGGAGTCGGGGTTAAACGCCGTTTTTTTATGTGTGTAAAACATCGATGACGAAATGATATATTGGCTTACAGAGCAACAACGATAACAACAACCACAACAATAGCCGATATAGCCACTGAACGAACAGAAGGGAAAACGACCTGCATTATCTGATCTGTCAGCCAATATAGCACCGCCGCGAAAGTTTTAGTGCTCACGTTTACAAATCCTGGGTACACAACAGATCACGAGGCAAGGAAGGGAGAGGAATATAAAAAAGAGAAGGAAAGCCAGCCGCAGCCATGAAGTTCATCAAGCAAATCGCCCAGCGCTTGAATCCCGACTTACACATCCCCGGCACCGACAATCCGCCCCCAGCCGTCCTGCGCAAGTCAAAGAGTTCAACAACACTATTAGTAACGGAGAAACGGAGGGAACTCTCTACGCCGCCATCTCACTCGTCTCTAAGGAAGAAAGCAAGTTCCATGTTCCTAGGCCGCGGGTCTAACATCCAAGATTTCGCCAATTGGGGAGATACACCGGTCCAAAGTAGCGGCGGTGCACCTACCGAGGTAATATCAACAACTAGTCTTCCCCCGCCGTTACCATCAACGCCAGTACGAGCTCCAGGAAGTACCTACGCGTTGTCCTCCTCAGCGTTATCAACCCCGCGACCCTCAACGCAGAGCTCTCTGCGAACGACACAACCCTCCAGGCAAACTTCGACGCGCACATCAACCATCACCACCCAACCACCCGTCAAACCAGCGACTCCCTCCCCAAGAGACCCCTCACCAATAGCATCATCCATGGCCATGTCCGTCAGCACATCCGACAAATCCCTCCCTTACTTCCCGCTCGCCGGGCAGGCCAAAGACGGGTTTTCCAACAACGAAGAAGCGACCGCGACGTGTTTCTGCGGCGCGGTGCAACTCGCTTTTCCCGTCGAAGGCCCCGGTCTACTATCCACGTTTGTGTGTAATTGTACAGATTGCAGGAAGATTACTGCGAGCATGTTTGCTAGTAATTTTACGGTCAAGGATTCGTAAGTCTTTTCTTCCTATTTCATACTACTTGGGGTATGGGGTGATGGCAGTGCAGTGACTAACGAGATATCTTCAGACACCTCCGCCACCTCCGTGGCCGTGCAAACTTATCGTCTTACGGTCAAGTTGCGACGGTAGCCTCGGGCCATACTATGACGAACTACTTTTGCAAGACTTGCGGTACGCTCATGTATCGTGTTGGCGCTGCTTTCCCGGATTGTTCCATCTTGCGGCTTGGGACGGTGGATGATTTTAATTTGGTGGAGACGAAGTTGAAGCCGACGCGTGAGCTGTTCGTTAAAGATAGGGTGAGTTGGTTTGAAGGTGTGAAGGGGGATGAGGTCAAGAGGTTTCAGGCTATGATGTAATGAAGGTGCGGGTTTTGGGAGACAGGGAGGAGGGTGTGGTGTATGGTAGGCAATGATTCGGGAAGTGCATGGGTTGTAGGAGTTGGTGTATTGTGTTGGAGGGATGAGGCTAGGTTCGACTGGTAATGATTAGATAGGAGGACTGGAGTGTAATATTAGACATGAGATGGGGAGTGAAAGCCTCTTGGATACCTGCGCCAGTGTGACATTTTGAGATTTTGGAGGTGATATACTGATACATTGCATTCGTCCGAAGAAACTATCCCGAGAACGTTCAGCAGCCCTTAAGCGGTGCCGATAGATAGTCCACCACTCGATAACACACCATGCTCCTTGACCTGAAAGCATGACGCCACGCTGATGTATGATAGTAATGAAGCAGAAGAGAAGGGCGTTGCAGAGTGTGTCACTGCACATCACACGCGAAGGGTATCACTCACAGCCACTCATCCACATCATCCGCAACATCCATATCTGCATCCACACCTCCCATCTGCCGATCCTCATCTTCTTCGACCTTGATCTCCTGCTCTCCGATAGTAGCGGAGGAGTCATCACCATCATCGTCGTGAGGAGCTATGGGGGCGTCATTTGTCGTCGTCACGGATTTGAGACCACCAAAGGCGTCGTTCGGAACCCATGCGAGATCGAGTTTACCAAGGTCGGGAATACTGAGGGATTGGTCGAGGAACATCTCTGCCTGGTAGCGCTCTTTGAAGGTTAGGATCAGGGTATCGACTTGCTCGGGATGACGCTCGATGCTTGTGCATTCGGGTATGTTCTGTACATATCTTTAGCAGAGATGAATGAATCCATGTGCAAGTTCTACTCACAAGAAGGTGCTGCCGCAAAGATTCGTCCCTTGGTGTATCTGGCTTGATACCCGTGACTGCCAGACGCCTAGGCCGGTTGTCGAGCTTCTTATTCACCACATTTCGGCCAGCAAAGCCACCTGCACGACCCCTGTACGCGCCCCGGTAAGGTGCGAAGCCCCTACCTCGAGGTGCAAAGGGGGCGTGTCCTCGACCTCGATAAGCTGGATTAAAGGCGCCACGGCCATGAGTCGCTGGTTCGCTAGGACCGTGTTGATCGAAAAGTTCCGCTGCTTCGGCTTGTAGCGTTGCAAGAGTCTTGGCGAAGTCGTCGTTCGAGTCCCCTGACAGTTCAGCAAGTTGTCGCTTGATCTCTTCTATCTCCTTATTCTTTTCTTCCAGCTGTCTCTCGATGTCAGCAGCTCTCGCGTCTGCTTCCGCAGCTTTACGACGACGCTCTTCAAACGCCTGCTGTGCTTCTGCTTGCCTAACGGCGATCGCCTCTAGGTCGAGCTTCTCTTCTTCGTCTTCTTGCTTCTCTTGGGCCAGCTTTTCCCTTGTCTCTGGTGCGTACCAGTAGACCTTGACGAACCGGTTCTCAAAAACAGCCTTGGGACTGTGATAGGCGCGCTTGGCGGTCTGGCGATCAGCAAACTTTATCACTGCTAACTGCCTCCTAGAGTGTAGCTCGAGCTCATCGATATCGCCAAACTCTGAGAAGTAGCTTCGTATGCTGTCCTCGTTGAAATGCTCCGCTGGGATCTGTTCGACGACAAGTGTGCTATTCGACTTGTCATGCGAGTAGCCCGGCAAAGAGAACGATGCGCGTGCCCTTCTACCCTTGGTTGCACGAGGCTGGCTACCGGACGCTCCTTGCTTGTTGAATCCTCTAGATGGTTGTACAGCAAGGAACGAATGCTCCGGATCGTACTCGGGAATTTCGTCGGGCGAAACAGCTACGGCGGCGTCACTATGTTCGTGTGGACAAAGGTTACCCAGCGCGCAGAAGCCCCTTTCGTAATAATCAGCACACTGTGTCTTGGACCGTCCTTGGTTCGAGCCGCCGTCCTGCGCATTGGAGAAAGGAAGCTGAGGCATGCCCGGCAGATTCGCCCCGAAAGCTGCTGCCATGGCAAAGAAAGCCATGGGATCTGAGGTATCGAATGGTAGAGGGCCTGGCGGCGGCGGCGGGAGATTTGCGAAGTTCGGCATACCGCCAAAATTTGCGAATGCGTTCTGTGTCCGCGCATCTCCAATCCCGGCATTCCTACCGCCTCTGCGAGCTGTCTGCTTCGATGGCCTGTTAATTCCTGCGCCGCTGCGGGTATAGTGTGGATCTTGGCCCTCTTGTGACTGGCCGTTGTCCCTCTCCAACACCTTGCGCTTCCTCGACTGATTCGACCCATCCTGATATAAGCCATGAGCGGTCGGTCGGTCGGGTAGGAGGTGTAATACTGCTGGATTCCTATTCGCAGCAGGACCTTTCGGGGCCCCGAATGGCACATTCGACGGATGCGGCTCGTATTCGAAGTTCGTGCTGCCAACTATGGACTGTATGGGCGCGGATTGTGAGGCTTGAGCTGGCAGCTGTGGTTTCGCGTCATTCGCTTTCGGCTTCGGGAGATAGTTCTTAGCTTTGAGTGCTGCAATAACGTCTTTTGCAAAAGTCTCGGTGTCTTTGGGCCATTAGCGACGAAGTGTTACGTAGCCTTCGCATGCGCTTACTTTCCGGGCCAAGGAAGTCTTGCAGTGACTCGATCAAGGTACGCTGCACGTTTGCATCCGTGTCGTCGACGGTAACGAGGGCGGCTACATAGTCAGCGAGCACTCCGCCTTCCACACCGGAGCTACATCTCAGGTTAGTATGCGCATGCGCGATGGCTTTGGTAAGTGTAATGTGTAGCTCCGACTTACATATTCTCCACATGCGGTAGCAACCAACTCTTGAACACAGCATGATCTTTCTCCTCGAGTAACATAGCGAATCCTAGGAACGAATTCCGTTCATCACCAAGTTGCGCGATCGCGTTAGTGTTCAGTTGCAGTCTGGTACTGCGTTGGTGGTGTTTTTGGTGGAACTTGAACTGCGCCGAGCGTACATCTTTCGCGTTGCTACTAGCGCGACGACAATGTCATAGCTCTCTTACCCGTGAGCACGTGACGTCGATGCCCCGCTACATTCACCATCTTGAACTCTTAGTTGATCCAAAACAGAAGGAATCACACCAACAAGGGTCTGGACATTGAATGCATTCACTCGCCCCGACAACATCTTCACTCAAACATGTTACACGTTAAACAATGCATAGATATTTGTGCGATATAGCTTGATTTTCTCCAACTATACTACACTGAGAACATGTAAGGAAAAGGGTCATCATCCGTATCTTTCGTGCAAAGCCCCAAAAAACCTGACTAATATCAAGGGCGAAACCGCCCGGACCGACATTTACTAGCTCTGGTTGTCCC